CCAAGGATTTTTAGCTACTGCCCTCACAGGAAAAGCTCAGTCAAAATTCTCCAGAGCATTTATTCTCATTTCTTCTTCCCCATTTCTCGTTCACACTTAATCTTGCCATGACCCACTTTCGTCTGAAGCTATACCCACCGCAGTCCAATTAGCCCCTACAGCCCTGTGTCATTTATGCCTCAAATCTCCTACCTCAGATTTCCTGTCTCGAGTCTCTTGAAGCAGAAAAATCATGCTTTTTGAACCAAATTCCTCTTTAAAAAGGAGAGATCAAAGGTCTACACCTGGAATACCAGATATAAAACCACACCTCTACTCAGGGTCCACGAGGCCTGGGATGGCCTGGTCCTCCCTCTCCCCTCCTGTACCAAGTACTCCTTACTCATACTCAGTCAGAGATCCTGCCTGTTACCGATTTCGCTTCCTCATTACAGCCTCTCCTGTCCCTGGGCCTAATTGGGTGAAGGGAAATAGAGAATTCTGCCAGAGAACACAGGCCTTGTTTGCTAGTGGGTTGCAACAGTTGAGTATTTTCCTCTCCTAAGAGATAAGGATATCTGGGATTCATGCCTGAACTGCTGCACTCCCTTATCCCACCCCAAGGTTTTCATCCCTGACATTTGTGTCCTCCTAGCAAACTGGCTTCTCCACTTTCTTCTCCAGCCACACAACACACTGTAGACAAAACAGGATAGCACTTGCTGGCTCCCTAGACACCCCAGGAGGGTCCCAATCCACCACCTTTTTCCTACAATTTCTTCTACCTCAGACGTCCTCTTCTCATTCTTTGTCCAAATTCTAACCCTGACACACCAGCTAAATGTTGATTTTCCACTGAGCCCTCCCAAAGCCTTCCAAGAAGTCCAAACTCAAAGTCACCACTGCCTCTCACCACTCTTCTCCAAGACTTTTAAAAATATCTTTCATTGTAGTCGTTGCTCATCTCCTCCTGTAAATTGACTATCCTTAAAGCAAACACTATTTTTTATTCCTCCTCTTTCTTCACAAGTAATTGAAGATCTTGATGGTCATCATATAGCAACAGAATAAGGCTAATGATAGACTCTGAAGGCTGAATGCTTGAGTCTGAATCTTAGCTCTTTATTAGCTATGTGACATTGGAGAAGTTACTTAACCTCTCTGTGCTTCAGTTACCTTTATGTATCCAACTGAGATAATAGCAGATATTTAATAAGGCTCCAGAGCACTGGGTGCAGAATGGTGTGAATACCATAAAAGGGTCTATCAGAGACATAAAATCACACTTTAGAATGGAAAAACACAGTGCTGACTATGCTGTGGTAACTGAAACTTTGTAACCTATTCAGGAAAAATGAAATGGCAAGACCACAGGCAGTGTTTACGTACAATTGCTATGTACAAACTCTTTTTAAATTTTCTTATGCATGCCTTAAGGGTCAGCTATTGCTTTTACTTATGTTATCAAAGGTAGTTTGTTATTTCAACATACATTCTCCTTAGTTCAGCCTCTTAGGACTATCACTACATAAACTGGTCTCCCTGCGTCCAGTTGTAACCCCTTTAATCTGTCTTCTTTAAGGCTCAGAACACTCTTACCAACACACATCTGCTACACACCCTCTCCACTCTACTTCCCTTGGGGCAGTTTACAACCCCTTCCAATCTCATATAAAAATCTTGTTAATCTGACCTAGCCTACTCTCCAGCATCATCTGTCAAATGTCTCTCCTCACCATGAAACCTCGATCATGTGGTCACTACTAAAAGATCTTTTGCATGCCATTCCTTTTGCCCGGAACCCCAATTTATTAGTTTGCTGGGGCTGCCATAACAACTTATCACAGCCTGTGTGATTTAAACAACCAAAATTTATCTTCTTACAACTCTGGAGGCTTGAAGTCCAAGATTATGTCTTTGTTAGCAGATTTGTTTTCCCCTGAGACGTTTTTCCTTGGCCTTCCTGACATAGTCTCACTTGGACTTTCCTCGGACAGATGCATCTCTGGTATTCTTTCTTACGTTCAAAGCTTCTTCACTTACAAAATTAGCTGTCAGATTCTACTCGGGCCCACGTAATGGGCTTTTTAACTTAATCATTCCCAAGCCTTGTCCGTACATAGTCACAGTCTAGGGTAGGAGGGTTAGGACTTACACACAACTCAGCCCCTGAACATTCCCATCCTTTTCTTGCTCAAACTATTCCCCCACTCCTCTTTTCCCCTGAGAGTGGCCAAGCCTTCCCCCTTCATACTGATTTCAGTGTCTTTCCTGTGGTCCCTTTGTGCCTCTGTACAGCGCTGTGCTACTGCTCAATCTACTCTCCTAATGGTCTCCTTCCCTCTTCAGACTGCACTCCTTCACAGTGAGGACTAAATTGCTAGCATTCAGCACAGGATCTGGTCCACTGACAGTGTTTAGTAAAGACCTGATTAACAAGGAGTAGAGCAAAGAGCACACAACTTGAAATAAGGTGTGCTCGCTTTGGCAGCATATACACAACTTGACCAAAGGTAAACTTACATACCAATCTCGGCTCCCACTGTGTACTTGGTTTGCAACTTACTCTGTGACTTCCTGGCAAGTTATTTAATGCTGAATTTCCATTCTGAATAAGGTACTTGTAAAGATAAATGTGCTGTGGGACTGGTACACAGGAGGTAATCAGTACATGTCAGAATAAAGATTCTGATCTTGCTTGGTTCAGTAGGTACAAGACCTGGATATGCTCTGTTTTTTTGTTTTGTTTTTGGTACTGGGGGATCAAACTGATGACCTTGCACTTAGCGGGCAAGTGATTGAGCCACTGAGCTATACCTCTGGTCCTATGCTATGTTTTTGCTTTAACTGTTTATATAAAAAGTACCTCATGGGGGCTGAGGATTTAGCTCAGTGGTGTAAGCACCTGCCTGGCAAGTGTGAAATGGTGAGTTCCATCCCTGGTTCCAAAAAAATAAAAAGTACCTCATGGCTGGGTGTGAGGGTAATCCCACCACTTGGGAGGCCCAGGCAGGAGAATCATTTGCAAGTCTGAGACCAGCCTGCGCTACAAAGTGAGCCCAAGGCCAGTTTGAACTGCATAGCGAGATCCTGTCTTAAAAAGACAACAAAAAGTACCTTATGGTGCTACTGGGGGTGTAAACTGAACATTTACATAGAGATGTAGTACATAGTATTACATAAATGTTTCCACTTATTATAAAAACAATAAAGGTCTGGACAGATATGACTGGAAACCATGAATAATTTAGCTCCTTCCACTACTAAGTCATTTAAATGTGACCACTACCTTAATGCCTCAGGTTTCTTTTGAACTAAACAGGATAAATTAAAGAGGCCCAAAAAACAGTACGGCAGATGACGACAGAATTCAAAATACAAACTCAAAATGAACATGAAACAATATATTATCATGCCTCATTCCTTATATTGATATTTAACATATTTTTAGAATTGAAATAAAATTTGAAAGAAACTAGTTTTTCTATTTGTGACTGCAGACACCTCACATTACCTTGACATTAGAGAATAACACCCCTTCACTCATACTTCCAATTGTAAAACCATAAACCTATGACCTGAGAAAGGACCTTTGTGACCAAAGTCCAGTCCTACCGTTTCTGACCCAAATACAATAAGATAGGTCTGGAACAGGCTTGTAGGGTCTTAATGAGCAGCTCTGTGAGGGGTAAGAATTGCACCTTGAGAGAATAATTTGTTCAAAAGTTTAAATCAGGAGTTCTGGACATATTGTAGATGTTCAAGTAGGGTTGAAACCAGTACGTGGAAAAAATGCTGAAAAGTCCTTTTTAATGCACCTGAAGGATGCAACTTCAGATGATCTGTAACTCTGAAGTAAGGCAGCTCTAGCTCTGAACTCCCCCTTTTTCCATTGCCACACAAATCACTGAGCCTCAGAGGAGTGCAACAGCTTTGTTAAACGACCTGTGTATGCAGAGCATACAAGTAGGTACTCAAATGTTGGTTCTTTCCCATCCGGTTTTTCAGGCATATGAATAAAAATGTGTGCAAGTACAACGTCTTCACACAGCACGTGCCTTCTAAATGTCTGAGACTTGTTGAACACCACTTGATTCTAGAAAGCTGCAATAACTGCTCAATGATAAAAGCATCGCATTTCTGCCCTTCCTCGCTTATGTCCTTCACAGCTAAGGTTGCTTCGCCACCACTCGCGAGCTATTTGGAGACCTCTGCAGCTCAGACTTCAAGCTGGCAGCAAAGACTCGAAGGTCACAAAACCATTATCGTGACAGACCACGCTCTGAAAAAGCCCGCTTCATTTTGTTCTAAGGTCCATGTCAACCTAAATTTCCAACGAAAAGTAAATAATCTTCCTGCGCAGAAATAGCAGGTCTGAGTAAAACGAGCAAGATCAAGTGACCTGACCGAGCTCAACGTTATGCGGACGACTCACGGCTTTCTGTGTTTGGGAGACTATTTTTATGAGGCATTAAAAAGGACACCTGTCAACTTCCACTATTCAAGCTTCACAAGAAACACGTGGCTCGGGATCAACGGCAAGGACGGCCGGGCTGCACAGACCCCGTCCCCCGCGCCATCCTGATAGCGAGCGGGGCTTAGGGCTCCACGGCTGGAGGCCGAAGCCCGGGTCCTGAACCGGGCTCCAGGAGGCGCCGGTTGGGTCGCAGCCGCGCTGGGCGAATCCCTGACTCCGCGCGGCCCGGGTTCCACTCAGGCTCGGGGTCCGCGGCGACCTCTGGAGACCGCCAAATCGCTGGTGCTGCTTACTCACCCGACAGCCTGGCGTCCCCAAAGTGACGCGCCGAGGCGATGCAACCAGAGACCCGCAGCCCCGCGGCGGCCGCGGCGAGGAGGCGCCTGGCGTGGCGGGCGGCCTCGACCCCTCCTCACGCAGCGACCTCGGCCTAGCGCGGACCGGGTCTAGGAAGCGGCCACCGCGTCTGGGAACTCGCAGGCTCCCAGTTCTCCCGGCAGGCTTCTCGGCCGCGCACGGGCTGCTGGGTGCTGTAGTTCCGCGTCCGACAGCCCCGGGAGGCCCGCCCCGCCCCGCCCCGCCCCTCACTGCTGCCCGGCCCAAGGCCGCGGGGCTCGGGCAGAACTCCGCCGGCGCCCTCCTGCGCCCTCCGTGAGCCCGCTCGGGGTCCCCCGGGCCCTGGCCTGCAGGCCGCCGCTCGGGTAAGGAGGGGAGCCAGGCGGGGGTCGAAGCGGGCCCAGGAGAACGCGGCTCGGCCGGGGAGCCCAGTCTCTCCGTCCTGGTCCTGGTGCAAGGTAGAGCCCGTCAGCCGGCATCGGGTCGGTCGGGTCGGGTTGGTCGTGTCGGGCGCTGAGGCGCGTCCCCGATGTGTCAGGAAACCTGCCCGGCTGTGCGTCGCTGTCATCCAAAGCTTTTGTGGGTTCCCAAGCCTGCTTTGAAAATTACAGCAGCTTTGAAGCTCCACAAAGAGAAAAAACTCGGATGCTCGGCGCCCCTGCAGCCCTGGCCGCAGCCACAGCCGCGCTCCGCACGGGGGTGTCGGCCTTTCGGCAGCTGCTCAGAGAATGAGGTGCTGTTTACGAGCTGTGTGGGGCTGGCTTGCTAGGTAAACCCGTGCACAGGGCCGCAGAGGTACTTGGACTAGTGAGGCGCACGCAGGTCTCTGAAGTCGGCTTTGTACTCACAACTAAACAAAAGGAGTGCTGGAGAAGTGACAGCGAGAGCCCCACCCCACCCTTCTGCAGGAGCGGCGGTGGCCTCGAGGTCGCAGTCTTATAAAATTATCTCTTAATGGCCTGGTATATCTAAGGCAAAACTTTTGAGATTAAACCGCCTTACAGGGCAGCCCTTTCTGTAATAACAGTTGTGGCAGATTGTTCTCTTCTGTGTTTTTCTGAACAGTAGTACAGTGATGTAACAGACATTCAGACAGTTTTGCTTAAAACTCCAAAATTAGTAATCACTGGCTGATTAAATGAAAGAAGTAGGATCCAAAGCAATGATAACTCGAAAATTCAGTTAATTGGGACAAGCCTGACCTTTCTGCTCTTAGGAAAGTCAGCTGCCAGGGCTCGGGGCCTTGTGTGCCTTGGTTACCAATGGGCGTCCCAGCGCCCAGCATGCTGGGCTAATCCGTGGTGGCCATGTGCAGTGAATACTTGACTGCTACAGATAACTTGGTAATGAGAGGGAGGGAGAGAGAGTGAGTAAGAGGAAGGAGGGGAGGGAGAGAGAGGTTTCTCTACTTCCTTGGTGTCCCCAGGGAATAGATCACTGCCAGTGGGAATTTTACTGGGTCAGAGTCTGGTTATCAAAACATTGCCAACCTGCTTCTCCAAAGAGCCTTGCCTTTTTGCCCTGCCACAGTATGTGTATGTGGAAGTGCTGCCTCTCAGTCTTACACTCTGTTACAAACAGTGAGGACCATGCTTGTTCTCAATTGCCTGGAAGGTAGGTGGACCAGGTACTGATTTCCCACTTCTGTAGCACACAAGCTGCAGTACCTTAACTTGATAGTAATAGTCGGTAGGTGACAAAATAAAGCTTTCGAGTTCTTCTTTCTGCTCTTCTCTATGTTTTGTTCATAGTGAACATTCTGAAAAAATTCTTTCCTCAGCAAAAAAAAAAAAAAAAAAAAAATGGATACTGTTTTGTACTTTTCTGGCTTGCAGAATCCTTTTGTCATCTTGCTCAGATATTTGTAGATGCCCTAGACATTTCATGAAGACAAAATAATGAAACAATTTAGATGAAAGAGATGGTATTATTTAGAAGGGAGCTACAGGCACCAGCAAATTTAGAATACTGGCACTCGTTCTGTTAGTAAAGGTATGGAAACCTTTGGTGCTGGTTTTGTATCTTGAATCTGAAGAATGTGCAGAATCTTCACAAATAATATATTGAAATTAATATTCTAAAAATGGACAAGAACTATTTACACACTAATGTGTCTTTGATATCTATCAATAAATTTCAAAAATAGAGAACTAAAATCACAAGATAAAAAATTTAAACTACAGAAAAGTAATTTTCATATAAAAAGTTGTCTTTCTCTTTTTTTCCTAAACATTTGGCAACAACACTAATTACTATCCCATCACTAATGCTGATTCTTCTGCAAATTTATTACTGAGGGAACTCAAATAATTTAATAGCCAATTAATCCAATCAGAAAGCTTTGGAAATTCTTGGAGTTTATTTTTGATGTAAGTGGCAACATTTATATCAAAATATCTCAAAATTGCTTGTCTGCATTATATCCAGTTTACTCAGGCTTGTCTTAAAGAACAGTCCGTAAACGACAGCAGATTGAGGCTCTGGAAATAGAATCTTCCAGTCTGCCTTTCTGTGATGATGTCAGATCCCTGCTAGTGCTCAGTAAAGGAAGTACTCTTTGAAGACACTTTTTAGAAATGTCTCCGGTCCTTGTATCAAGGAATAGTTGCCTAAATTTTAGGCAGGTTAATAACAACTAGTTCTTCAAGATATTTTTATGTAAATGTAACATTGCTTTGTTTTGTTTTCTATAATAGTGTATTTCTGCATCTTGAAAGGAAGATGAAGTAAAAATATTTGAAACAGATGGATCTTAGTTACTTTTTGTGAACTAAAGCGATTCAATGTCTCTTTTGGTAAGTTTCTGTTGATATGGATCTGATCTGCATGTAGGTAGATAGAACGCACTGCTGTGACAACACATTCTGATGGGCCATTGTTTTGCTGAGATAATTTTGTCCTGAAAGACTTGTGAAATTCTCGGTGAGCTTTTGTCTCTTTCAAAAGAGTTTCTCTTGTACTTTTTTTGTTGTATCATTATTTTTATCCATTGTCCATGCCCACTTTTCTCATACGTATGTTGTACTTAAGATGCCAAACCATTCCTTTTAGCTATGCTGCAAACACCCTTTTAGAATTTCAAATATTCCTTTTATAAATTTCTGCTCACTAAAAGAAAGCAGGATAGCACTAACAAGCCCATGGTCTTAATCAGACAAAAATATTTTGATCAGTGTGTTGTATAAGGTACATATGCCAGCTTGTTTTGCATTTATGGTGGAGCCATGATTTCTACTTTAGATAAAATAGCTTCAGGACTTTCACTCCATTTTGTATGCAGTGTAATATTTGAGTAGAAAATTTTCGCATTGAGACAGTGATCTCGATCTTTAAAATTGTGTGAGGTTGTCAGGGCATATGGCATCATCCTCATTTTTGAGTTTGTCCACGATTGCTAAGAATTGGAGCCAGGCATTCAAGCTCATCTCTGTCCGTCTGTCTACCTCGGCTAGTGCCAAGACTAACAGAACTGTGAAGGTAGGGGTGTGTTGCTATGTGGAAGACACAGCATGTGTTCTTTACAGGTTTATGTGGGACACACAGTGAAGTGAAATTCCTCAATCTCCAAAGCAGGGATCAGGGAACTTTCTGTGAAGGCCACAGGGTATTTGCATATCCTATGGTCTGTGTTAAACTCTTCTGACATGTGAAAGTAGACATAGGCTATGTGAACCAACACATATGTGTGAGTTCCAGTGGCTCCTGGGCCATAATTTGGTGACCCTGATCTAAAGGATTACTTAAGATTCTCTCTCTCTCTCTCTCTAGGGTTTTGCTATATAGTTCAGGCTGGCCTTAAACTTACTATATAGTCCAGGTTGGCCTGACTCATGGTGATCCTCGTGCCTCAGCCTCCAGTGTACTGGGGTTACAGGCATACACCACCATACTTGGTCTAGATTTTTACTTTCATACCAGTCTGTAAATTGTGAGACAGCAGGCTGAGTTACTTGCCATCCTAGGGAGTAACTTAGGGAGATTCCATCTCACAAAACAAAAAAGAAAAACAGGAAGAAAAAGGAAGAGTCTGACATTTTAGAGATGGCGAATTTGATTACTCTTAAGTAACGATAGAGTGTTAGGTAGCTATGGATGGACTTCAAGGGACTCACTTGAGCCAGGCTTGGTGGTGCACCTGTAATCCCAGCTCTTGGGAGTCTGAGGTGGAAAGATTGCTAGGAGTTCAAGGTCAGCCTGGGCTAGATAGTGAGGTCCTGTCTCAAAAAACTAAAAAAAGATAAAAAAGAAAAAGAAAAAAGAAAAGCAGGGAGGGAGGGCGGGGACAAGGGTCAAAGATGGCACCAAGCACAATTCCTGACTGTGTGCAGTTTGCCTCTGGCACTGCCAGCTGCTTCTCCCCTCCGCACCGAGCACGTCCAACGCGTGGATCCCGGCTCCCAGTCGGGCTGCTCTTTCTCTATTCCTAACCCGTCTCCAGACCACCCCTGCTCCTGTGCCCTGCCTTTCATTTATTTTATTACTTCTGATTCCAGGATTGTTTCTGTACTTCACGAACGCAAGTTGAGTCGCTCAGGCCTGAGAAGCAGTCTGAAACCTGTGTTCATCAGTGCTCGGTAAGAAAATGGTTGCGCAGTCGTGCTCCGTTTCGGCCTTCTGCAGGCCCTTCGTGCCTGGGTCCGTAGCTCTCTTACTTTGTGGGGCCTTTTACTTTTGTTGTTGTTGTTGTTTTTTACTTGCTCCTGTTCTCTTCTCTTTCCTAAATAAAGTTCCCGGAGCTGTCTTACCTTCCTCTGTGGTGGTTCAGGTTTCAGATTGTCCTGGAGCTGCCTTAGGAGTGTTGGCATCAAGCAAACAGATGTTTCAGATTATTACCTACAATTGCAGACTCTTTCCTGGGTAGCAGAAGTGCTGGTAGTGTACATCTGATCTGATTTTTCAAAAGTTTTCAAACTCTATTGAGTTTGAGTAAAACCTTAGTCTTCTCTCAAATCTCACCAACCCATTATATTTCCTGTCAGAAGGAAACGCATCTCCTCACTCATCCTAACTAGAAACTTTGAGCTGTGCTAACCCTGCCCTAACCTGCCCCGTGTACAATGGGACACCAGCTCTCAGCAGTCTCACTCTGAGCCCTGTCTCTCCATTGGGTACCAGGCTTGCTGCAGGTGACTCTTGCCGGTAGGCCCCTAGACACACACTAGTGTCCTTTCCCGCCACGCACATTACCGTTCTGTATGTGGCAGCCCTGCGGGTGCTGCTTTCCAGCTTAGAAACTTCCATTGCCTTCCTGAAGCCTGTGGGTAAAGTCTAAACTTCTTAGCATTATATAAGAATTCGTAATACTATGGCATATGCTCAGCTGAGTTTTGTTTCTTGGTAATGGATTTTAGCATATACTTTTTTTTTTTTTGTCTTTTTGAGACAGACTTTGTTTTTGTCTTTTTCACTATGCAGTTCGTACTGGCCTTGAACTCACTTAGTGGCCTAGGTTGGCTTTGAACTCAGTGATCATCCTGCCTCATCCTTCTCTGGGATTATAGGCATGTGCCATTATGCCCAGCAGCACATACTCTTTTATTTGGTTGAAATATTCTGCTTCTTTTTCTCCTCATGAATTTCTTCTCATTCATAAAGAAGTGGTTCATATGGCACATCTGTGAAATCTTTCTACTTATACTTTTTATTCCACTGTGCTCCCACCTACCTTAGGCATTCCCATAAATTATTCTCGGTTATTTCACAATGATTAATGTCTGTTTCTCTTCAGCCATAGCTCAAAACTCATAAACAGCATCCTGTCGGGGCTGGGGATTTAGCTCAGCGGCATAAGCACCTGCCATGCAAGCAGGCAGTCATGAGTTCGATCCCCGGTACCGATAAAAAGGAAAAAGACAAAAAAAAAAAAAAAAAAGAGGATACTGTCTTACCTTTATTTCCCTAGGGCAGTGCCTGATACATTAAATAATTTTTAAAGGTACATACTTAGTAAATTTTTCTCTGAGGTCTTTCTCTTAATCCTTACTTTATATTGCAATTCTTGCTATAAAATTGAATTTACAAATTCGCTGAAAAGTAAGCTAATCCCAGATAATCTTGCTTGTAGCTATCCCAGTCCCGTTGTCAGGTGTCTTCCTCTGTGTCTTGGGCGCTCATACTCCAGAGCCTCCTGAGGACCGGCCTTCTGCACAGTAGAGGCGGTGTGAGCCGAATTTTGGCTGAGTGACTCCCTTCCTGGTGGAGGTGGCTTCGGGTCAGCAGCCACTGCTGTTGTCTTCCTGCTGCCACGGAGTCAGGGAGACTGGAAGCTCCTACAGCCTCTGCACTGGCGCTATTTTTAGGGGGCTGTTTTAGCTCCTGTTTTTAGGAGTGAACTCTGTTACTGGAGTTGGATCAGTCTCCGTTTGAAAAGTGGGTCAATACTTGATTATTTCTAGTCAATATTTGACTGGTTTCTGATATAAATTTTACTAAAGCTACAGATTTAATATCCAAAATGTAATTGTGCTTGACTTAGAGGTTTGAACCTACTTAAAATAACTGTTTGGAGCACTGAATCTTTTTTTTGTTTCTTTCTTTCTTAGACAAGTTCTCGCTATGCAGTTCAGGCTGGCCATGAACTCACTATGTAGTTGAGGCTGTCCTTAAAGACCACTGTGGTCTTCCTGCCTCAGCCTCCCGAGTGCTGGGATTATAGGTGTGTGCCACCACACCTGGATGGTGCATTGAATTCTTAATTTATAACATGTATGTCTGTGTGAGCTTACTGTTGCTGTGACCAAATACCAGGACAAATCAGCTTAGAGGAGGAGAGGTTTATTTTGTCCCACAGTTTCAGAAGCGTCAGTCTGTGGTCACATGGCTCCATCGTTCCTGGCTCGTGGTGAGGCAGTGCATTGTGGCGGAAGGGTGGGAGGGCAGACTGGCTCCCTCACTGTGGACCGGCAAGGGCAGGCGGGCGGGACACGGAGCACACCAGGGCCCATTTTCCCACCAAGGCCCCACTGCCCCAGGATCACACTGCCTTAGGGCTGCCCCACAGCTGGGAGCCAGGCCTTTAAGCACATGGCCAGGGAACATTTCAGATCCAAACTGTAGCACTGTCCTTCGGGGTTTAAAGGTGACTGTTTTCGTCTAACTCGGTAGATGGGGACAAAAGCAGAGGTTGCTGAGCTGTGATTTGAGCCCCTCAGATGCTGATGTCATGCCACTTTGCAAGCAGTGAGTCATGAGCCTCGGTGCATTGTGCCTGACTCCCAGACAGGCTTGCAGGCTGAGAGCACCTTTTGTTCCTCTTGGAGTACATTCATCTTTATTCCCCTTTAGCTATGAGCTTATGGCGTTTTTTTCTGCTTTCATAAAAGTTTGGGAACCACTGTCTCCATGAATACATCTGTCTGTTTTAAACTCCCTCTCTGATTAAGGAGTCAAGGATGTGAAAGTACTTAGCACAATTCCTAGCACATGGTAATGTAATTTTCTCTTCTTCCGTCTCCCTTGCTTGGGGGCAGTAACAAGATTTCTGCCACCTGCTCGTGCCTGTAAAGGCTGCTGAGTGTCCCTCAGGAAATCCTCACGCTGTCACGATGCCAGCAGCTTACATCACTCCCTCCCCCTGCTTCCTGCTTGCTCTATATTTAGGTGCAGGCCCGCATCGGGCTGCAGACACCTGTGAGGTAGGGTCTGCATCGGGCTCCAGGCAGCTGTGAGATGGGGACTTGGTACGTGGCCCTTCACTCGGGAAGTCCCCATGCCTATCCCTCCATGGGGTTTTTTCTCTGACCTGCATTTTTTATCCATTCCATGTTATGCTTCCCCAGCAGGGCTGATAGGCTACAGTGTAGGCATCGTGCCCTGCCCAGTGAGCCTGATCGGGAGAAGGAATCAGTGAGTGATTGCCGTGCGGCTCTTCCCCGACACATGTATTGGGGCCCTCAAGAACCATCAGCCATTCTCTTTCTCTTTTTTTTTTTGACTTTTGGAGACAGGGTCTCACTATGCAGTTCAGGCTGGCCTAGGCTCACTTTTTATCCCAGGCTGGTCTCGAATTTGCAACAGTCTGCCTGCCTCAGCCTCCCGAGTGCTGGGATTGTAGGAGTGTGCCAGCATACCTGGCTCTACCATCAGCCATTCCTATCAGCTTCCAAACATTTTTCTGGAAATTGTTGGAAATCATTCCTCAGCATTAGTACATGTGCTGTTCTTGCCCTTTCCCTGTTCGTGGGCTGATTGCTTTCTGAGGTCAGCTAAGTCCTGGCACATCTCTTAGATCTGAAGACAGGCTCTGCGGCACCTCTCAGTACCTCCCTGCTGGGCCCCATGTGTTTGAAATACACTATCCGTGTCTTATGTTGTGGGAAGAACAATTGGATTGCTAAAGATGTTTATACCTATATTGTCTTCATCTTGTAAATGCAGGTTGATGAGCCCACCCTTTCCTGGTCACCTCGATCTAGAGCCAGTGAGGTGATATGTGGCACCGATGTTTCTAACTATGAACTACAAGTGGAAATAGGTAATAAGTCTGGGTTTCAGTAACTCTTCATTGCTAGAAATGAAATTGATGACAGAAAAGTTTGTTTTACACACAACTTTTTCTGTTATTATGTGCAGCACAAAATTGGTGTTATTGTGTCAAATGGTTGAATTAATTTATATCTACTTTAAGATAATGGCCCAGATTTTTAAAAGATTACTCTGTAGAAATTTTACTTTTATGATGAAGTACACTCCAAGAAGGGACACACTAATCTGAATACTTATTATTTATATATTGTGGGAGGCTTTTAGATTTATGAGTATATTTAACACTGGGAATGAATTAAAATCTCATCATGTAATTTTCTTCTTGAGATGGGGTCTCCCTACATAACCCAGACTAGTCTTGAACTCCTTGAGCTCAAATGCTGCTCCCTCCCAGCCTCCTGATTAGCTGGGGCTGGAGGCATGGGCCATCCAGCTTGCGTCATCTGTGTCTTACAGCCACAGCCCTTTGACCACATTCCTTCCTAATTTGAAATTTTGCCTGAAATCCCATTTGCAGTAGAAACTTTTCTCAGTTAGGTGTGGCATGAGTTGCTGTTTATTCCTGTCTGTGGGATATGTTTGCTTTGAACATCCAGAAACATCTGTGAAACCCTGCAGGCCTGGGCTGGCAGGTGCTGGGGTCGCCTCACTGCAAGGGAGGAGACACAGGATTGTGGAAGGGAGGGTGGTGGAGGAGTGTGCTGAGGTTATAGGAGCGGACACCATCGAGTTTCTTCTGAGAGTTAAGAAAAACAGCAGAGTCCGGCTCCTTAATAAGAGGGCTGTTCACTACATAGCCCAGTCATGTTTTTTGTTACGAACAACAGAAAATTATCTTAGCTAACTAAGCACAAAAAATAAAAACATAAGAATTCTTAATCAATGTTGTAGACTCACAGAACTGGCTCAGGAAGCAGGATGGAAGAAACGTGGAGGAGCTGAGTAGGCCGGGGCAGCTATTGGTGCTCTTGGCAGCTGGGTCCTCCTGCCACTGAGACCCGCGCTCTGTGCCATACAACCTTTGCCTCTGTATCTCTTGTGCTTTGGCCGTTGGCAAACATGAGGCACATGCTCGGGTTGAGGGAGCCCAGGGAAAATGCAGAGCTGAGTTTCTGTAAAATGCACCTGCTGATAGAGTCCCCCAAACAGGAAGACGGCTCACAGGGTGCTAATCTCAAAAAGGTTATAAATGCGTAGGGATCGTTAGGTGGAGAATGTCATTGTGCTGTTCCTGTGTTCCCACAGCAGGAACAAGGGAAAGCAGGGAACATGGCAGGAGATGGATCTGGCGGGACACACTGGGGACACATGGGCATTGACCCCACCTCTTCCCCATTTCCTGAGGGTTTCAGTAGACGTTTGGAACCCACTGTCTATGCCAGGAAACACTGTTGAGAGTGATGGTGGTGACTACAGTATCCAGCAGGCATCAAGCGAACAATAATGTCTTTTTTCCTTTACCTTCCCATTCTGCAGATGAGGGTATTGAGGCTCTGAGACAGTCACACAGCTAGTGATCTGGATCTTTGTCAAATCTCCACTATCAGCTGGCGAACACTACCTGGTGATAGATTGCCAAGTTTAGTACAGCTCTGGCAAGTCTGGAAGATGTGGTAGATCAGTGATTCACAAGAAGAGGGAAGAATCATTCTTGTTTCCTGTCTTTTAGAAAATTACAAAATAATTATATTCTGTTACAGAGCCATTGGATTAAAATTTCTGGACAGCGGTGTGCGTGGTGACACATGCCTATAATTCCAGTACTCAGGAGGCTCAGGCACAAGGATCACCGCAAGTGCGAGGCCAGCCTTGGCTACATAGTGAATTCAAGGCCAGCCTGAACAAATAGTGAGGCCTTGGCTCAAAAAACAGAGAAAGCAAAAACTTGTGGGGAGTGGAGCCTAGGCGGTGGTGTTCTGAAGAAGTTCCCTCCTGTTCTGGTGGAGAATGCGGAGTGTAATGAGGAAGTTGCTATGTGTGTCCAGGGAGAAGAGAACTTCAAGGCAGGCAGGTGGAGCTATGGAGGAGGAGTGAGCTGACCTTCGCGTCCTTTCAGAGATGAAATGGGCAGCGTAGTGAATGGTAGTGAACAGTGCCTGATCAAGGGTCCCGCCCTAGTCTCACCTGCAAGCTGACCTCAGGAGCTATTGGTGCCGAGCCAAGCATCTGCAGCTCCTGCACTGCACAATATGAGACGTAGGCAGCCCCCTGGGTACACACTGTTCACAGCACAACCTGGCAGGCTCAGGTTCACCAGGAGCAAAGACCTGTGCAGGAGCATGTGGGACAGCTGCGTTTATAATTGTCAAAACATTGAAGCAGTTCAACTATCTGCCGACCTGTGACTGGATAAATAAATTGTGTATCTAAATAATAGATTATTCAACAATAGAAATATAATTCCTGTTACATACAACATGGATAAATCTCAGAAGCATTATACTAAGTGAAAGAAGCTAAACACAAAAGATTTTATCCTTTTTGATTCCATTTATAAGCCAAGTATAGTGGCTCACACTTGTAATCACAGCACTTAGGAGGCTGAGGCAAAAGGATCATGGCAAGTTTGAAGCCGGACTGGGCAACAAAGTTGAGTTCAAAGCAGGGTATAGTGGCACACACCTGTAATCCCAACACTTGGAGCTGAGGCAGGAGGTCACTGCAGAGTTTGAGTCCAGCCTGTGTTACAAAGTTAGTTTAAGGCCCACCTGAGCTGCATAGTGAAACCTGTCTCAAAACATTTTTTTTATAAGACAAGCGAAACTCAGATGAGTGGTTGCCAGGGACTGGAGATCCCTGAACAAAAGTTCCATTGTTTAGCTGTCACAAATTGTTTCCATTTGCATAGTGGCCATTCCTACACCTTATTTGGGGGTTGCCTGTTTGATCCTCTGCCTATTTTTGTTTCCCAGGCTGGCCTTGAACTCCTTTGCTCCTGTGTAGCTGGACTACAGGTGTACCTTGCCACCCCACCTGCCCGGTTCTAATCGGATCGCTTGTCATCTTAGAAAGTTATAAAAGTTCTTTATGTGTCCCAGATGGAAGTTTTACCAGGCATAAGTATTGTTAATGTTTTCAGTTGAAACTTGCCTTTTCATTTTGTTTGAATGTTTATTGAAGGAAGGAGTTTTTAATTTTGATTAAGTGCCCAATGTCAACGTGTTTCTTCCTTGGGTACTGACATGCGTTTTATGCCTGATGACAGGAAGAGGTTTTGACAACCTGACCTCTGTCCATCTTGCGCGGCATATTCCTACAGGAACACTGGTAACTATAAAAATTACCAATCTGGAAAACCTTTCAGAAGAGCGCCTGAAAGCTTTACAGGTAACAGTATGAAGAAAAAGATTTAATGTAATGTCTATTTGAAGAGGTTATTGTGTGTAAGAATTTTTCTCCCCCAAATTAATAGTTTTTCTGATAGAGAAAGATATTCTTTCTTCTAACTGATAGGTAGTTTACCAAACTGGAAAGAATATTTGGAAGACAAATGAGAACAAACACTACAAAATAACAAATACTTTCAAACTTTGGCAGCTAACACTAAGTTCTTCAATGTATGCTGTGCTCAACATGTTGGTCTAGAAATTCTCAGGACCCGAGTCAGCCCATACAAACAGAACCTGAAAACGGTAGAAGCAGTCTCCTTTCCATCTAGTTAATCAAAATTCACTTCCAAAGAGGTAAATTTTTCATTGCAAGACGGAGACTTTGTAGCCCGGGCTACAAAGTGAGCCCAGAACCAGCCTGAACTGCATATCAAGACCCTGTCACAAAAAGAAAAAAAAAGTGGTAAATTTTAAATTTTAACATAGTTACATTTCAAGCATATTATAATACCATTTTCATTGTCACTTTTTAACATACAGGGAAAATTATTTTTATGTTACCCTAGATTTTAGAATATTTCTGTGTGCATGCATATACTGTACAGGAAAAAAAGAATAGAAGAAATGATATCATAGTAACAGTGGTGCTTCCTGTGATGTGTTAGAAGTGTTTTTAGTATGGTTTTAGATGTTTCTACAGTTGGAACACAGTGGAGTTACTAGGAATATGCCCTCTGGAATCGGACTGAATTCACATCTGCTTCCACTTCTTTTAGTATGTATTTTTGGACACATTTTAAAACTTTAGTTTATGTGCTTCAGATACAGTCTCATTTTGTAGTTCAGGTTTGCCTTGAACTCACTATTTAGTCCAAGCTAGCCTTGAACTCGCAGTATCTTCCTGCCTCAGCCTCCTGAGTGCTGAGATTATATGGATGTATGCCACCACACTTGGCTTTTAAACTTTCTTTTTTCTCTTTGAGACAAGGTAGTTCGGTAATTCAGGTTGGTCTTGAACTCACTACATAGCCCACGCTGGCCTTCAACTTACGGTGACTCTCCTGCCTCAGCTTCCTGAGTGCAAGGATTATGGGCATGTTCCCCTGTGCCCAGTTTAAACTTGTTTTTAAGCATTATATTCTGTCAAGTAGGGACCCCAGCACCCCATGTGTCATGGCAGGGCTGTGAGTGTTAAAGAGATGAAAGCAGTAAGAACCCCGCTGCTCCCCGCTGCTCCCCCGAGTCATAGCTGCCTCTGTTTCTGCTGTTTCCTCATAGGAAAAAGGTGTTTTCAATGGTTTTGTGTGTTTATCCTAGAGAGCAGTGATCCTATCCCACTTTTTCCGGCACCCCAATATTACAACTTACTGGACAGTTTTCACTGTTGGCAGCTGGCTTTGGGTTATTTCTCCATTTATGGCCTATGGTAAGAAAACTGATTTCAAATGCAGTAACTCATAGTTTAGCCTGGATACAGTCACTATAAAGATGAGTGATTTGGATTTGCTACTTTTAATCCGTAAATCTAATGGGAGAGTCTAGATTCATGATATATTTACCTGGTTCGTGTTGACTGTCATCTGTGGACAAAAAGAGCAGGGTGACCAGTGAAGCCACCGCTGATTCTGTAAGATTCCGCACTTTGCCCATGCCCTCTCCTGTCCTCCTGTCCTCCTCCCCTCACGGGAGGCAGCAGCTGTTCTCCCCACATGCTTTCTCCCTGCTGTCACTGCTTCCTGTCATTGCACACGACTCTGAGTCAGAGCTGGCGATGGCCACTGGGAGCCTGGCTCCTCTCCTGGGCTGCAGACAGGGTCATTTCCACTCCCATCTGGGTGGCCCAGGGGCTCCTCTCGTACTTAGCTAGCAGTCTTTAGGACAGCTTTATGAACTGCTTCTGGAGTTCTAAAAAAATTTCATATGTATATACAGTATGTATTTTATTTAGTAATATTGAAAATATGTTAATTCTCTTTCCTAATTGCAGAAGAGCATTGTAAAAAAAGGTTTTAAAAATTTTATTTTTTAAAAAAAATTTTGGGGGGCCAGGGATTTAGCTCAGTGGCATAAGCACCTGCCTGGCATGCGTTAAGGTTGTGAGTTCGATTTCCAGTACCAAAAAAAAATTTTTTTTGGTAGTTCTAGTCATCAAATGTGGGTCTTCAACCATGCTAGGCAAGTGCTCTACCCTTGAACTATACCTCCAGCCCAAAAAGAAAAGTCTTTTAAAGATTCTTTAAGGAAAATCACTTTCTCATGAGCAAGTGGTTAGACTCGAGAGAATAAGATGTGTGTGTAATTATGGTGGAAATAAGGCTAGTTTTCTTCTCCGTCTACAGATGTCTGTTTTTTTTTCAGGTTCAGCGAGCGAGCTCTTGAAGACGTACTTTCCTGAAGGAATGAGCGAAACTCTAATAAGAAATATTCTCTTCGGAGCAGTGCGAGGGCTGAACTATCTACACCAAAATGGCTGCATTCATAGGTGTTTACTTATGTCCATTTCATAACAGGAAAGAAAGGCTTCTTTTTAGGAAGGAGTGCCTGAGCATTAGGAGGCTGAGAAATTTGCAAAGAATTGAGGAAGGGGCTCCCAGGTTCTTTCCCAGCTACTCGGGCCACACACGTCGGTGCTGCCCCTGGTCCCCGGGAGGAGGCGCTGCGCCTCTGCTCAGTTGTGGTTTCCTGAGATAGAAGATGTGCATTAGGTCGTAGCTGTAGGAAGAGGGTCCTGGGTAGGGAGATGCTTTCCAGTCACTTCTGACTCCTACCCACACACCGTACAGATTGAAGTTAATCTTCCTTTGATTTCTTAAACATATTACAGAGCCTTCAGTTTTGTTTTTTGTTTTTGTCTTTTTTTTTTTTTTTTTTAAGGCTAGTCAAGTGAAGCAGTGGGAGTGGAGAAGGAACAAAGAAACCTGTAACTGGTTGTGATCAATTAGTTGTAAACACCTCTGCACTCGGACCAGCCCGTTTTTGTCTTTTTTGAGACAGGGTGTCACTGTGCAGTTCAGGCTGACCCCGAACTCCTGACTGCCCAGCCTCCCTAGTGCTGGGATTACAGGTGTGCACCACCACACCCAGTGGTTGTTGGTTTAGGTGGGTTTTTTTTGTTTTTGTTTTTGTTTTTTTGAGAGAGGGTCTTACTATGTAGTTAAGGCTCATTTTGAACTATGTAGTCCAGGCTGGCCTTGAAGTCATGGTGATCCTCTTGCCTCAGGCTCCTGAGTATAGGGATTACTTGAGTGTGCCATTTTGCCTGGCCAACACCTTGAGATATTCATGCTAAATATCAGTTCTCTTGGTACTAGTCTCCAGATATAGAAGAAATGGCTGAATATGAAAAGCAGTGCTTCTCTGAAATACAGTGGGATTTTGTTTTGGTTTTTAATTGTTACTTGTAAATAAATTTCCTTATTGTTGCAGTTTTCTTAAAGCTTTTTGTCTTCTCTTTGTTATGTCTGGGATTTCAAACTGATTACCTTCTAATTAGCTGAGGTTTTTCTTTTTTTTATCGGTACCAGGGATCGAACTCACGACTGCCTGCTTGCAAGGCAGGTGCTTATGCCGCTGAGCTAAATTCCTAGCCCCAATTAGCTGAGGTTTTATTAGACCTGACCTTATCAGATGATTGGCTCTCCTGCTCTCTTACGTGTCCTAAATTTAGATGTTCACTGTTTGTGTTTTGGATAAAAAAAATAAGGCTCTTTTATAATTTATCTGACAAGGAATTTTTGTGTGACGTATCTTTATCAGTAATGGTTATACCACAAGAGGCTTTTGTTGGGTAATATTGCATTGAGTCTTACATCAGGATTCTTTGCTATTTTTATAGTAGTTATTTGGTTCTATTACTTTGGAAAAAACTTACCAACTCCAAACATGTAACTTTCAATTCCATTTTCTCTTAAGAAGCTGAAAGAATTTCTTAGTTCCTTGAACTTCTATGTGTCTGTAGCAGTGAATGTGACACACTGCTGTTTTATCACAGGGGTATTTGATCTCTGAGTGAACATATGGGTTATGACCAGGCTTTTATTGTATTCATTGGCCAGATTCCTAGCATTTAGGATTGTTTCTTTCTGTTCTAGGAGTTTTAAAGCCAGCCATATCCTCCTCTCTGGTGACGGCCTGGTGACCCTCTCTGGCCTGTCCCATCTGCACAGTCTGGTTAAGCATGGACAGAGGCATAGGGCTGTGTTTGAGTTCCCACAGTTCAGCACATCAGTGCAGCCGTGGCTGAGTCCAGAACTGCTGAGACAGGTCAGCTGTGGCCCTCGGGTTGTCTGTGTGGCTTGATTGTCTTCTGAGTTTGGCTGAAGGACACTGGCATCCTTGCATTCGGATTGGTGAATGGCCTTTGCAAGACTTTTTCTGGTCAAAAGTATCTTAGACATTTTAAATTGTAAACCACATATTAGGTAGATCCTGATTATGGGTTTTCCCCCCACTATTGTCATCCTTTATCAAAAGAGCATATTGTATAACTGTTGGTTAAATTATCTGCATTAAAGAATTTGAAACTGTGTTCTACAGGATTTACACGGATATAATGTGAAGTCGGATATTTATAGCGTTGGGATTACAGCATGTGAATTAGCCAGCGGGCAGGTACCTTTTCAGGACATTCACAGAACTCAGGTAAATGCTTCCAAAGTCCGAGAACTACTTGCCTTTTGTAAGTCCTCTTACATTTCAGATAACTTCTGATAAATATGTTTATGTAGACTCATAGATCCTTATTGTCTGCAAGGTTAAAGGAAGTTTTTTTCTTAGATGTTGCTACAGAAGCTGACAGGTCCTCCGTACAGCCCTGTGGACCTCAGTATTTTCCCTCGGTCAGACTCCAGAATGAAAACTTCCAGGTCAGGTGTAGACTCTGGGATTGGGGAGAGCGTACTTGCCTCCAGCGGAACTCACACTGTCGTCAGTGACCGTCTGCACACACCGTCCTCAAAAACCTTCTCTCCTGCTTTTGTCAGCCTAGTGCAGCTCTGTCTGCAGCAAGATCCTGAGAAGAGGTATCTGTCACTTACATACAGAGTTTATATTTCATAGGAGCCTGTGGTCCCACTCTTCCTGTAAAATTCTCTTTTGTCAGTCTTTTCAACAAAAAATTAGTCTGATCTAGAAAATGTCAGTGACAGGGAACAAGTAGAGGTGAATAAGTAAGTGGGAAGAACACTGGATTTGAAATCACAAGAGCTGGCTTCAGTCTTGGCTCCCCATTTCCCAGCCAAGTCACTCGGTAAAAATTACCTTCTGGATGTTAATTACCGTGCTTGTGCTAAGACGTTTTAGGAACTCCTAAGCAGCATAAAAATGTAAATTTCCTCTATTATGCTAATATAAGTTATTACTATAGGTAACTATATTAGCATGAGTATTTTGGCAAGAAGGCACGTGTATTTTATCTTTTTTAGCCTCTTGGTGGCTGGCATTATTCTTTCTAAACAGTATGTACTCAATAAATGTTGATTGTGGAGTGACTGAAGGATACACCTAGACTCAATTCCTCCTGTAAGTGAAGCCTGGAACTTAGAAATGGACTTCTGACACACGTTTCTTTTTAATGTTTTAGTTTTGGGTTGTATAGCTATAAACCTAATTTCTAATAGTTATATAATGAAAGCCCACATTCTAATACTAATATTTTTTATAATCTAGTATTTTTAATAATTCTTTTTAAAATTGCAGACCATCTGCAAGCAGTTTATTGTCTCATGTATTCTTCAAGCAGGTAAGGGATCTATTATCAAAATGTATTCAAATGCCACTGAAGTCATTTTGGGCTTAATGGGATGCCTTACTTACGAAGAGTCCTAACAGCTTTCTTAAAAATATAGCTAAAAGCAAAAAAAGCTCTTTTGTTAGTTCAATTACAGATTTTTGGAAAGATTTCCATTCTGCAAAATGAGTAAAAATAAACTTTATCACTATCTGTTATTTTATGCTCAGTGTATATTTTGATTATTTTACTTTCTGTATCACCTAGAAATGATGAGGACAAACTAATTCTGATAAAAATCACTTTGTTCAGCTTTTAATTCTTGTTTGCAGCTGATAGGAAAATATCCAAAACAATTTTTAAAAAATTTTAGAATTATTTGCTTGCTTCCTTCCTTTCCTTCCTCCCTCTCTTCCTTTTCTCCCCCTTTTGACAGGCTTTTGATCCATTTACCCAGGTTGGATTTCAGATCAGTCCTCCTGTCTTATCCTCCCAAGTAGCTGAGATGACAAGCCTATGCCACTGCACCAAGGCTTAAAATGGTTTATTTAGAAAAAAGATTTAAAAATGATCTATTGCTGATAAAACTGATGTGTTGAATTTATGTAACAACAGCATTGTTTGTTTTAACAGGCAAGGGAAGAAAGCCAGGACTCCATTCTCTTGCAGTTGCCTCCTGCCTGTGACAAGCCATCAGCTGCACTGCCACCGGTGTTTGGGGCAGAACCGGACTGTGATTTTCCCAAGGTGCAAGGCCCAGCCTGGGAGTTCTAGGCCTGCCATGTTTCGTGTCCTATATACTTGACACTTCCTCCTCGCTGCTTTTCCTCCTGTATTTCTTGGTACAAATACCAGAATTATACTTGAAAACACAGTTGGTACACTGGAGAAGCTGTTCTTTAAACCACTCTGTGCAGAGGCGTGGATTCACCCCTCTGCTTAGACCAGTGTGCCTTACAACTCCAGGGAATCGTCAGCATTAGTAATCTAGCTACAGATAGTTGGTATCATCTCTTCTTGAACTTTTTCCAAGCTGTGACTACTTCTGTCGGCATAATTTCTGAGCCAGTTAACTTTTTGATGTCCTGCTGTCTTGGAATGAGTGATCTTTCTGAGGGCAGTGCTCTATGGGCATCGTCGTCTTCCAGTCTCAGGCCTTCGTGACCAGCTGCTATTAGACAAGTAGGCTTGTTGATCCTGGCATCAAACCTCTTTTTTGGAGAAAGGAAATTGTTTATATTCCCGTTCTTCTTCTGTTAATGTGGATGGTGACATCAAACTGAGCCTGAAATGATTCACTTGAAATACACAGAGAAGATACCATTTGCTTTTTTTAAAGGAGGGCAAAACTTAGTAATTTTTCTATCTATGTAAATTATCAATCCCAAATGCACATGCCCCTGTAAGAGCTCAATAAAGACCTACTGAATGGGATGGTGCTTGTACTTTTTCTGATGTGGTTTGACAAAACCGAACACAGATTCTAATTTGCTTTGCCAAGAAAAGTACTTTCTCAGTTTTATTTACATACCCTATAGACTGAGAAATAGGCTATCTGATTCAATGGAGGCAGAAGGCAGATCTGGCTTTTTACATGATCCCTGCTCCTGGAGTGGGTAAGGATTAAAGGAATAGGCCTCTGAAGTGGTTACTTCTTTAACCAAAGGAGGGTGCGGTTTCAGAAAGTGTAGTTTGAGCTGTGAGAAATTGGAGCCTATCTCCGCTGATTTTCTGAATCCATACAATCTTTTTTTTTTTACACAAAGGTCTCACTGTGTAGCTCACGCTGGCCTCAAACTCATGGTGATCCTCCTGCCTCCGCCTCCCAGAGCTGGAATTACAGGGATGTGTCACCACACCCTGCTCTAATACATGACAACTTCACAATCTTTTATCAGGGTTTTTTTTTCCTTTTTGAGACAGGGTCTCCTATGCAATTCAGGCTGGTCTTGAACTCACTCTGTAGCCCAGGCTGGCCTCATGGTGATCCTCTTGCCTCAGCCTCCCGAGTGCCGGGATTACAAGCATGTGCCACCGCACCCAGCTATAAGTTGTTTTTAAATGATCAAGAAACTAAAACCAAAAAGGTAACACGTGATTTGAAAAAAATCCTTTTTTATGTTTACTGGCTAGTGCCCCGCAATAAACACTGAGGTTACTGTATTAGTACAGCTGCCAAGACCTGGCAAGCTGTACTGAAAGCCGAAGGTGAGAGTGTAGAATGGACTATTTCAGACTGGCTGGATGTGTTGTGTGTGATAATCTGTAGTTTAAGGGAACTCAGTAACAACTACTGTTATCATACAATTACAAAAATTACTTTTTATGTGCATTTAATGTGGAATGTCATGCTTTATAATGGCCTGATAACCTTTATTTTGGAAATCCATTTTGAATGTGCATCTCCATACATACAAAATAACTTGAAAATTGTAAAAACAGTGCCTTAGCATACTGACGCCAAGTCCACCCTTGGTGAGCTGGCTGTGGTGCTGCCTTTTACTTTCCCTTCCTCATTTAAGCAGAGCTCTTCAGTGGCACCAATGCCAGCAAAAGATCCTATGAGAATTTTGAGCAAAGGTTCTAAATATATCTCGGAAAGCCTCTGGCACCATCTAGAATTTCTTTAAACTTGTGCAGAGACTTCCAATTTCAGTTCCTTTCAGTGTGACTTTTATCTCTGTATCTCTGGCCTCATCTTGAAAAGTCCCTTGTAGCACTTTTATTTAAAAATCTATACATTCACTCACATCTGTACATCCTTCCCAATTGTTTGCTTGAAAACCCACTAGCCCACATACTTATCTTTTCCTAAAATATTTCTACTCCTAGTCCGGCTTGAATCCTCCTTGGCCTGACATATTTACTTCATGTTTACAATATGCTGGCACAACAGTTACCTGCCTGGCACCTATTTCCAGCTTGAAGTGTTACCCTCAAGAGGTTCTGTCTGGTAATGAAGACAGATCAATAAACAACAATTCCACTATAATAAAAAATAGTTGCCGACGAAGGAAAACTTTGTCTTCCCATTCCCTTCACCTAACTCTTCTCCATGGGAAGGAAAGTCAATATGATTAGCCAGACGCTGCCATCCATTACACAAGTTACACATCACAGAATTATTAACTCAAGATATTTTCTGACCTTTCTTTTCTTTGCCAAGTTCCAGAGAAATGACGTTTTACCCTCCTTGTAGCTTTTGTCACTGTACATCCTCTCAATCAGTGAATAATGAACTAGTTACTTTATCCAGGGGAAGTCTTTTTTTACGTTAAAAAAAAATTCCTTCTACACAGTGCAGGGAACATAAGACAGAAAAAGCTGTGGTCACACGGGCTGCATGTGACAGGAAGGTCACCCAGGCCACACAGCGCGTGGGATCGGCTAGCTTTGGAGGCCCTGAGTTTAGCGAAGCTGTGGTTCAGTTGCAAACACTTGCCTGGCTTTTCAACTCCTTTGGGAGGAAGTGAGGGTGGCTGGTGGGCAGTGGGCCTTCTGCGCACAATTGCTGAACTCCTTAATTCAGCGTCTAGTCCACCCCTGCACCATTCTCCATCTCTATTGTGCCCGTTTTCCATGTGGCCTGTCCTCAGCAGGCCACAGAATCACCCTCACCCAACTCCCCCAGATGCACAACACAAACCCATAACCTCTAGCATGTTCAGACCCAGTGGATATCATAGTGTCCTATGCACAAAATCATACAAACCCTGACCCTAACCCCGGGACCCTTGTTCTCTTTGGATGCCGCCCCACAAATGCTGCAGTGGTTTACTCAGGATCTCCCAGTCCGTCATCCACCTTCCATTGCCCCAGTTTTACCACTACACATAAACAAAGCAAAACCAGAGACTTCCAGAATTTCTTTATTGACCATAGCCTTTGAATTTAATATAGATACTAACAATCTCCAATGTGCACTGTTATAGCTCAAAATTACTACATTTTGCTATTTTATTTGGGACCTATTCTATTTAAGGGTCAGCTCAAAAGCCAAGTTCCTATTAAGTTGTATGACCTTGTAGACGTAACTGCCAAAGGCAGAACTGACCATCTCCAAGTATTACTTCACACATTCATATTAGTGGGTTCACACTATTTTATTAATCTCAAAAGATAGTCCTTTGGGGGGCAGAACCTGACCCTCATCAAGATTCAGATTATGCAACCACAAAAGTGTAAAACAGCATTGAGGAAATAATCTTGTTTTAAAATATCAGATCTAATCAAACATTGAGACTTAAGGTCCAGTATAAAGAAAATTCAGATTGAGAAAAAAATCAAATGAAACGTAGGGAAAAGTCAGACAATCAAAAATATAAGTATGATACTAAAACAAAAGTCTTGGACACTCCAAAAAAAGTGTCATAGGAAGGTAGTAAATATACTAAGAGGACACTCGTAAAAAAGGAAGTATGTAGCTGTATGGAACCATCAATTGTGTGCCTGGGAACTTACCTCACAGAAACAAAAATGTTCACACAAAAAGTTGTACACAAATGTGCACGTGAGGGTTTTTCCTCTTGTCTTTTTTAGATAGTCTTGCTATGCAGTTCAGGGTGGCCTTAAGCTTACTATGTAGTCCAGGCTGGTCCTGAACTTGCAATGATTCTCCTGCCTCAGCCTCCCAAGTGGAGGAATTACAGGCATGCATCAGCACACCCAGCTTCATGGGAGTTTTAATAGTCCAAATTGAAGTCAACCTAGATGCTATTCCAAATGTGAATGGTAAAACAAAGCACAGGGTGTAACACCTTGGATTACTACTCAGCAAGAAAAAGGAATGAAAACTGGGGTGATCTCCTGGGAGTGACACTGGACAGAAAAGCAGCCAGTTCCAAAAGGCTGCATCCCAGCGATCTGACCTACTCAACATTATTGAAATGACAAATTTTAGAAATTAGCAGATAGATTAATGGTTACCAAGGGTTAGAGTTTGGGGTGCAAGAGGGAGATGTATGTGGTTAAAAGAGCAACATGAGAGGCTCTTGTGGTTTCTGAAATGGTTGTACTTTGACTACTGTGCAGATACACAGAGTTCCGTGAATGACAAATGTACAGATTTTAAACATAAACTGACAAAATACAAATAAAATGGGAAATCTATGTAAGATTGGTTATGTGTATCCATGTCAATATCCTGGTTATGATGTTACTCTATTTTCAAGAAAGGTTTTTAGGAGATATTCATAAAGTGAACAAGGATCTCTGTATACAACTGGATAAATCCACACAGTGAAAATTTTCATTAAAAAATATCATGGGAAAAAAAAGGCAATTAATTTAAAATATGAGAAAGAAAATAACCGAATGAAATGTGTGAATCTTTACTATGCCTCAAAAGGTAACTGGGAAAATCTGAGTGGACAGTTAAGAGATATTATGGAATTATTATATTCTAGTTGCCTTGGTATTATGTCTACAGACAATTATTATGTTTAGAACATGAAGGCTGAAATACTCAGGTGAAGAGCCATGATGTTAGCAACTTAATTTCAAAAGGCTTTTTTGGTGGTTGTTATTGCTTTTTTTTGGTTGTTGTTTGTTATTGCTTTTTTGAGACAGGGTCTTGCTATATAGTTTAGGCAGGCCTTGAACTCAAGATGATCCTCCTGTCTCAGCTTCCCAACTGCTTGGAATATGGGTGTTTGTCAACATACTTCAAAACGTTTTGAAGAAAAAGGGATATGCCAAGAAAAAGTCAGTGATGCTGTTTTTCTTTTGGTGCTGATAGGGATCACTAGAGACAGAAAGAACTCGGGGCCTTCCCGTGAATCTGAGCCACGGTCCAGCACTTTGGTTTTTTGAGAGTGGATCTTAAATCACTAAATTAATGAGGTGGTCCTCAAATCCCAGGTCCTCTGGCCTCAGCCTTTAGAGTCCTGGGATTCTAGGCATGCACTGCCATGTCTAGATAAATAATGCAAAACATTTAATAATCATGTCAATGTTGACCTAGATTATAGATATACTCTTTCCACATTTTTGATAATTTCTAAATAAAAAGTCCTCAGGGCTCACTCACCTGGGTCCCCTTCCCACCCATCCTATGAAGCACCTACTCACACCCACCCGTAAGTCTTTCCTACATTTTCCCTTTCCTGTTCCTATCTGTGGCTAATTGGCTTCTTGGCTTCTAGAAAGCAGGTACAATGTTTTATCTATTTTAATTTTTGCACTCCACAAACCTAAGCCTTGTTCTCAGAGCTTCAGATTCAACAGGTCTGATATTTTCAGGGTGAGCAATTTGCCTTGAGTTAATCCTTGTGACTTTATTCCCACCTGCTGGAGACATTCATTTGCAGTGAACTTTCATGCTTCTCAACCATCATGGTCAGAGGAGTCTTTGACAGACACTATTGGTTTTTCCTCGATGAAGAATGTGTACGTATTCACCTTGCGGATCACGTTTGCTGGAATCAGCAGGAGATATGAACTTTGGGTCATATTTTTCTTACCTGAAAGAGGGCAAAGGGAAGTAGGCCTATGCTAGTACCAGTGTAGCCAGCTTTCCCAGCTCCACAATTCAGTGACAGCTGTAGGATTCTTATTCTCTCAAATGGTAGAAGCAAATTTTTCAACTTACAAAGTACACATCTGCCATTTAGTTCTGCATGTCCTTGAGCCGGTATCACTGGGCCAAAATCAAGGTATCCACAGAGCTGCATCCATTCTGGAAGTTCTATTGGAGGATCAGCTTTTGTGCTCCCTCAAACATTGGTCAAATTCAATTCTTCGCAGTTGTGGGATTGAGAGCCCTGCTTCTGCTTCTTTGCTTGCTGTCAGCAATGTTCATTCTCAACTTCTAGAGGTCACACAAATTCTTGGTTCATGGCACCCTCTATCTTTAAAGCCAGCACTACCACAACTCTCTAGCATACAACTTTCTCTGCCCACAGATAATGAAAGGTTCTGCATCTCAGGGCTCACAAAACCACACTAGGACAGCTGGGTAATATACAAAATACCCTCATTTCAAGGTTCAAACTCTTATCACATTTTTATCCTTTTTGCTGTATAAAGCGTTGTATTTGCGTTTTGGGGATGAGGACTCAATTGGTAGACACTGGGAAGCCCCTGCAACCCCCCACATTGGCAGCAGCTTTCCGACGTTGCTCCTTGATGACACTGCTCTGGTGTGGTAAGCTCGGGTCTGCCGAGCATATCTTCTTTGCATCTGCAGACAGGGAGGATTGTGAACTCCTTCCTCAACAGTTCACTGCCATATGTGAACCCCTGGTGACTCCAGTGAAAGCCAGAACTGGCACGATGACTTCAGAATTGCTAGCAGATTCACAGCTCTGACTGCAAACGGAAACTCTACTCAGCAGCTCCCACCTCACAGAGAGCAAAAGACATTCCTAATATGGTGCTCACACCAATCTAAACTTACCTCGGGGACCTGTCCCTACCACCCTACCACTGACCTGTCAGTCCTGTTCTGGCCCACAGCGTCACACTGCCTGCTTATGAGGGCAGGCCTGACAGTTCTACTGCTGGGGTCCACAGCCTTTGAGTTACTCCTGCCCTCAGCATCCTTGTCATTGTTCTGAATGTTGGGTCTCAGAGCTTCCAGTGGGGAAAACACAGGACACAGCTCTGGAGACAGCTTTGTACTGCAGGAGCCACAGGTCAGGAGCAGGGTTAGTGGAAAGCCAAAGATCTTCCTGATAAACAGTGAGGAAATAGAGATTTTCTGCTCTAATTTCTTGTTATTCAAAACAAACAATCCTACCAGAAAAGGGTATTGCAGAGGTCCACCAGGAGCTTGGTTTCTCTTTACATATTTTATAAGCTATGTCCCTAAACGTTTCCAATGAGCAACCAGATGGAGGAATAACTGTTACAGATTTTGAAGAGAAATAAACTTTTTAGGTTATAAAACTGTCAAACAGAAAGATCTATTTCTGTCTCATTAGCAATAAAGCAAAGCATCTTAAAATTACATTATAATCACATGACAGACAACTACTAAGTCAGATTCAGAAAAGACAAAACTTTATATTTCAACTTGTTCAGTAAGGAGACAACAAAACAATAAAATCCTTTTTTACCTTCTATTTCTTAAATTTGTAATTAAATTTTATTTACATTTTGTAACACTAACATTAGGTAGCTTTTTAAATTACTCGTAAGATACTAAATATGAAAATAACTAAATTTGAGAGAGCAAGAAATAAATACTTTTATCTGCTGATTTCTAATTCATTCTCTCTTTTGTCATTAATAAGGCTAATGAAATTAACTTTTCATATAAATTGAAAGAATTTTAACGTTTCCATAATCTTGAGAAATTTTTCAATCACAAAAAATTTTTCAATAATAAAAAAGTATAAATATACATATCTTATAAGGTTCTTTTTTTGAAAAGCGGGAAAAATACTGGGTCATCACTCCTCTGCAGATGAGCTGATACTAAGAAGACGCTTTGCTGCTTTTCTCAGGATACTCTTCCACATCGCAGAAGAACATTAACTCTGGGAGGAAAATGAACAGATCGCACTTACAACAGTTTCCTGGTGCCTCAAAGAGTTTCACAGCTTAGTTTTTTTTTTTGGTCTTTTTCCTTTTTATCGGTACCGAGGATCGAACTCATGACTGCCCGCTTGCAAGGCAGGTGCTTATGCCGCTGAGCTAAATCCCCAGCTCCTTATCTGTTTTTTTTTTTTTTTTTGTACAGCTTAGTTATGAATGGTCTCTTGAAATACTGATGTAATACACAGAAGCAGAAAACCCTCAAGGACAAGCATGAATTCTTGACAGTAAAACCTGACTCAAATATTTAACAAATGTACATGTTCTACTTGCTAAAATATTCAAGCTTTACATGTATTATAAATCCTGAAAAGTAAAATGTACAATGGAGGTAACTTACCAGGAAATTTAAGACACTGGTAGAAACTGAGATTGTAAAATGGCTACAAGGTCTTTTTCTATAGTGAAAAGTAATTAATACAGGGGACAGATACAGAGGAAGGACCTGGAGGTACCACTAGGCATGTACTAGGTTATTTTCAGTGTGTCATCCCATTTAATCACGGAAGCAATGCCACAGGTAGGGAGCATCCTCACAATCACATGCTGATGTTTTGAGGGACGGACTTCGTCACGTGGCTCACAGAGCCCTGGGAGAGCAGCTCTGGGGAACGGTTCCCAGGACAGGCTTGGATTTAGGGTGAAGCCTGCAGAAGTCAGTCAGACAGTTTCAGCCCTAACGACATTTTTATAAGAAAATGTTTAGCATAGATGGTGCAATTAAAATGTCAAAAACAAAGCAAAAGAAAACCTTAAGGATCTATTGAAGTCTTCCAATATAATTACATGAAAAATTCTTTAAATAATTGAAATTATCCCAAGTGAGAGGAAAAACATCAAATACATAAAGCCTAAGATTAAACAAAATACTTTAAAAACCATAACTAAAGTCCAGAAAATATCCCTAGGAAAGACTCGGGCGAGAGTGCAGAGCCACTATGGAGGTAGCTCCGCATCTAGACACTAGCACCGCCAGCACGGAGGCTGTGGGGTGCCTGGCCAGCCGGACTCTTCCTCTCCAGATCCCAAAGATCAGGGACTGCTGTTGGTAACTGGGCAGCCAGGGTGAGAACCAAGCACTGGCATGGTGGGCACTGAGCAAAGCACGGCAGAGGTAAGACTGAGCACCTCTGATAAAGAGTAACTTCATGGAAAGGATGGAATTGCACCAAGTAGAGGAGAAAACAAGCAGAATTCTCCGGAGTATATGTCTGACAGACGGGCCACACAAACTGAGCATAATTCCCCGCACACTAAGAGATGCTTCCATAAGAAGGTGGGGACTGGCGAAGAGCAGCCTTTCTCCGCATCACCTGACAGGCTCCAGGCCGAGACCCCCTCGCGCAGAGGGGGGGTCAGACCTGGCTCTTCAGGGGCCCCTGCTTCTGCCATTTGGTTACGTGACTCTATTTTCACTCTTGTATGATTTTATTTTACATGTGCGTTTGTTGTTGCTAAGACAAGGTTTCACTGTGTCGTTCAGGCTGGCCCTGAACTTACTAGATGGCCCCAGCTGGCCTTGAACTCACTGAGATCTTCCTGCCTCGCCCTCCTGCGTGTTGGGGTGACAGGTTTGTGCCACTTGGCTTGTTGTTGAGATATTATAGGAGAATTTATAAAATCATTAGAGAAGATTCAGGATTCTCTTACACTATTTTTCTTTAGTACCTTCACTAAGATCCATGCCTGGCCTATGAGACAAAAACAGCCAAGACAATCCCACCAGAAGGGCCACCACCAAATTCACCACAATCCACGGCTGCAGAATCTGCTCCTCGATTCCTGCTGCCCTACAGGTACAGAAATGCACATTAGAAATATCTTCATTTGGTTCATATATCAAAATATAGCTATTTTAGAGAAACAACAAGTACAAAATAAAACATAACTTCCCTACAGAATGCACCATTTATAACAGGAGATAAAGGCTCAAAGATTACTTGAACTCTACATAGATGTGCTCTGCACATTACCATAAATGGAAAGTCAGTATTGCCAAAAAAGATTTCCTCAGTTTCCCTTTTTCAATTAAGCATCTTTCCTTGGTCTCTTGACCTATTTCCTAGCCACTCATAAAATAAACAAGCAGACAGACAGACAGACAGACTGAAGCCCTAGCTGCCCATCTGTGTTTCCCCCGAGCCCCACTGCCCGCAGCTTCCCTCTTGCCTGCACTTGGCACTCACAGCTCTCTCTGCTCACCCCTCAACACCCTCCCCATCACTGTCGACTGGGGGAACAGGCAGAGCTCCTCCAGTCCCCTGCATGGTGTGTGAACAATCCAAAACATACTTTTGAGAAGAAAACACTTGGTTAACAGTACAGGTATATACAAAATAGTTATCCCTCAACTAAAGCAAATTTGGAAATATTTTTAGAATTAAAACAGGGCCTGCATAATTATTTACAGAGGAAAGCATGAACAAGAATGGAGGAGAAAGTACCATCACTCCACTGTTGCTGTTTTATCATTAATAAGCACTACCACTGCCTGAATTCATACCAGAGGCTGCTGTTAACAGAAGATGCATAAAGGTGGATCCTGTCACTTGTCATTTGCTGACTCAGAGACAGTATAAGAGCAGTAAAGTATGCTGAAAAAAAAGACAAATGAAATTACTAATAATTTTAATAACCCAGTTTATTTTTAATTTATAGATTACAAAGGTCAAAAGTAATCCCCTTAGTGAATGATGATATAGAAGAAATTCAGTTCATCAACTTCAAGAGATAGTAACTCGAGTACTGAGGATCTTTCGACCTGACAAGAACCTAGACCATCTTTTAAGAAATTAAATAACTTGCTCAAGGTCGCAAAACTAGTTTTATTAATATTCTCAAAACAAAATGTATTCTGTTATTAAAAGAATGTGAAATAGTATCTTACTGAGAGGACATATATTTATAGTCCTGAATATATTTATAGTAGAATATATTTATAGCTGAATATATTTATAGTAGAATATAAAGTGAAACTGCTAAAAATTAACTAATATAAAACAAATCAAACTTTATTTTTTATTTTATTTTGTCCTTTTTTGGGACAGGGGCTCCCTATGCAGTTCAGGCTGGCTTGGAGCTCACTTTGTAGTACAGGCTGGTCTTGAACTTGCAACCATCCTCTTGCCTCAGCCTCCCGAGTGCTGGGAGGTATTCGCCACCAAGCCCAACTCAAATTTTATTTTTGATGTTGAGGACTGAACACAGGGACTTATGTATAAATTAAACTGTGGAAGATTATTTAAATGAACCTCTGATGAAAAAACTATCCAAATTATGCCCATGTTTTAATTATAAATTCACTAATCTTCTATAAGGGTAATAATATAAAACAATAAAACTTCTTAAAAATAAAATTAGAATCTTATTTTTCTTGGTTCAAAAATTACAGCATATGGCTCGGATGTGGCTCAGTGGTAGAGCTCTTGCCTTGCATGCACAAGGCCCTGCAAAACAAACGAACAAACAAACAAACAAACAAACAAAAATTACAGTGTTACTTAAGTATTAAACTATTACTTACAAAAAGATGCTAAGGCTGTTGGGTCCAGGGCAAAAAAACTTCGGATTGCTACTGATGTCTTAGCAAAGTCAATTCTAGAAAACAAAAAAGCTTCTTGTGGTGCAGTTGTAAACTTTCACACTCACTCACTTTCCTGACTATGATTCTTTCCTTCTCTGCTGCAGACTATCACAGCAGTAGTTTCCAACATTTTTGGCACCAGGCCCTGGTTTTGCTGAAGACAAATTTTCTATAGATGAGGGAAGAGGGGTCCTTGGCTCCACCTCAGATTATCAAGCACTGGATTCTCACATGGAGAACAAAGCCCAGATCCCAGCAGGGTCTGTGTGCTCCTGGAGACCCAACACTGTGCGGCCCACAGCAGACAGGGCTCAGGAGGTGTCGCAAGTGACAGGAGTGGCACAGGCCAGTGCAGGTCGTGGCCTAGGGATGGGGAGCCCTCGTGTCACAAGGCTTTATGGCTATAGTTTCTACCTCCAAGCAAGAGAATATTATTTACAAAAACCACACAACATTCTCCACCTACAGGACTGTTTTAGGTATACTCCCTTAGAGTTAGGGACATCTGAGAAAACACACTTGACCTACAAAGTTCATTTGTTCCTACTTCTTTCTGTTATCCACATCATGAAGCAATAAAGGTTTTTTTTCCCTTTTAAGGGTTGAACTGTACTATTCCCCCCCAAATAAACTGCATTCCTAACCCTTGGTATGCGTGAATATGACCTCACTGCAAACATGGTTTTCAGAGATATAACTTTAAGGTAAGTTAAAGACTGACATAAAATGATACTAACTGTCATATTAATATCCTGGAATTCTATCTGAAAACTGTCACAGTCAGTGATGCATTTCAGCAATTCCTCCTAAAGAAAATTAAAGGACTGTGATTCACAAGCCTCACCTGTCAAGAGCCGAGACTGTACTTAGAGCCAAAAGCAAGTACAGGAGACTCTGGAATGGATATGCTAAAGTCTTGTACTGCTGCAGTAGATTAGGCAGGTTGGACAGCTGCTCTCCTGCTAGCACATAAATCACAACAATATTCCACACAGCACAGCCCGCCAGGAAGCCGTGAGAGAAGAGACCGATCATCCTGCAAAGAAAAAGACTGAGTTGCTGTAAGTTACTAGCATAAAAGGCTAAATAGTTTTTACATCTTTTGACATATAAGAATAAAATTCAACATATTATGAAAAACGAGAACAAATCTTCTTTCCCCAAAGCTGAGGATCAAATTGAGGGCCTCACACAGGTTAAGCACTCTCAACAGACTGCATCCTGGCAAGCCTTTCCTTTTACTCACATTGATAGGCCAGTCGTTTCACTTCAATGGGAAGTTTTAAAAATATACCTACACGTCACTTTTAGTTGTCAGTTTTGGTAGTGGTATTGAATGGCCAGGTTGTCTGAGAATTTTAAATGGTGAAACCCAGCGAAGTTGTCACCTGAAAGCCCGGTGCATGGAAAGTGCCACGTCTCTGGTGGTCCAGGAAGGCTTCATGTCCATGGTCACGTCTATAGTTTCTGTGGTCTTTATCAACTCAGAACGATCAGCAGCCTGGAATCGCCCTAAGAATACATAACACAAGCAATTACCAACAAACAGCGGAGAGAAACATCAGCTCATGCTTCACCAAGCATGATCGCAGCCAAGGCAAAATGTTTGCTGTTTTTCTATCTAAAAACTCTCTTTGACTCAGTGCTTTTTTGTTGTTTTTCCTGCTTAAACATACTATTTCATCATCTTTAAAAAAATAAGCAATGTTAAGAGACTGTCTTCTCAGCTAAAACTGAGGTTAAAGTAACAAGTTTAGGAATTTATGAAACACAATAATTAACTTTCAACTCAACTTTTAACACGACATAGTTTACAAAATTCTTTTTTTTTTTTTTTTGTGGCACTAGGGATTGACCCAGGATCTCAATACAGAGTTACACCCCATCCCTTTTTATTTTCAGACAGGGTCTCACTAAGTTGCCTGGGCAGGACTCAAACTTAGGATTTTGATTCTCCTGCCTAAGCCTCCCAAGTACTAGGATATTACAGGTATGTGCCATCACATCCAGCTAGAGACTTTAGAAGTACAATGGTTCAAATGCCTACAGCTTTCTGTACTGAAAGAAATCTCATAGCTTAGTTAAGAAAAGTCCTAAGAACAGTTATGCTCAATATCAGCATTGTAGCTCACATCAACAGAGACTTATCCTTCTTCCTGTCAACTAAAAATTCATGGACAGATCTCAGGAAGCAAGAAAGGTCCCCACAATTACCCTCGCCAAACCCAGCTGGCAGGTGTGTTGGAGGATGAAAGAATCTTTTTTTCCTGAAATACTTTCAACAGACACAAGCCACTGGTCTCTTTTATAGTCAGGTAATCGGGTAGCAAAATTTGTGTTAAGAGCAGGAAGAAAAAAATGAGGACTGTGTGATAATGCTTGAAGAGACTGGAGTAAATTTTATGAGCATACGGTGTACTCCTGAAGGCACTGGATAAGGAAGCTATGAAACTCTGTGCAAGTCCTACTTCTGCACTGACTATGAGCTGGGGGTGAGCTAGGAGTCTCTCCAACCACGGGGTTCTTTTCACTAGGCAAAAACTCCATGATCCCCGCGATAGAATCTTATGGAAACAGAATTCTAAACCTATTTACTCAAAATAGAAACTGTGAGCTTCTAAAGATATATGACTTTATGTTTCCGAGTCCTCTAGGCAATATATCCATAGTGTATGCACTGGAGGAGGAAAGGTCATGATCATGCTTTGTACAAATGTTTGTTAAACACTGTTATGGACAATGCGTCTCCCAAAACTCCTATGTTGAAGCACAAATCCCCACTATGATGGTATTTGGAGATGTTATGCCTGAAGGGTGATTCGGTTTATACAAAGTCACAAGAATAGAGTCCTCTTAGTGTCTTTTTAAAGGGAAGAGACACCAGAAGTCCCTGCTGTCTAAAGACATAGGAAGACAGTGCCCATCTGGAGTTGGGAAGGAGCCATCACTAATAGCCAGGTCTACCAGCACTGTCCTGCTTCTCAGCTTCCAGAACTGTAAGAAATAAATGTATTGTTTAAACACCCAGTCTACGGTATTGTTTGTAGCAGCCTGAGCTAAAATAAATTGCAAACCCAATTTATAACCAGCATATATTGTCAGAAACCTTTTCCAAAAGCTACAATGTTGTGTTTCTTATTTAACATGGTAGTCCCAACATGTATTTTCTTTTATTTATCGAATTTATATTAATATCTGGCCTACTACCACAGCTACTACCAATGGCCCCAAACAGGTCAAGTATAACAAAATGGAAGGAAATGAAGGGGGATGGGGCAAGATTCTTATAATTACTCACAATCCCAAACCCAAAATCAACCAGCATTAAAATTTTGTCATATTTCCTTCTTTTGTCCTTTGCATTTTTCTATAGGTGAGATTAAACTCTGTGTATATGTGCAGAGTTAGATGTTAGATGAAATGAAATGAAAAATTCTCCCTACACATTTAATAGTGCAGAATATTTTATTATACAGACAAATCACAGCTTTCTGAAATCATTCTCTTGTTTTACATTTAGGTTGTTTTCAGTTTTCACCCTACAAATAAAAGTGTCATGATGAGCTTGGTGTATAGGTTTTGTCCATGTTTTTAATATTCACTTAATTTAGATTGCTAGAAGTAATCTAAGGTCAAAGGATTTCCTGTGTGCCTTTATAGAGTTGTTTTCCAAAACAAGATACTACTTACGGCTTTTTTCTATGAACACTTTTCCGACAGGCTGGCTAACTCCAATGGGTGCAGTGAATCTAGACTGCTGTTCTGGAATTCTTTGCTCATCAGTAATTATGTCTTCATCTTCTACTCCTAGCTCATTAGCATACTGCACCTCTGCTGGCTTGCTTTTCCTGTAATGAGGGAGAAATTAAGAAAAATTGGTAATTCTTGTGGCCTAATGGAGCCTCGTAAGAAACCACCAATGAGTACAATGCGGGCATGGAGTTGCATGCTGCTCCCGACTGCAGCAGATCCTCTACTAACTACCCTATGTGTCAGGCTGCCTGCACTCAGTGGGCCCGTTTTCCACTGCATCTGGAAAATGCAGTGACTGAACAAGCTCTTTCCAGACTGAAATCATAAATTGTGCACACACTGATCACCATTCCTAGGTCACTTTGTTGTTACTGTTTTTGTCTTTTTGAAACAGGGTTTTGCTGTGCAGTTCAGGCTGGCCTTGGACTTACTTTGTAACCCATGCTGGTCTCAAACTCACAATGATCCTTTTGCTTCAGTCTCCCAAGTGCTGGGATTACAAAGTGTACCACCATGCCTGGCAACAGGGTTACTTTCAAATAAACAAAAATGTCAAGTAATTTCCAGGGTATCTCTCTAAAATATGCCATTCTATCTCATCTGACTTATCTTCCTAGGCTAAAACATGGTTTTACTTACTGTTGAACTAGCTGTAATTCAAGATCTATTAACATGAGGAATTAAATCAGCCTATTTTATTATCTTCCATTTTTAAGGTCCTTTATTGCTTAATTTTTTGCTGCTTACATAAAATTTTTTCATTGTTTTGGTCTCTTTTAGAGATGGCTTCTTAGGCTTTTAACTTATAATCATATTAATTTTTAAAAATTTTCTGCGGGTTTCACTCTTTTTGAATTTACTATGGGACTGGCTTACCTGATATTTTGTCACACTACTTGTCCCAGAGACAGACACAGTATCTATTAAAACCTGCTGAGAAGCTCCATTTGGGAGCTCTGAGGTAAGCATCTCAGTAACCATGGAGGGTATTCAGAAGAATCAATTATTACTTTGCCTTCCTTCGAGGTTTTTGAGTAACTGCCTCCTCAGCTGGGTTCACATCAGTACCATTTTCATTTCGTAATAAAGCTGGACTAGATGTCTTCTTTTGGGTGAGTGAAGTCTCACGGTCTGTAAATAAAACAAATTGTGTTTTCAAATGACTAAGATAAGTAAAAGTAATGTACAAGACTTTTATAATGCAAGAGAACTTCGAAGTTTTAAATAGGCCAAAATATTTTCAGTATTTTACAAATTTCTAGTTTTTAAAACTTTATATAGCTAAACTCTCAATAAATAATTGAAACTACAATGTCAAACAACATGGAAAAAAAAGTAATGTAAAACCCAGCACTAGATCACTTCCAGGTTTAGTGATTTGTCAGAAGGATTCATGGGACTCAAAAGTCATTACGCTCAAGATTACCTTATTACATCAAAAGGATACAAGGCAAAATCGGCAAAAAAAAAAAAAAGTGGATGGAGCAAATTCCAAGCTGGTCTCAATTGTGGATCCTCCTGCTCAGCCTGTCAATTTACGTCAATTTACGCTCCGCTACACTGATAGTGCAAACCCAGATGAAGCCAGGACAGCTTCCAACATCCTTCTCAGTGCAGTCAAGCAGGACGAGCTCCCTACCTAGGAAGCATATTAGATCTCAGCACCCAGAGTTTTCCTTGGGGGGCAATCACACAGGCCTATGTGTACCAAAATTTCAGATTCCCAGAGGGGAAGTTAAGTGCTCAACATAAATCATATTGCACAAATGCACAGTGGGAGCCACTTGCATAATTTCGGAAAAGTTTCATATCAGCGTAGGGAACCATTTACCAGCCAAGTTTCCAAACCCTAGTTACAAGTCTTGGGAAGAACAGCAGCCATATCCTTGTGTATCACACATAGGCCAGGCACAAGTTACTCTTCTTGCTGGAAGCACCAGCCCCCCAGAAGGCTTTGACCCCTTCAAATCCTATTTAAACAAAATACAGCCTGGGCTGGAAAGACAGTGACAGGCAATAAAGCCTAACATTGTTTTGAACAAAACAACAAAAAAAATCAAACAAAAATTTTAAACCCTGAACTACAGAAAGCTAGACGGCAAGGCTGAGTGTACTATGGAGCTGCAGGGTGAGGTGCGTGGTGGCTTTAAGCTGAGTTGGTCTTGAATTTTCTACAAATGTTCACCTCTGTTGCAGACACATTTCATGAATTATAAAACTAGGTATTAGTGTCCATCCCGATTTTCAAGGTTGTACTCTAATGGGATCACTAGTAGGATACTTTCATTAAATTGTATTTCATGCCAGTGATGAGACAGATCATTTCAAGGAGGTACAGCATGTCACAGAGCCATTCCCATCTCTTCTTCCCTGCTTCTTCCCACTCAGGCCAGGCACACGGCACCCGCTGCACTGGTTCCCCAACTGTGTCGTACTCTCCCAAATTCTCCCTCTGCTTCTACAATCTCTCCATCCAGTTAGGGCTGCTGTTCCCCAAAAAAACCAACAGGGAAAGTAATTTGTAAAAAATTATTCAGAGAGTCTGATAGTAACAGGAGATAGCTAATCTCACAATCTTTACTCTTCCCTTTTATGTTTTTCAAGCAAAAGTTTTGTCTTTTTCTAATTATTTTAAAGTTAATAAATGCTGTACATGAAAAATAAAACAAAAATGCAGAAAATAAAAAGCACCCTTTCTCCTCCGAAAAAAACCTATCAGTGAAGCCAGATGTGGGTGGTGCGAATTCCAGCACTCAGGAAGCTAAGAAGTTGAGGCCAGCCTGAGCTATATAACGAGTTGAAGGCCATGCTGACATACATAGTGAGACCCTGTCTCAAAGACAAAACAAAAACCAAAGCCCCTCACTGTTAACAGTGCTATACATCCACTCTTTGTACTACGTGTATGTTTAGACACTCTTTTTTTTTTTTTTTTTTGGTCTTTTTCGTTTTTATCGGTACCAGGGATCGAACTCACGACTGCCTGCTTGGAAAGCAGGCGCTTATGCCGCTGAGCTAAATCCCCAGCCCCTAGACACTCTTTTTTTTAAAAAATTTTATTTAAAAGGAAAAAGAGAAAAAACAAAACAAAGTGGTGTAAGGGTACAAGTAATACAGAACTACAAAAAAAAAAAAAAAAGTAAGAAATCACCAGTTAATAGATTACACATTATCAACTTAGAGATAGTTGCTCAAGTCACAGTATCAAAGCACACAAAGTGGACATTCAAACAGAGAGACTGCAAACAGTTGTGTTCAATGATCCAACCAAAAACATTAATATGGTCAGCTATCTAATACTCCTAAACACACTTGCAGTTGTATCCTTTAAAGCACTTTTTTTCCCTCTCTAGTTTAGACACTTTTTGATGGCTCATCTAGACACACTCAGATGCGTGCTCTACTATTAAGTTTCTTAATCGGTCTAAGTTGTCAGTTTCCATTTATTAGTCTGTTAGGATTTGATATTTACCCATTTCTACTCTTGTAAATCATACTGTAGTTTGTGTCATTGAATTATCATAGATATAATTATTTCTAGAAATCTGAATAGGCCGCATCAATTTATACTCTCATCAATGTATGAGTATACTCATTCCCATTAATTCTGGATTTTCTAATTTGACAAAAAGGATTGGCAATTCAATAGACAAAAAATGACAATATTTTATTCACCTTGTGAACAGTGCCTGGACACAGAAAAACTCAATAAAATTGACTACTGTTTCCTTATAATATTGTTAATACAGTAAGCGTCTGCAACTCGGGCCAGGAAGAGAACCGGCCCAAGAACCAGAGTTCCGGCCATGGAGGGATTCAGGCAACTTATTCACCCGCCGTCTCGGTAAGCGTCTGCAACTCGGGCCAGGAGGAGAACAGAGCTCCAGAGTTCCGGTCATGGAGGGATTCGGGCAGCTTATTCACCTGCCCTCTTGATAAGCACCTGCAGTTTGGGCCTGGAGGAGAACCATTACCTGTGAGCCAACTTCCACAGGAGCTGAAAATCACGCACCCTTCTCCCACCTGTCCCCTCCCCCCTTACCTACTGAGGATAGATATTTCAACATCTCTTGGGAGGATGACCATATGCAGTATAGCAAATATGGGGGATTTCCTTCTATCTTCTGTTTGAAGGCATAGGTTGTTTTCACTTTTTGTTATATTTCTTTTGCTCTATTCAGTATTCTCAATTCGTTTTACAATGTTCTATTTTTGGTTTGATTTAACAACACGTAATTGACTGGATAGCTATTGTTAAATTAAAGAGATACACCATAGTACTTAGTACTACTATCCCAGTATCCTACTGTGAAATCCTGTACCAATTTCACAGCATTGTCTCGATTGGCTTTGTTCTGTCTTTCGCTGTTGCATAATTGCTACTTTCAAAATTAAAAAAAAAAAAAACATGTTAAGACCCATGCATGTGTAGAATCTATGAACAGTTTATGAGAACTGATCTTATGACAATTGATGAATGAACAGATACTTTGAAGAAAAGGAGACACTAAAGTACCCAGTGCTGATCACAGAGTGTCATGAAGTGAAATCCAGCAATACTATTATTCTTTGTTCAAAATGACTTTAACCTGCTTTAGTTTGTTTAATCTAAACATAAATGAAGATATGGATAACTGCATGTATGTTTAAATGTATAGGAATGACAACCATGTTACTAAGTTTTTGTTGGACAGTTGATTAGAACTTTTTGCAGTCTCTCTGTTTGAATTGCCACTTTACATGTTCCACTTTTGTACCTTGAACAACTATTTGTAAAACGACAACATCAACTAGTGATTTCTTACTCTTTTTTTTCTCTGAATGTATGTACTATTTCGATCTATTTTCTGTTTTGTTAAATCTTTCTTTAAATAAAAAAAAAATATTGTTAATACAAATCTAGCTTTTTCCCACCAATCTGAAGTGTCCATTTCATCACTAACTAAATTCTTACGGACTCTGAATTTGTACCCTCTTCTCATAAACTCTGCACAAATGACCAAAAGAGACATGGACAGCACTGATGATGAAGCACCAGAGAAACCACCCATGGGAAATGAGGGGAAAATGAGAACAAACAGGTACGTATCGCTGCCCACATCCAGCTGGACTAAGTGGTCTCCTCCCATACCAGCAGGCGGCCTTGCTTTCTTCTGCCTCCTCTGAGCATGAGCTTCTGGGTGCTCTTGGAGTTCTGCATCTGGGGGCTCACTGCCCTCAGGCGGCCTGTGAAGGACAGGATCTGCGAGGCCTTCTGAAGAAGCATTAGCTGCAGACACAATATTCAGAACTTTCAAAAAAGTGAGAATACAAATTGACACCATAGATAATTCTCTTACTTGTCTCTTGCCTTAACAATTTCTATCAACTCTACATACTTCAGTCCTTCATTAACAAATTTAACACATAAGTTCATCATACATAAGTAATTAGCTAACGATTTACAACTCATTTCATTTAGTCATTCATTTTAATCTTAAGAAGTCATTTAAAGAAACTTCAGTGCATTTTGGCAGGTTTGAATTTTACTTGACTACATTCCCTGACCTATCTTTACAAAAGAAAAACAGAAACGTACTAATAAACAAATCAAAATATACTTAATCTCACTAGTACTTACAGAAATGGAACCTAAAATAAGCTACTTTTATCCATCAAATAACAAAAAGTTTAAAGGACTGACACTGTCCAATGTTGTTACAAATTCAGAATGTGACACTCTGACTACTGGTAGTCAGAAAATAAGATTCCTTGGAGATAACTTAGTAGAACCTTTCCTATCAATAAGGCCCATATCCATTACATAGCAACTGCATAGCTAGCAATCCATCCTAAAGAAATATCTTTTATATCCAATTATCCACTATTTTAAGCAGAATTGCAATATTGTCTGCAGTGAAAAATCTGAAATAATACAAATGAACAAGAGACCACAGTTATGGCACATTCTGATAGTAGTCTGACATCACTGTTCAGAAACACATAAAACTGAACTTCCAGGAAGACAGTAATGTGCTGAGCAGCAAAGAAAGAGCCTGAGATTTGGTATCCAGACACTGGAATACAGCAACACGAGGAAGAGGAGGAGGAGGGAAGTGGGTCCCTAGGGCTCCGGAAGGATCTGAAGTGACAACTGAAGCCTATGAGGAGAGCAAAAAACAGACGTCAACACAGAAGAAGGAAGGGACAAGGGGCGCGTTCCTCCTGAGCCTGGACACTCTGCTTGGGAGGGGTGGCTTAAAACTGCAGGCACAGTGACAGCTGGCAACCCCAGAGGCCTCCACGGAGAAGAGCACCAGTGCAGCAAGCAGTGGACGGAGAGGACTGCAATGGACTATGGTGGCTGTTGAGCTGTCCCATTTGGACTTTCCATCAGAGAAGGCACTGGGCTGGGGGCCATCTTGGAGAGAGGTCAACTGAGCTTGGGAATCAGAGTGGCTGCTGGCTCCACCTAGTGGTTCCCACACCATGTGCAGGCTCAGGCCCACGTGGGCACCAAGACCAGGCAGGTTGGGTGGGGCTGGTTTCTGCCTCTCAGTATGAGGCCAGCCTAGACCTCAGCAGAACCAGGTGCAAGCTCCCTGGGGTGATCCTCACCTGCCACAGAGCTGCTGCTGGCTTGCTGGGCCTGGCTGACATGGATCTAGACTCTGTCTTCCCACACTGTCTACCACTCACAGCACAGACATACCTAGAAGTGGACATTTTTTTCTTCTTTTTTCTCATTTGTTTTCTTTATTGCTTGCTTGTTTTTATATGAATGTGAATGTATGGCTTCCAGAGATTTTTTTGTTGTGATTATTCTGTTTTGTTCTTGTTTTTATTTCTTTTTTCTCTGTCTTCTGTATCAGTTTCCCAAAGTTTGCATGAATCTATTTGTCCTACAGCCTTGCTTCTAATCTACTCTTTTTTCAAAATTTCCTTTTTTTAACCCTAACCCCTTTTAAAGTTTCTCCCCTAAGGATAAAATTGCTATACTGCGGGCTTATTTACTGCATACCATTATCTGGTTTGCTTTGGAGTTTGTTACATAATTACAAGTCTAGTTCACGCAGAGGTAGCAAAGTAAGTTACCTTAGTCATTTTCTAGACTTTGTTTGATGCTATTGTTATTGCTGATTATGTCACTTTATTTATTTATTTAATCTTTTTTGAGACAGAGTCTCACTATGCAGCTCTGGCTGGCCTTACACTCACTCTGTAGCTCAGGCTGGCCTCCAACTCGCAGCAATCTTCCTGCCTCAGGCTCCCAAGTGCTGGGATTACAGGCAGGCATCACCATGCCCGGCTTCCTGATTGTATTGCTTTAACCAAAGTGACACAATTGTTCTAATCAGTTGTTCTTTCTGGAAGAGCAAGACTCAGATTGCCTAAGGGTCATAAAAAATGTAACAGGCCAGTGTGAAGAATCAGGGATTGGGCCAAGCAGGCAGCAACCTCTCATCCCCAATAAAATGGAGGGGTGGGATCTTGCAACAGACTCAAAACCCAAAATCCAGCTGTATCTCTGAGAAGTAGTTATTTCCTAAAGGTTCTAAATACTTCCAATAAAGCTATTTACTATAGGCAATTTACAAGAATCAACCCAGGAAATAAACTGAAAAAACATATAAAATGAGAAGACATTTAAACAAGATGAAACCCCAGATGTCCTAGGCAAACCCGGAGGGCAGGGAAGTGGAACAATTTGAAAGTCACCCATGTGGTCTTTCTGAAGTAGTAACAACAGAAGTAACTAAGCAGATGAAAAAGGCTCTAGAAAAAATCAAATAAGAAATAATTTCTCAGATAACTACAGAGATGGTGACTGTAATGAAAGACACGATTAATGATGCTAGAGCAGATACAGATAAAACAAACAGAGGAAGGAGCTTAGGAAAATGATGGAAACTATGAATGTCCAATATAAGAAAGAAATGGAGTCCAGGAGATATCAAATAGATATCCAGAAGATTAAAAATTCCATTGAAAGTATATGCACTAGAATGAGCCAATGTGAGAACAAGATTTCAGATGTAGAAGATAGGATTGCATTTAGTGATCATGAAAAGAAAGATTTCTTAAAAATAGCAAGGACCGGGGCTGGGGATTTAGCTCAGTGGCATAAGCACCTGCCTTGCAAGCAGGCGGTCGTGAGTTCGATCCCCCGTACCGATTAAAAAAAAAGCAAGGACCCATAAGAAATCAATCCAGCAGCTGCTAGGTGATACAAAGAAGAATAATGTAATATTGATCAGAGTAATTGAAAAGCAAGAAACAGTACAAATTATATATACATATACACTATCTGAGCATGGTGACGCATTCCTGTAATCCTAGCACTTGGAAGGCTGAGGCAAGAGGATCATTTTAAGTTTAAGACTAGCCTGGACTACAAAGTGAGTCAAAAGCCAGATTGAACTGCATAGTGAGACCCTGTCTCAAAAACAAAACAAAACAAACCCTGTTCAGACATTGTGGCAAAAAGACTTCCCTGGCAAGGAAAAAGAATTTGACACACACATAAGTAAGGCATATAAACTCCAATTAGCCATGATCAAAAAAAAAAAATCTACAGTAAGGCATATCATAGTTAAGACTACAGAAATTCAACACCAGAACAAAATATTAAAAGCTGGTAGAGAAAAATCAGCCTATAAATGCAGGGCAGATTTATAACACAAACCCTCAAGACAAGAAGAGCTTGGAATAAAGTATTTCAAGCCCTAAAAGAAAACAACCTCCAACCCAGATCAATGTACCACACAAAACTATCCTTCAAAATTTGAAGAAGAAATAAGATATTTCTATGACAAAGAACACCTGAGAAAATTTATGAACACCAAACCAGCATTCCAAAAGGTTCTGAAGGACTGTCTAGAAAGAGATAACCAATCTAACAAAGAAGTAAAAGACCTCTACATTGAAAATAACAGTACCCTGAAAATGAGTTTGAAGAGGCCATCAGAAAATGGAAAGACATCCCTCATTCTTGTTTTGGAAGAACCAAAATAGCGCAAATGGTTATACTTCCAAAATTGCTATACAGATTTAATAAGATTCTGATCAAAATTCCAATAGCATTATCTCACAGAATTAGAGAAAATAATCCTAATGAACCAGAAGAAACCAAGAATAGCAAAAACAATTGTGGGCAACAAAAGCAAGGGAGGGGGCATCAAAATATCTGACTTGAAATTATACTACAAAGCTAAAATATAAAACAGCATGGTACTGGGGAGGGGGCACAAAAACAAACACCAGACCTGAGGATCAACGGAATAGATAAGCAGATGCAGAAATAACTCCAGACATACTTAGCCACCTTATCTTTGACAAGGAAACCAAACACCTTCGCTGGAAGAATGATAGCCTCTTTAATAAATGGTGCTGGAAAAACTGGCTTTCTACTTGCCAAAGACTAAAATTAGATCCATATCTTTCATCATGCTGTAAACTAAAATCAAAATGAATCGAAGATCTAAATATTAAAACAGAAATCCTAAACCTGATGGATGATAGAATAGGTAGAACTACGAATACATTGATGTTGACAAAGACTTTACGAACAAAACCCCAATCACACAGGAAATATTACAATCAACAACTGAGATCTCATCTTATTAAAAAGCTTTTGCATATAAAAAGAAACTACCACCAGAGTGAAGAGACAACCCACAGTGTGGGAAAAATTTTTGCAAGATGTTCCTCAGACAAAGGACTAACATCTAGAATAAAGAACTAAAAAAAAGAAATCAGAGTCTCCCAAGTCTAAAGATCCAATTCCAAAATGGGCATATAAAATGAAAAGACACTTCTTAGATGAAGAAGTAAAAATGGCAAATATATGAAAAAATGTTCAACACCATTGGTCATTTGAGAGATGCAAATTAAAACAATGCTCAGATTCCATTTCACTCCAGAAAGACATATGCTGATGGAGCCGTGCGGAAACAGGAACCCTTCTCCACTGTTGGTGGGAGTACAGACTAGTACAACCACTGTGGAAATCAGTGTAGATTCCTCAAAAAACTAGGACTAGAGGTTCTATTTGAATCAGCTATTTCCCTGCTTGGTATCTAACAGGTTTGTGTTTGGATGCCCCCAGTGGGATTGGTGAGGGGGGCATTGAGCGCTCCACCTGCCCAGGGGCAGGTAGCCAGCATATAATATAAGGGAAGGAAGGAGGCACGCTTTGCCGTTTTCCACCCCGTTTGCTCTTGCTGTTTATGACTGCCATGAATGGTTCCCCTTAGCCACGCCACCCTGCTTTGGAGTCAGCTGAGTATGGACTGAAACCTCCACAAATTGTTAGCTAAATAAATCTTCCCTTCCTTCATTTTGGGTGTTGGGTATTTTGTCCGAGCCATAAGACAAAAATAACCAAGACAGAATTTGGTATCAATGGAGTAGGGTTGCTGTTATGACTTTTTTTTTTTTTTTTTGTCTTTTTCGGTACCGGGAATCGAACTCACGACTGCCTGCTTGCAAGGCAGGTGCTTATGCCACTGAGCTAAATCCCCAGCCTCTGCTGTTATGACTATACCTGACCAAGTAGTTTAAGAGCCTTTGGGAATGACTTGTGGTTTTTGTTCATGAACTCTGCCTACTCCTATATCTTTGAGATTTCTACTTACTTTGTCTTCTAGCAAATTAGTGTTTCTGTTTGAGTATTAATACCTTTGATCTATTCTGTTTTAGCTTAGCACATGGTGAAAGGTATGCATTATTTTAATCTTTGGCATGTGTAGAGCTAGTTTTTCCAGCTGGAAGAAAGAGACTATCTTTCTTCCAGTGAACACGTTTGGCCTCTTTTTCAAAGCTAAAGTGGTTGAGTGTGTTCCTGGTTGTGTTTATATCTTCTGTTTTGTTCCATTGATTCTCAGGTCTGTTTTTTTGCCAATACCAAGCTGATTTTATTACAGTAGCTTTATAGTACAATTTCAAGTCAGGTATTTTGATATCTCCTGCCTTGCCTTTGTTGCCCAGAACTGTTTTTGCTATTCTTGGTCTCTTCTGGTTCCAAATGAAGTTTAGGATTATTTTCTCTAATTCTGTGAAATAATGTTATTGGGGAAAAAGAAGGAATCAAATTGTGAATCATAAATTCCCGATGATGAACATATAGTCATTATGTATATCTAAAATGTACCAATAAACATAATAAAATATAAAAATAAACAGAACAAAACAAAAAACTGGAATGGCAAACATTAAGGAAGTTCTAGGTAGGGGAAAGTACGTAAAGAGAGGCAAAGAATCACGAGTATACAGTAGGTATAAAAAAGAAAGAGAGAAAAACACATAAAACTGTATAAAGGAGGCAAGACAGTTCCTATGAAACATGATTCTTTTTAGGAAAGAAAAAGAGCATCACTACAGAGCTTCAGGCTTGAGAGGGTATGAGTAATGGGCTAACCCAAAAGACTACAGGTGACTGAGGTTAAGCCTAAGAGGGAAATCGTAGTGTTAGCTGTAAACAAGAAGTACTGAATTGTTGAAGGTGACGCTGGACTGTGGATGTGTTCAGTGTGACTAACACAACCAACAGAATACCCAGGGTTATCAGTGAAAACTAGGCCAAAAATGACTTCAGAGACCAGCGCGTTATTGAAGCTTTCACACAGGGATGCAGCGGCCCTGCCTCTAAGTTTGTGCTATAATTCATAGTCTCTGACTGAAAGAGGGATTTAAGAACGCCATGCCACCAGCACAGCTTAAAACAATTTCTGTTGTCTCTGAATGACCTCAGAGCCCAAAAGCACTGAGGACGTCAGAACGTGGGCGTCATGACACTGTATGTCATGAATGCTACTTAATAGTCTCTCGGCTGCAGTGGCCCTATCCCACACACACTCACTCTGCTTCACACTGGCTTTAAGCCTGTCCTCAACACAGCAATAACTTGGGAGCCATGTTTCTCTCTGATCTGTGATGTTTATCATGTCTGTGATCCTGGGAAAACTTGCAGTCCTAAATGACAGAGAAAAACTTACCTCTCAAGCTTTTTGGTCTAGACTTCTTTTTCTTAGGATGACTAAGTGGAATATCATCTATAAAACAGAAAAATATTAAAAGAAAAACCAATTTAAAATTCAATGCAGAGAACAGTCAGAAGAGAATCTTTAGTTAGGAAGAATTATTTTCCCTTCCTTGGATCTAGCCAACTTCTACAGCTTAGGGGAAGAAAGCAAAACACTGACAAGGCTAAGATAACCCACTGCGTGGCACTCGTAATGCACTGGTAGTCAATGACGTTTATGACCATGACACAGAAAGTGGGCTCAACAAATGTTCACCTGGTCCCCTACACTTCTTAGCCCGCTACACTCTGGGATGGCCTATGACTGGTTCTGACCACTAGACCGTGAGCAGAAGTGATCCACATATTTCTTTTCTTTTTTTTTTTTTTTTTTTTAATCGGTACCAGGGATCGAACTCACGACTGTCTGCTTGCAAGGCAGACGCTTATGCCGCTGAGCTAAATCCCCAGCCCCGATCCACATATTTCTAAGGCCAAGCCACCTTCAAGGCACTGAACCTTGTCTGACCAGAAGCTAAGCAGAGTAGGATCTGGTTAGTACTTCATGGGAAAAGTGATCTGTGTCCTTTGGGAGCCAACATACCAAGAAAGCTAGCAGCTGTGGCCACCATACATAGTGAGACCCTACCCTCACCCCCTTCAAAAAAAAAAAAAAAAAAAAAAAAAAAAGAGAGAGAGAAATGAAGGTCCAGCCTCTATTACAGAGCTATAAACCAATCAATGGTTTGGGTGATTCCATTCAAGAATAAAGAGAACTTATATGATTTAACATATAAATACTGCAGCATTATAAATTGTACTATTTAGCTTTAATTTTAAGAGAAAAAATTATGGAATCAAATTTATTTTTGTTTTTTGAATTTATTTTTGGTTTTTGGTGTTTTGAGACATGATTTCACTATATTGCCCAGGTTGGCCTTGAATATCTTGGTTCAAAATCCTTCTCTTTCAGACTAAAGTAGCTGTGATTCTAGGCACATACCCCTTGCCCCACTTTCAAACTTATTTTCAATGCTAAGTGCTACATTTAGAAAATCTTACATCAACAATAAACTAACTCACCTTTAACACCACTTCACACAACACCAAACAAATTTAATCAGCAAGAAAAAGACAAAAAAAGGGAAGTATTAATTAGAAGCCAATTTTGTCTGACTAAAAATTGACTTAAATCACTAAAAATTTAAAATAAAACTTTCAAAGAATGCCAGCTAGTTTACAAAGCTAGCCTACTATTTATAAGTAATAAGCTATTTAGCAGCACTAATCAAATTAATTATTCTGCTGGGTATATACATATATCCTACTGTCTATTTATAAAGTGGATTTAGCAGATTAACAACACTTATTGTCACTGATTAAAATCAGCTTACTGAGGAAATTATTCCAGCAAGCAAAAGACAGTCTGAAAAGACACTAAAACATTCAAAATGGGTCCATTATTCTATCACCTTGACATTCAGGCTCTTAAATAGAACATTATATATTTGGCCTCATGTTTGTTTTTGTGTTGTTGTTCAAGGAATTTTTCTGAATGCTACTGGTCATTATTTTTCAGTTTACTAGTTTTCACTTGCTTATTTTTCAATAGCCTTAGTCAATTTTTCTGGTTTACTCATTTAATATTTCTAAAACTCATTGATGAGATTACTGTAAATTAAGCTTACCTCGGTATGGGTGGAAGAGCTCGTGGAGGACACTAGGGAGAAAAGAGAAAACGGCACAGGGATTGAAGTCATGACTGTGCGCTTGCAAGGCAGGTGCTTATGCCACTGAGCTAAATACCCAGCCCTTAGAACATCTTAACTTTCGTGTGTCTTAAATACTAAAAAATTTTTCTTTCAAAAGCTTGCTATTTGGACATAACAGAAAAATGTAACGGATCAGATATTTATATTCAAATCTCTTGGTAATCACAGTCATCTCTGAAGCCTGGGAAATACTGGGTGAGCTTCCATTTGTTCTGCCATTTCTAAATATATACAATGCTTTCTTTTAGTTTTTTGAAATTTTTTTTAAATTCACATTTTCTGTGTTTTGTTTTTTGACAGGGTTGTGCTATGCAGTTCAGGTTGGCCTTGAAATCACTTTGTTGGGGTTGGGGGTTTAGCTCAGAGGCATAAGCGTCTTAGACGCCTTGCAAGTGTGCAGTCCTGAGTTCGATCCCCGGTACTGATAAAAAAGAAAAAGACAAAAAAAAAAAATCACTTTGTAGTCCAGGCTGACCTTGAACCTGAAGTGGTCCTCCTGCTTCAGCCTCCCAAGTTGCTGGGATTATAGAGATGGGCCACAAATGTCTAGCTTTATATTTCTATGTACAGGCCAGACCCTATCCTAAACAGCAGGAATAAGGACAAAACTAAAGTCATGGCTTTTATGAAACTTACATTCTGTTGGTTATGTATTAGAAGATAATGTTAGATACGTGTTAAAATATATATTTATACATGAAAATAAATGTATAGGTGATAATGAGAAGTGCTGCTTTACTTAAGAGAATAAATCTGTTTGAGAATTTTAAGCTGAGACCTGACTGAAAAACAAGACAGTTTCAGGCAATGGGGAGCGAATGTCCCAGGAAGGAGCAGGATCACAGAGCTCCAGGTGGCAGCCAGACTGCAGCACCACTGCCAAAGTCGGGCAGCAGGAGCCGGGTCAGTAAAGGGACTTGAAGGCCTACGGAAAGAACCTGGATTTTTTTAGGTTAAGAGGGAAACTAACAGAGTTTTTACGCCACATGATAATATGCTTTTTTTTTTAAAGTTCAAATAGACTTTAAGTACATCCTGGTTTACCTGAACAAGAAGTCATGTTTGCAGTTCAGGAAATAGACCGTAAGCATAATTCTGGAATCCTTCAAAATGAAATACTAGCAGGAATGCCTAGAAGCCAATTTAATATCCCAAGTACCTCATGCTGCTTGCAGAAGACGCTCGTTTTAAAGGGCTTGCAAGCCCCTTACTCAGATTAATACAGATGCCAAAAGATTATGGCACGGCAGGTGTCAGTATTACCCAGCAGTCAAAATGACAACTGGAAGAGGGCAGCAGGCACGCGCTACTGTTCCACGGACGTCACGACTCTCTGTCTATCCAACCATCCAGTCTACTTAGCTTCGCGTTTCAAAAATCCTGTATCAGTAACGTCCCACCCATTTGGAAACCCAACCTCCAGGGCGGCTCAACCGAAGGCAAACGTCCTAACCGCGCAAAAACCTCTAAATCTCGCTCACCACCTGTGTTTTCCCCATGGCGCTAGAAGCTGCGCCCAGGAGCAAGCAGCTTCATCCTCGGCCGGGCCGCGCGCCCTGATGCTACGTGTCATCAGATTGCGCCGCGAAGCCCACCGCAGCCGGACCGCGCGCTTCGGTGCCTTGCGTCATAAGGCTGCGTCGCAAAGCCTATCCCCGGGCGGACCGCGCGCTCTGGTGGTATGGGTCATCAGGTTGCGCCGCGACGCCCCCTGGCCGGGCCGCGCGCTCGTGACAGACTAGTAGTCAGCTTCCGCGGTTATAGTACCTCAGCGCCTGTGGCCAGCTGGGAAACGGTGCGAGGACTAGCCTGCGGTGGAAGGGCCTCTGGCTCGGGAGCGACGTGCTGGGACCCCGGCGGGCGCGCAGCTGCAATCACGCTTTCCCCCATGGTTGTCTAGGTGATCGCGGGAGCTGTTTGGCAGGGCCGACATTGGAGAAGAGCTTGATACACAGATTTCCACAGGGCGGCGGCGCTCTTCTGGACAGCTGAGAGGCTGTCCTTGGGCGGTTTGAGTCGTGTCTGCGCCGCGCTCGGGGCCAGCACGCTGGGCTGCGAAGCGACGCGTCGCCGTGGCAACGCAGACTGGCGCAGAGCCGCGCGGCTGCAGGCCGGCGGCCTCCGCTGCGCGCGGGTGTTGTGGGCTGTTCGCTCGTTTCCCCAGCCGCTGGCCCATCCTCCCGCAGCTGTGACTGTCACAGACCCGAAAGTGAGCCTATTTTTGAGTCATGTACTCGGCGGTTTTTTTTGTTTTTTTTGTTTTTTTTTTTTTTTTGTACCAGGGATCCAACCCGGACCTTGCGCTTGCCATGCAGGCACTGTGCCGCCCGCCTGTGTGCCTGACCTTGTGCTGGGCTTTCTAGTTAAGAAAGAGATTGGGGTTGGAAGTGCGATGTGGATGAGGAGGAAGTTAGAGTGCGAAGAAGAGCGGACACGGCCGGAGCGCGGCCTGGCCTCAGCTCCGAGGAGGAGGGAAGAATGGAGAAAATCCCGCTGATCTAGCCCGCGGGACTCGCATCCTCAGGCCTCCCGGACCGCGCCTGCCGCGCCTGCCGTTTACTAATGTAGGCGGCATACATAGAGATGTTAGCTTTTAAGGAAAATTAGTGATTGTTATACCTCTGATCAGAAAGACAGTTTTTTTCCCTTGTAGCTTGATTTGTAACTGATGACTGCCGTTCTTTAGATTTTGATGTTAGATGTGAAATGTATGTATTGATCTTTCTTGTTGAGTTGGTCAGGTGGGTACTTTTTGTAAAAAGAAATTCCATAAAATAAGTTTCATAAAGTAAAATACAGTTTTTGAAACTGAATACTGCCTATTTTATATAAGAAAGGTCTTTTTCCCAGAATCATACAAAGCCAGTATACAGGCTATGAAAAATTTTTATTGTCTGAGTTAACATTATGTTTATTCCTATCGCTGTTTCATATAATATACAGGAAAATTTTTCATATAAGATACAGGAAAATTTTACTTGTGGAACTATGCAATACATATGATAAATATCGTGTATAACCATGCATTTCTTCAAATAAGAATGATTGAATAAACCAGCTCACATTATTAGGTTCAAATACTGCTGTTGTCTCTGTGACAAGGGTACAATGCTAAAACTCTAGTTTTAAGCAAGAGGCCTGATTAAGCCTCCGTATCAGAAGAAATCCATGTTGCTGGTACCCACTGAGGTTCTTCCTGAGCCTGCTGTATGGCAGACAACAGTTGGGCACATGCATCTTGCAAATTGTCATTCACGATCACATGATCAAAAAACTGACCAAACTGAGTCTCAATCTTTTGGGCTAATTCCTCCATCTCTTGTAGGTCTTCATCCTTCGGGAAAAATAAAAAATGAATAGCACAGACTTAATAGCACAGACACAATTTGTTATACTGTCATATTAGACAAGTATTAGAACAATGAGGTCAAGTAAATACCCTCTGTTCTAAACTACAAAATATAATCATTTGTAAATAAATTATCCCATCACTTCTCACATAGTTATTTTACCCCATTGTCTACACACTTGAGGCTTTCAAACTATATCATAAAAATAAATTATGTAACTCAAATGAACGTTAATCTGATACAAATGACATCATTTTGCAACGCAAAATGGCCAATTCTCACTTGAGGAATGTATGATCTAGTTCTGTTGATTTATACTGAAATTACCCTGTATTTTTTGGTAATATTTTTCACCTACAGTATTACCTATTTGTTTTGTCTTGTTTGTTTGTCTCCTTGCTTTTTTGAGAAAGGGTCTTATTATGTTTAGGCTGGGCTTGAACTCACTATGTGGCCCAGCCTGGCCTCAAACCTGTGGTGATCCTCCTCCCTGAGCCTCTGGTATGCTGGAATATTATTTATTTCTATTGTGAAATGTTCATTCAGAGAAGATCATAGGGCTTTACTTGTCACTAATACATTAAATTCAATGCTGTTATTTTCTTTTTGTCTGACAATTGAAACGTTTTAACTTATTCTCAATACAATTTTAAGTGCAAATACAAATGCAAGCATTGAAATCCTGTAGCATTACTCCTTTACAAATGACTGTACACATGATCCAGAAATAGTTTTGTTGATTTGTTTAGACTGCCATAAAAATGAGAACACAATTTTAAATTCCCTGGGGACTCCAAATACATCCACTGTTCCAAACTTGATCTACCTGGAGTTTCATGTCCACAAAGTAGTCCGTAATAATCTTGGCATTTTTTCGGGATTGTTTCATACAACTCATGTTAGATGGCTTTATAAATATAACATAGGGCTTCAGTTCACTGGTTCGAGCCACTTGAATATCCTACATAGAAAAATTAAGTGCATATTTAGAAACAGAAGTCCTGAATTCCTTGTCAGTAATGAATGTTCTCAAAATTTCTAAGGCCTTAGGAGGATTGTTGCAAGTTTGAGACCAGCTTAGGCTACAAAGTGAGCTGAAGGCTAGCCTGAATTACACAGCAAAACCCTGTCTCAATGAGAGGGGAAAAAAAAAAAAAAAAAAAAAAAAAAAAACAGAAAATTTAAGGCCTTGAAATTAGCAATTATTTTTAGCTAGTCTGGTGTCATGTACTCCCAACTACTCTATACTAAAATTTTTTTAACAGTCCAGAGGTGGGTTTCTAGAATCAAAATTAAGCTCAAATCTTTACTCTTCTTTCTAGTTATAACTAGTTACTGAAATCTTAGTAAGTTCTTTCTTACAGATGGAGGATTGCATATGAAAAACTCTGACACTCAATATGGATAGCTGTTTACCCTCTTCCTTTCCTTCGGCTGCCCCTCATATGGATCCTACTGCTAGCTTGCCAAACTGACCACTGCCTTTGACCCAATGAAGAAAAAGCCTTTCTTCCTGCCATTCTCTGTAGCACACATAATATATTTTTAAGTAAAAGAAAAATATAAGGATGGAGCAAACTGGGCCTCACATGGCATGCTCTTGACTACCATGACTTGCTCACCCCTGCTGGGTCCCACACGAGGGAGGTCACAGGGAAGTAGCACAGATGTGACAACATAGGAAGCTTACCTCCTGTGTGAGGCTGCTTCTTAAGATATATTTGTCATTAAGATCAATTCAAGGAAGATCCTACTTTTTCTTTATGGCCACCCACTCAGTTCATTTTTGTGTGTGTGAAAAGCGAGGCTGTACTCCAATTGAAAACACAATGTTAGTAATTGATGCTCCAAGAATTAACCTGATCCATGGATAAGTAAGGTGTCTTAGTTGTAAAAGGCTCACAGATAAAATGCTTCAGCCCTAACCTACAGCATATGCACAATGCATACAGGACTTCGGAGACATACGGAAAATATCCCACTGCAAACCCACCTGGGGCTCCAAGTCCAGGACACAGATCTTTCCCTCATCAAGAACTGTGCAAACAGCATCCACGCTGGTGCCGTACAGGTGGCCTCTATACTCACCGCACTCCAGCATCCTGCCAGGACATGACAAAAGACAAGAACCTCTCCTATATGTATGTACTGGTAGTAGTATGAAAATAAATGCCAGTGGGGCTGAATGTAAATATGTAGCTTTTTCTAGAAAAAAGTTAATATTCAGCAGGAGAAAAAATATTGGAGACTAACATCAAATTCTCAAATTCTTTGAGATTCACAATCCAGTTCTTTTCCTTTATAAACCCAGTGAATTGCTGTGTATGTGTTAGTACATCAACGTACATTTCCTTGCTCGCTCTTCAGAGCTTTGGATGGCACATAAAAATGAAGAATCTATTTTGAATGTCAAATAACCAGGAACAACAATTAGCTTTTGAACCTTACCTATGACTATATATGAGACTTTCAAATGTTTCCTTCGACACGTAGTGATACTCACGCCCATTCATCTCATAACTCTTTGGGGAACGAGTGGTATCTGTTAAAAAGGGGAATTAAAGATTTCAGAATCTTCAAAACGTTTTTGTTTCCAGTTTGTATAAAGTATCCAATAAAAACAAAAAAATACAAGATCAGATAAGTAAATAAAATGCTAGAAGAAAAAGAAAAACCAAAACCAAAATTGGTGTAAGAAAGCACAAGTGTTCAAAAAAAAATCACTAAATCTGTCATCCTTCATTGAAAGTTCATGATGCGAAGAACAACATGTTTGGGTGCCCCCAGGGGACGCCTGCTGTTATTTGGAAGGAGGCACTCGTGGGTCGTGTGTGAACCCAGGAACCTGTGTGCTCCGAGACAGCAACACCAGTGATGCTGTTAGTTTGCACATTATGTTTCCCGGTATCTTATTTAGTCTCCAGCACTGCTGGCTAGGTGAAATGTTACTGTCCACATCCTACTGATAAGCAGCTGGAGTTTTTGAGTAGTAACTAACTTGCCCACATTCATTAGGTAGTGGAAACCGAAGCTGAAACTAGAACCCAAGTATTCTTCCTCTTCCTAAACTGTTCTTTTTTCTTACTATTCCATTGTCCCCGATTTGAAGTAGAGAAAGCCTATGACATTCTGCTGTCTTGCCAAATGCATTAATACCCACATGGGGATGACGGTCAGTTTTGGAGATTCTAGGAGGGAAAGATTGGCCAGGTCTAGACTTTGTCTAATTCTTTCATGTGGCAACTTGAGTGTGATTGTAGACCTTAGATTGCAGTAGCACCTGGTAGAATTGCACAAGTTCGTCAAATATCTAAAAGTGACTCATTTACTATCTGCTCATCTACTATTCAACCAACACATACTCTGTGCCTTTGAGGTTCCAGGCATTGCCTTAGGCTGTGAAAACTCTAACACATACTTCAACTTTGGCTTGGATGCTTCAGTACTAGCCTTTTTTACCCCACTACAGCAGAGTCCTGTATCTTTGCCTCTGCCTCTTCTGTCTCTGTCATGTCTGTCTGTCTGTCTGTCTGTCTGTCTCTCTCTCTCTCTCTCTGTGTGTCTCTGCATCTCTGTCTCTGTCTCTGTGTGTGTGTGTATGTGTGTCTGTGTGTCTGTCTGTCTGTCTCCTGGCAACAGAGACACCATGCACGCCAGTATATATACTACTACAGCCCCGTCCTTTAACTCTATTTTGAGACGTGGTCTTGCTAAGTCATCCATCCTGACCTAAACTTGTGATCTTCCTCTCTCAGCCTCTTGAGTAGCTGGATTATATTTATTCCCCACCATACAATTACCGTTGGTTGTACAAATTCCTGAATTTGCATTTGAGAGTTTAAGGATGAATCTTATCAACATCTGATGACATCAATAAATAGAAATGAGCCAGGAGGGACTTGAAAAAAATCCTTAAAATATCAAAGAAATTACAAACCCTCAAGGGACTCAAAAATAAGTCTCATCTTGGGGTAATTTTTGTTTTTCTTTGTTCAGTCCTCTCCTCACCTCCTTACAGTTCCTACACAGCCTCCCACTGAAAACCAAAAAATATAGCTTCTAAGTGACACTGAATTGTGTTAATCTCAACCTAAGATAACTCCTTCGTTTCTGTTGGACTGAAATTTTGTAAGGTTAAAGTCTATGAGTTGCTGCATAATCGGAGGTATCTGTTTTGTTTTATTTTTGAGACTGTCACTTTGTAATTCAGGCTTGCCTTGAATTTGCAGCAATATCCTCCTGCCTCAGCCTCCTAGAACTGGGATTACCAGCATGTGCCACCACACCCAACTCCTTTCTCACCCTTTCATACCCTGGTATGTGTGAGGGGCTTAACCCATTTCCACATTCCTCACTCAAAGAGTTTAATTTTACCTGGGCACGGTGGCACACATGTACGATCCTAGGGCAGGGCATGGAACCAGGGGAGCATGGGAAACTTAGGGACTTAGCAAGATTCTCAAAATAAAAACTAGAAGATGTAGAAAGGGCTGGAATGTAGCCCAGTTCAGAAGTGCTGGGTTCAGTCTGCCCTTCCCAATCATGTTAGTTAGCTTGTGAACACTTTAACCCCCTTCTCACTCATTAGAGACTACGAGTTATACACTATTTTTCATATGGAAATAAAAAATTTTATCTGAAGTCTTTTCTGTTTTTACAATGAAGCAGGTTTTCTTAGACTGATTTTTAGAGGTTTTTTTTGGGATGGATTACTCCTACTATAAAACAATAATGCATTTTTAGAATTGCACTTCATTTTTTTTTTTTGAGACAGGGTCTTGTATGTAGTTTAGGCTGGTCTTGAGCTCCCAGTGAGCCTCCTGCCTCAGCCTCCTTATGCTAGGGCATTACAAGTATTTATCACCATGCCTGGCCTTAAATGTTTTAAACTTTAAAAAGCAGAAACAACTCACAAAGGAAAGTCTGAGAGTTGGTAGCAGTGTGAAATAAAGCAACCCTGGGTGAAAAGGAAATAAGATCACCGTGTACAATAGAATCATACTAAAATTTTATGTAAAGTTATGTATGCAAACATTAAAATTTTTAGGAATAAAAGCTAAGCTGAGTCAAGAGCCAAGCATAGTGCTAGAAGCTCTGCAGTACGAAGTAAGCGTTGGCTTATTGCTGAATATCAGAGACCCTGAGAAATTGCCTCTATGATTGTTAGAAATACAGAAAACAGAGTCACATATAAAAGGCCTTGCTGACTACACACCAGAAGCTATTCCTCTTTATTAAAATAAAGGTGCAGCACCTGCCTCGCAAGAGCAAGGTCAGGAATTCTATCTCCAGTCCCAAAATAAAGTAAAAAGTGATGGGAAATACTTGAGGACATCCCTTATGTCCTAAACTTTTATGACACAGATGGCATAGCTCACTGAGAGCCGCCCTTTGAAGAGGTGAAGTTTTACTAAACCACTGAACGAGAAACACAGAACATACGTGGCACAGCACTCTGAAAACGGCTGGGGTTACATTCAATAAGCTGTCTTCTCAGTTCATTGACTCCAACGCCAGAAGGCCCTAGACACAAAAGTCATATCCAGAGGTCAGTAGATGTGGATCAGTATCAATTGTTCTGTTGCAGAAATGTGCACAAATGTTTTTAGGGAAATTAGGGAACAACCCCACAAAAGTCTTGCAAACTTTCCTGCTGGCCGGGGAGTAACCTGTGCCCTTGACTGTTGGGAGATGAGGTAGAGATCACAGGAATCTGACAGCCCACACTCTGATGTAATGCTGGGGGTGAGGAGACTCTGTTGGTCTCTGTCCCGATAATCTAAGACACTCTGCATTTCTACTTCAAGTAAAGTTGCCATGGAATCCCAACCAGAAATCAGTCTAGACCAGAGTCTGTAACTTCCAGAATTCAGGGCCCTGTTTTTCAGGGTGGTGGAGTTAGCAAGTGCTTTTCCAGCTGGAGGCAGAGCTGACTTCATGTCCAGCTGACTTCACTGGGCGGTGCTTCAGAGAACACCAGCTAGAGTATGTGCCCTGTGGTTCCACCTGAGTCCTGAGTAATTCCTGAGCAAAGGGCCTGTGCTTCCACATGGCCCCAGCCAATGACGTGGCCAGTCCTGCTTGCTGGACATGTCCTCGCTTTCGGAGCTGTCACTATGAGCAAGGAGCTGGAAGTGAGAGACAACTTCTCACTGTTGTAGGGACGACTTTGCGGATATTGTGGCCACAAAAGCTGGACACTTGGCTCAACATTTGCCTGTTTTTTTTAGCATTAAAAGTCTACAACAAAAGATGTAGACTTTTGCTTCTTTTTTTGGGAGGTAGGGTCTCATTATATACTTCAGGCTGGCCTTGAACCCACTATGTAGCCCAGGCTGGCCTCAAATTCATAGTGACCCTCCTACCTCAGCCTCCAAGAACTGTGATTATAGGCACGTGCCACCAAGCCTGGTTTTTTGTTTGTTTGTTTGTTTTGTTTTGGGTACTGGGGATTGAACTCATGACCTCACACTTGCCAGCCAGGCGCTTAATGCTGCTGAGCTAAATCCCCAGCCCCCAAGCCTGGTATTTAAAGAAATGGACTAAGGATTTCTTTTCCTAATATAGATTAATGACCCCATCTTGTGAGTACAGCATCTATGCTTATAGAACCAATTCTAAACAGGCAAAAACAAAGCAAACAAACGAAAACCCTCCTTGTAACCTTTTTTATTACACATATTTACACACACCATGGCACATCACATTCAATTGTAAATGAAAAAGTTTTTAAAACTTGCTGCAATAAAAAATTACTTATAAACACATATGTGAAACGGGCTTTTTAGAAAGGATGTTGATAAGGAGGCTCCTAAAGAATTCCAATTTTTTTTTTGTCTTTTTCATTTTTATCGGTACCAGGGATCGAACTCACAACCACCTCCTTGCAAGGCAGGCGCTTATGCCACTGAGCTAAATCCCCAGCCCCAAGAATTCCAATTTTACTGCTGCTGCCAGTATAGTACCTCAGCCTAGGGGAACTCTCGGGTGAGAGGACAGCTGGCACGTACCTACGAGCACAACCAGGCGGTGCCTGTCTGCTGGGTGGCGCTGGTACCTGGCCACCTCCTCATACGGAGCCCCCACAGTCCAACAGCCACCACCAGTGCCTGTGCCACATAGGGTGGCCCGAAGCTGGCTGAGGTGCGACTTCCTGCGACAGAGGCGTAGGCTGCGGCGAAAGCCAGCTGGGCAGGGAGGAAACCACAGAACGTGAGACAGAGCAGTGCAGAGGCGGCAGGTGGGATGGGGTGAGGTGGGTGCTGGGTCCCAGTGGGCTGTGCCTCAGTGGGCCGTGCCACAGTTTGTCTTTCTGGGGCTGCAGAAAAGGGTGATAGAGAAGAAACACCCGCGTATTCTCTCTGGGTCCCGGTGTCCCATGTGCAAGGCACTGGGCTGCAGTCCAGCTAATGTCAACCCTTCCTCCTCCACTGAGGAGGAGACATGGGAACAACAATCCCCCAGTCAGCGTGGGAAAGGGTGGGTGACAGTGGGACAGTGCTCCTCTGGATGGGCAGTGCAGGTGAACCCCTGGAATGCTGTCTGTGTGCAGCAGAAGCAGCCGAGGAAGATCTGAGGACAGCAGGTGGCAGAGGGCAGTGGGGATGTGCTGGGATCCGAGGGTGGGCAGGAACCTGAGGGCCGAGGTGGCGACAAGGGTATATGGAAGATGAACTGGTGTGGCAGCCGGGCCCAGAGCCTGCCGTGGGGTTAGGTGAGCAGCCGAGAACACGCGGCAGGTTGAGCCGGGTAACTACTGGGGTGCAGAGGAGGCCCCTGCGAAGGTCACCAAATGCACCCAGGCTGAGGAGCTGACCTTCCGGCTTCCCCACTGCACCCTGCTTCTCCCCCACCTTGGGAAGGAGGAAGCCAGAGTGGTTCTAAGGGAGAGGCCTGGATCTTCAGAAAGCCCTAGCCAGATGATAGGTTATAGAAATGCAGCTCTGAAATTGGTCCTTTAGAGCAAGATAAGCAGGTCAGGGAACAGTCTGGGAGAAAACCAAGCAGTTAATGTTTGACAAGTAACAAGGAGACACCCAGTGCAATTAGAACAATGACACATAATCAGTTGGTCAGGCTCCTGACAAGAACAAGTGGACAGGGAACCAGGCAAGGAGCAGGTGTGGAAAGTGCACCAGCAGACAGAGCCTTGGTGGGCGTGGGGCTCACTGGAGACTGACACGGCCCCAGCGCGCACAGTTGTCACCTACCCAGAAAGAACTTCTGCCCATAGCCCACGAATTCCTCTTTGTCTGGAACAGAGAGGCAGGAACAGACTATGTGAGGACCAGGAGACAATCACTTAGACTCTATGTGCAAGACACCTCTGGTTTTCCACTGAAGTGGCCTCGGTGGAAGACACCCAGCTGCCAGCATGGCGAAGGTCACTCTCGGCCCAGCCACCAGGCATCCCCACAGCTCCTGTGAGACTCTCTGGACCTGTGCAACAGTGACTGAAGAGCCCAATGAGACTGAGAACTGGACACCACTTCGGCCTTGTTTCATGTTACAAGAAAGATACTGAGCCATAGTGAAAACAAACAAAAATAGGATATATCTTTGTAAACATATTGTAAGAAAGATGACTTTAAAAAATAAAAAATAACTTGCTTTAGCTTTAACTTGCAGATTCTTATCACATTTTCTTTTCTCCCTTACAGAGTGCTTCACTTTAATGTACAACCGTGCTTGCCCAGTGGAAACTGGCTGCTTTTGACTGACCAGAAACACGAGACAGGGAAGAAAACTGTAGCATCTGGAGCTCGTCTTGAGTCTCATTTCTGCTTCTGTTGGGTCCAAGCAATTGTTTATAAAATCCAGAAAAAATAGTATGAGGATGTCATTTTCAGATTATTTACGTTTACATTCCTTCTTACTTAGGCAAATCTGTTTTTATCACTGCAGTAATAAATAACCTTCTTTTCTCAACTCTTTAAAAAATATGCATTTTAAAATACAAAGAATGGACTGGGGATTTAGCTCAGTGGCATAAGCATCTGCCTGGAATGCATGAGGTTGTGAGTTTAATCCCTGGTACCAAATAAAGAAATAAATAAAATACAAAGAAAATACTCCAATATCAGTTCCCTCTTCTGGTAAGTAAGCATATTTTCCTTTTTTTAAAAAGACAGCACCTCAGTGTACAGTTCAGACTGGACTTTAACAGTCCATGTAGCCCACCCAGGCTGCCCTTGAACGCTGACTGATTCTCCTCAGTCTTCCGAGCGCTGGGATTATAGGCTTGTGCCACCAAGACTCGTGGCATGAAATCAGGTATTTAATCATTGATTTGACCCTTAAAATACCATCTCATCATCTTAAACATCCTATGGGTATTCACTATGTGGCACTAAAAGACCTTATACACAGCTGTATGTGGGTGCTCAGGAAAGAAATAAGCAGTTACCTTCCGAAAGTTCCTCTGGACGTGCATCGAATGCAGAAAGAGATGTGAAGAAGTTAAGCCTCTGAGAAGATCAAGTCAGCCACTGAACAACGCAAACGACATGAGCAAGCATCTATGTCACGTTAGCAGAAGCTGTAACTCGGTAAGGCCTGGCAAGGCAGCCGGACAGCACATCCAGGGCTCCAAGGCCCATCTCTCCTCATTCTGCTGCAGGGCCACTAACTTCTTCTGACATTACCTACAAAACTCTCCCTGAGGCTTTTCAACCTCGAAGACACTATTGGTTGGCATAAAATGGGATTTGAAGCCAGGGTGAGTGTGCAATCCTATAATCCCAGGAGGCTGAGGCAGGAAGGCTGCAAATTGCAAGTGTTTCAAAACAACAACAACAAAAAAGGCCTGGGGCTAGAGCTCAGTGCAAAGGCCCTCCCTCGGTTCTATCACTAGCACTGAAATAATACAAAATAATAATGATGAATAAAAGGACATTTAAAAAGAGATTTACAAAGGACAAGTTCTGAGCCTTTTTGTCCCTCTCCCAAAGGCCACTCTGGTGCAGCCCTAAGAGAGGCTGAGTTGGGGAGCTCGGGGAGGAGCAGTTTCTGCAGCCTCCCAGGACCTGAATAACCTTGCTGTCCTCTCCAGTTGCCCCTTGACTAGAGGGGACCTAAATCCAAAGCAAATAATTTGTTGTTGTCGTCTTGATATTTTGAAGCAGCTGTATTTTCTGAATTTTTACATTTTAAATATTTTATTTTTACTTTCTACTTTTGGATGGAGCCTGAGGCCTTGTACATGCCAGGCAAGCGCTATCGTGCAGAGCATCCGCCAACCTCTGGCTTTTCAATGTTCTTCCTTCCTGGCGTCACATTCTATCTCTCTCCAAGCAGAAAGGAAAGAGTCTGAGTTATGCTCAGAGGTCTTAGTGACCAGAGAAAGCCCTAGGAGCGACTGCCCTGGGTATCTACCACAATCTCTGCCAGCTGGGCACTGACTGCTCCTTCCTAACCAAACGGGGCTTGGGTGCTGAGAGGCTCTCCTCTGAGTGGCTCCAGAGGGCGAAGATTGCTGCTGCCCTTGAGAGCCGTCACCCCTGAGGGACTGGCTTCTGGGCAGTGCCACTAGTGACCTCCCATGCTCCTGCCATGTGCTGGGCATGACGCTAGGCCTTTCCTTGTGGAGAAAGCCCTTCCACAATGGGGACTTGGCCTGAACTGCAGAGAGGCTGAGTCCCCGAGTGACAGACCTAGGATTCACACCCAGGGAGCAGGCCTGTGTGAAGGGTATCCCCAAGTGCCCACCATGCCTCCAGTGCCCCTAGGCCACAGCCTCAGGTTCAGCACTGACGTGAACAGAGAAGGATGTGTACAATGGAGGGGAATGAAAAGTGAAGCCAATCCCAAACATGGAGTCAGGTATAAAACATAAATCATCGGTGACGGACCAACTATCTCAAGGAAAACGGGAATGTAGAAGTGACATAAACCCTGAGTAGTCACTGGAGTGAGTGGCGACCAGCTCGGCCCCTCGCAAAGTCATCTTTTCATAACACATGTACCAACCTTTCTACTCTAGTGACATGAAATTCATGTGACAATCTGCTACACATATGGCTTTAAAAATCAATGTGACTCTCTAACTGTAACATAAAGGGAAAATAAAAAGGTAGTCACACCCCATATATAGCTATGAAAGGGAATTTAAAATTTTAAATAAAAGCTGCCAGAATTTCCGCCAAGGTCAAACAGATGTGTCCAAACAAACCTGATAACAGTATATTCTTTTCTTTGCCTAAGCTTGTCTAACAGGTGGCCTTACGATAATGTAACCTCAAATGTTCTTTTTTAGACACCGGGTGTGGTGGCACACACCTGTAAACCCAGCCCTCAGGAGGCTGAGGTAGAGGGATTGTTACAAGTTTGAGACCAGCCTGGGTTACAAAATGAGCTCAAAACCAGTGTGAACCTCATAGCAAGATCCTGTCTCAAAAAGATAAACAAAACAAAATAGAACAATTGTTCCTTTGTATGTTGTATAAATAGTGCTAATGGCCTTGTAATGTAACTTTAAATCTAACAGAACATTTCTTCCTCTGTGTAACCCATGCTTTGTATAATTGATGGCCTTATGATGTAAGCTGAAATATTTAAACTCCTTTAGGAATCCATGTTGTCACCCAACTGTCCAATCATATGTGCTGAATTTGCCTTTGTAACTCCCTGCTGACTTTCTCCTTAAAAGCCCTAAAATCCCGCAGCACAGGACTGGCTCTTTCTGAGAAATCCTAGTCAGAAGCCCATCCGTGTAATAAACTGCCTCCTCAGCCTCCTTGGTGCCATTTCCCCGTGTCTGGTCTGCTTTCTGCAACATCTACACACTGAAATATAAACCCCTGGGCATAACTCTAGAGAATGGGACGCTTGCACCCACCCACCTGGAAGCAGTGGGACCCAGAAGTGAGAGGGGTGGAGTTTCCTGCAGCGCAGGGACAGAAGAGCTATGCAGCAGTGGGCAGGAGATGAGTGCTCCACGGGGCAGCAGCCAGACTTCCCCTGTCTGATTCAGAGGGAGCCACCTTCCCTGGAGTAGGGCTGGTCCGCCGGGCTGCAGGGGAAACCCAAGAACTAGGCATAGGAGCAGGCAGTCAGGGGAGCCAGGCAGGCCTGCTCACAGCCCCCAGGCTGGCAGGAACACCCGTTGGGGCCTGTTTTGTCCTAATGACACCAGTATATCCCTCAGGTTGACACTTGATCCTTACGAGGTGTCGTCAGTGAGGGAAAAGAAAGCAGTTTCAGTGCAGATGCTGCACCTCCAGCTTCTCTCGCTCTCTGTGGAGGAGCAGCCAGGACTGTGCCATGACATGGGTCCACACACCCACTCCAGAGGACTCGCTGTCCCCAAGCCTCTGCACAGCCACCGGGGACGCCATGGCCCAGTGCCAGGTGCAGAGAAGCTGTCATCTACCCCTGTGTCGGGTCTGCCCAGCAGGAAGATGTGCATGGGGACCACTGCCACCAAGCAGGTCCCACTTTACCCTGCAGGCAACTGGACTGCCAGAGATGCCCACACTACATGACAGGCAAAACCTGCCCCACACAGAGCTCAGAATGCCCCACAGTGAACAGCATTGGACACTTACTCTGTCTCATGGCCATACTCTTTATTGATTTTTTTTTTTTGAGAACAGTTTTTACTATATAGTTCAGGCTGGCCTTGAGCTCATTATGTCACCCAGCTGGCCTCAAACTGACAGTAATCTTCCTGTCTCAGCCTCCCAAGTGATGGGATTATAGGTGTACCATCAGCCTGGCTGTTTGTTTGTTTGTTTTTGGAAACAAGGTCTTGCTATGTAGCCTAGGTTAGCCTCAAATGCTCAGTGATCCTTCTTGCCTCAGATGCTGTTGTAGTCAGGGGTTGTGCACAGAACAATTAGAATCAGGACATGGAATTTATAATATTGTTTTATGATGGTCACCCAGAGTTTAACAGAAGAAAGTGCAGGAAATCTATCCATAACACCAAAGATCTGGAATATTCAGCTAAGGGTCTGAATCCCATAGCAATGCCCTACATGAGTCCAGATGAAAACCTAGAGCCCATCACAGTGCCTCCCACGAATCCAACTGTAGGTCTAGAGACCACAAGAAGGACACAAACCAGGTTGTTTTATGGGTTGGTGTTGGGAAGGCCCAAAGGTCAGCAGTGGAAGCTAGAAAGTCTATGCCAGCAGGATGAAGGAGCTGTGCTGATAGCTTGAGGGTTCTATGCTGGTGCCGAGAAGTCACAGTCCTATTAAAGACCAGGGCTGTCCTGAAAGGCACCACAGACATCCTCAGCGACACGGAGGCCCCGAGCTCTTCTGATGACAATGGTCGAACTCATACTGGGGAGTCTAGTGATGGTGAGCTCCTCCAGGAGAAGCAACGGCTCAAACAGCAACACTTAGAGAAACCCACAATGTGTAGCTTCTCCTTCTCCACATATCTATTTATGCTGGCAACTTTCCTCAGGTGGACTGTCTACATGCAGTACCATGCTGATTTAATTCAGCTGGTGTTAAGTTGACCACCAGTTTTTAATCCATAATAGATGCCCAGTGATTTTTATAATAAATGTTACTATGTGTTTTCAAGGTTTGCAATCTATGTTACAGAATATATAGAAATACAACATGGTTACTATGGGAAGCAAATGAACATATCTATCAGCTCACATGTTTACTTTTATTCTTATTTTACTTCATGGTTGCATTCAAACAATTATTGAATCACATCCTTAAATGTTTAAATAATATCAAAATATGAAATATACATTTAAAAAGCAGCACCAAATACAATATTAATTTTTAACTTACCAGATTCAAATGTTTCTTCATCTGTGGTTTTCCATGGAGACAAAAAATAAGAATGTCATTTCAATACTGTCTTGGCTGAGCCTACCTGCATCCTAGTGGCCTGACTGCTGAGCTGTTCTTCCGCTAGACACTACCTGAAAATGTGTTTCTTGGCACAAGGTGGAGTCACAGTACAGTGGGCATGATGACGGTTTGTAATGAGCTCAATACAATAAATAGAATAATAGAAGATAAGAATTTAGAAGCAGCTCAGAAGGATGGGCAAAGTCAAATGTCGAGGAAGGCCTGGAAGGTGGTACAGGGCCCCAAGGGGTGAGGAAGTCTTGGAGACTTGGGAATGGGTTTGTCCAGGTGACTGAGGAAAGCAAGACATCAGCTACTTTCTGTGTCTGTTAAGACAACTGCTGTTAGCATTTTAAAGAGAGATGAAGGGTTAAGAAGCCAGGATTTTTACAGGGTCAGTTTGAAATGTGCAGCAAAATCACTGTGCATGCACCTTGGGACAGGCAGCCCTACAGCTGAGGTGACCATTTGTGTGTGGAATGACACTCACGAAGCTGTTCACTGAATACTGCTCATAGTGGGAAAAACTGGACATAACTCAGATCTCTACAAAAAGTAATTTGTATACAGCAAGCTGTCAGAAAAGATGAAGAAAAGGCTCTGTGCTACACAGAAGCTTCTTAGAGTCACAGGTGCAGGGTGGTGTGCGTGAGAAACCACCGGTCCTGCAGGCCTGGAGCAACGGCCCAGGGGTGGGTGGACTCTCATGGCTTGAGAGGGAAAACAGGGTCCAGAGAAGGAGCAGAGGAACTTCGTCTTGAATGTGCTTTTCTAGGCTTTGAATTTTAAACTGTAAATGTATTTAATAAAATTTTAATCACAATTTTTGAAAGGAAGTGCATATTATGCAAGTTTAAAAAACCAGTATGTTTACTTGGTGGAATAAAGTGGTGTTGGAATTCTATAGTTGTTTTGGGAACTATACATAGCTCATTCTGATAGTTCTTTCATTTCCAAAAGCCAGATACAGGACAAAGCCAAGAAAAATGAACTTGTCAGGTTAATGTCTTCCAAATAGTTCTCTAACAAAGCCCTGGTGATTCCCAAGCCATTTTGGTACTGCCACTAAATTAAAAAAAGCCTTTATAAGGACATTTAAAAAAATATCTTACATATAGAAAAGTGAAAAGCTTTTATACATTTCCCAAAATTTTGGAACCCTCTGTCTATCCTAGAGTCTTCTGGCATCAAGCTTTAGAATTAAAAAAATACACATTGCGTTTTCACCACCTGGCATTGCACTGCTTTCCACGCTCACGGAGCATGAGCCTTTATGCTCCTGGGCGGGAACACTGGGTGTCTCTGCCTGGACGGGGTGCTAGTCCACTCCATGGTGTTGGGAACCACAGGAAATGGGTGGCCAGTCCCTCTCCCCCAAGGAGGACTTGGGTCATCCTAACAGAGGCACTTTGCCTTTCTCCTGGGTTGCATCAATCAGGAAGGAAGGGTACCTGCTTCCACACACTTCTCATCAATCTTCATGTAATCGTCTGTAAAACAGCACAGAAACGGGGAATTAGAGCTTCAGCTGTGTCCACATTAAAGAAATTCCCTGTGTAGATTGGATGTCAATCAAATTCAGACCGACAGTACCACACTCTCAGAACTAGTGCTCTCTTGGTGTTATGAGGTGTGCGCTGCTGTCTTAGAGGAAAATAGGATCTAAGAGAAGATACCACAGAATGCTTTTCAGTGCTGGGTAGATTGGTTATCTGAGGCCTCTGTGGTCCTTCTGTAACTGGAGTTGGTGATAAAACCTACCAAAAAGGATAAGCTTCCCACAGAGCGTGCAGGGTAAGCTCAGGCACATGGCACGGGCTCATAACGCTAACCGTCTTTCCGTGGAGGTACATACAAGTGAATGAGAGAATGCCACTCAGCCTGAGGCTCATGGTGCTCCACGGACAGGAAGCCTCTGGAAGAGCACTCCTCTGCCTCACATCTCAGTACTGCACAGCTGACCCACGATTCTTCCCCTGAGCCTGGAACACTTCCCTTAGCTTCCTGGGTAGCTAAGATTACAGGCATGTGCATCATGCCTGGTCAGAATATCTTAACATGTCCTCTTCTCTTTCTTTTTTCCTTTCCTTTTCTCTTTCATCTTTGGTTTTTCATGGTACCGAGGACTGAATCCACCTGCTTCAGCCTCCTGAGACCTGGGCTTACACGTGTGTGCCCCACCCCTGGCCACTGATGTTCTGAGATGAGATATGAAATATGATAAATTTTAAGAAATAACACTGCGACAGCATTCTGTTACTTCATGTAGAATCGTTAGTTCTCCTAAGTAGCTCAGCGAGCAGCGGCAAAGATAAACAAGTGATGTAATGAGGCTTTCAGCTCTGTCCCTTAATCCCTATATTCATTTAGAGATTATTTTCTAGTTCAGTTATTTACAACAGTGAGTTTGTTGCTTCACCCAGCATAACCAGAGCTGTCATTTTTAAAAAAGCAAACAGGGACAACGTCCTTCCTGAGTCACAGATGAAGGTGAGAGAGAAGGAGCACATCTCCAGTAACAGCGCAGGGCGCTGGCTCTTCTGCCCTGTGAGCCAGGGTTCAGGCTAGGGCCTGGCTTCGCTCCACATGCTGGCTTACTCCCCACAACACTCCCATGTTGAAATGCTCATTTTCAGTGTGACTGTATTTAGAGACCTGGCCTTTTAGAGATGAGAAAGGCCCCTCATCCCTTAGGACCAGTGGCCTTACAAAAAGAGGGTGAGACCCTAAAGCTCTCTCTTCCTAACCATGCACTTGGGAAAGACTGCACAAGCACAGAGTAATGAGGTAGCTATCTAGAAGCCAGGAAGGGAGGCCACACCAGAAACCAACTCTGCTGGAAACCTGATCAGAACAATTGAGAATCCATGCTCCAGCCACCCAGCGTGTGGTATCTTGTTATAGCAACCCAAGCCGGGACAGTGCACTGAGTGTGCACCCTCCCTGCTGTCCTTCACAGCAGTCTTCAGCCTGTGACAAAAGCCCCTTCCTGCTTGTTTCAGGCCTGCTTCTGCCGTCACCTGCCTGTGTCACACTCTGCTCCTGTCCTTGAGGGACACAGTTGGAGCCCATGTGGGCCAATCAGTTCTCAAAAGTTCTTCTGCAGCTGGGGTCTCCCCTCCCAGGGTGGCTCATGAATGTGAGCTTTGGCTAAGGGGAGTGCCCGTCTCTGTCTGTCCCCACTGCATGCAGGCATCCTGCTGGGACTATGTGTGTGTCCCTGCGTGCGTGCGTGTGACATCACAGTGCCTCATTGGGAGGGCAAAGGGTAAGGGCTCATAAGGTGCCCTTGCTCCTAGTCCCAGTGCAGGAGCCTTCAGACAGATGGGAGCACGAATGCAGCCTACCTGGTTTGCAGCTTCAGAGACCCATGTCTACCTTTCCTGAACCTCAATCTTCTCATCCATAAGATGATAGTAGTAATGATTTCCTTACCTTGGTATTTTTATTAGCTGTGTATAAAGCAGTTAAAGCAAAACACCTGATCAGCTTCACAACTCTGAATTTGTACCATGGAGATGTTAGAGCTGTGTACAAATGTTACCTGTCTTTCCTTGATTTTGCACACTGTTGGGATAATTACACTTTTTGTGCTATTGCACTATTAGTTACACAGAAAGAGCTTAATAAACAGGTGAAATGAACTTTTTTTTTTTTTTTGTCTTTTTCCTTTTTATCGGTACCGGGGATGGAACTCACTATTGCCTACTTTACAAGGCAGGCGCTTATGCTGCTGAGCTAAATCCCCAGGCCCGTGAAATGAACTTTTAAAGGTAGGGGAAATTTCTAGGGCACTTGGGTGTTCAAGGCTTTTTTCTAAAAATGTTCTTACCTTCTTCCATAGAAATCGCTGGGTAAAGACAAATGATCGAAGCAGGAAGAAAAACAAAAAACAACACATAGTCTCATTTCTCTGGTTAATTTACAACTAGAAAAGCAAAGCGCTAATGATTATAATTAAAATTCACTCAGTGGAGATTAGTATTGTAATTAATACTAATCAGTGGAGATTAGTGGAGTAGAATATGACTGTGAGCCTGGCAAAGTCTACCACACCACCCCACTGAGCTCCATTAGGGCTGCATTCTGCTCATTTTGAATTCATGTACTTGGCTTAGCATTCTATAGGAGCTCAAATCCTAAAGGAAAGGAAAAGAGGAAAGGAAGAGGTAAAAGAAGAAAACAGGGATAACAGTAAGTGCCTCTTCAGTAGATAACTTTTCACTAATCATCTGCAAACTAACATAGGCTGGAAGCCTTAAAAACTTTTCTTCAGGGTGGGGATTGAACCCAAGGCCTTGCACATGCTAGCCAGGCAAGTGCTCTGTGACTAAGCTTCATCCCCAGTTCTCCAAAACTCTTTATTAATAAAATTGCACACTGTTGGGATATTCCTGTTCCTCTACCTCTTGATGCAGTAGCTTGTTCTAGAGATCATTTTTCCTTCTGGTAAGACTTAAGCAGAGGGCAGTGTCACTTTGACACTTTCTAAACCTGGTAGTTCAGAAAGTGACCAAGATCCATCAAATATCCCTGGTGACGGTGCCCATTTATCTCAGCAGCTCAGTCCTTGTATTCACGGACTCAAGGGTGTGTGAGAATCATTGTAGGGTGATTCAAACTGCTTTCAGCATGGCCTTCCAGAAGGTCTAACACCAATGCCACACAGACTAAATGAGCAAGTACATCTCCACCAGGGGTCACGCTTATTATTAGATCTGATCAGAAACTACTCAGCGTCTTTGCATGTCTTTCATAAATAAAATAGGAAAGCGAGTCAAAGAATTCTAGATCTAGATTTGTTTAAAAACTTTTCCAAAGTTTTCTGATATGATACTAGGTTAAAAAGAGTTGAAGCAATGTTACACCTCTGGCTGAGTTAGCTGAGGTCTGAGCCCACAAACAGAAGATACAACAAAACACTGCCACCAAGTAGGTATTACCCGAGTGCTTCCTTCTTTTAGAAATGTCTTTGTGGTTGTCATTCTGTGTTTTCAGCACAAAGGGAAAGGAACATAGTTTCTGGTTTGGAGAAGTAGAGTTAGGTGGTGCAGGATACCATGGCCATCTGTGCGGGTGGCAGTGTCACCTGTGTCAGGGCCTTCGAGTCCCAGAACCCTCCACCCCAGTCCCCTATCCCTGCTGACTCCTTCCCAGGGCCTCCCTCCCTCAGCTGGTACCAGCAGGGACCCCACCTGTCTGTTCTCATCCCAACCCCACCCTGCGCCACTGCACAGCATTCTGCATGAAGGGGGGGGGCTCCCAACTGTTGGATGCTGCGGACATCGCCAACCTGGCCGCCCCTGGAATACCACCACCCAGCCACCAGGCAGCACCTGCCCATTACCACCCTCAGAGGCACACTCAACTGTCACATAGGTCTCTGAGGGTCAGAGGAAGCCCTCAAATTTGATAGAGCCTGAGGGAGGTTTGTGGGGAGCTGTGCAGCCTGTGTTAGTCCTGGCACAGGGCACGCGAGCTGCAGAGCCTTTAGAGTGGTGACTTGTGTGCCACCAACACACACATATTTGCATTTTCATGGCCAGCTGCGGGGAGGTTTCTTGGGGAAGGGTGACATCTAGAGGACCTGGGAGGGATATGGTCTGGGACAGAGGACACAGGTGTTTGCAGATGCTCACGTTGGGCCTGAGGCCCTGCACACTCACATATGGATGGTTTGAGGCAGGTGTGAGGTTGGTATGGCCGAGACCACCAGAACTCCCGTTGCTTCCTATGCAAAAAAGAATGCCGTGATTTGCTGGTTGCTGTGGTCAGCACGCTCACTGTGGCTGACCAGGCCACAGCCCTGGCTGCGCTGCATGTGGACACAGGAAGAGGCATTACAGGGCCTGCGCCTGCTCAAAGTGTGGTGGTGCCCGAGCTTCCCACTCTCTCCTGGCTCTTGGGCGTCACCACGACTGGGTCTTGACTCGGTCATGTGAAAACGCTGCTCCTAACCCTCCGCCACTGCCCACCCTCATGGTTGTGCCCCAGCTCTATTTCATTCCTGTTACCCCTTTCTCTGCCCACACTTTCTGTCTTTGCAGACCTAACAGTGTATCGGTCCTGCAGTCACCTATAATCCATTAATCTTATTTTCTGCTCACCAACCTCACCTGTTTACCTCCTCAGCCCCTTCAGCAGTTTAAGTGCCATGGCCCAGCACTCCCTTGGTCTCTCTTGATTTGCTGTTGATCCAACCTCCCATCTAACCTGCCCTGTACCCGGAAACCGACCTGTGACCGTGTCTCTTCTTCCCAACACCTCCTCACCTACCCCAACTCAGCTCAGGACCTGGCGCCCCGCTGTGATGAAACACAGGGGCATCAGGGGGAATGTCCACAGGTGTCCTGTCCCCCCACTGTGCCTGCATCCTTTGCCTTCTCTTTCCTGTTACGGCGGCGGGGGGGGGGGACCTGTCAGTGGCCCTAAATCAGGCTAAAAGGCCTTGTCCTGCGGCTCTGGGATGTCCACAGCGCAGTGCTCTTCTCTTTCTTCTGTATCATAAAAGTTTTCCTCTCCCTGGATTATTATCACTAACTTTATTTACCTCCTCTAAAAAAATTCTGCCATGTCATGCCACTTTTCTCTCTAGCTATTTCTCTTTGCTTTATGTCAAAATGTTTCTAAGAGTTTTCTGTCCTTGTTGTTACCAGTTTCTTGCAATGAAATTACTTTGTACCCAGATTACCAATGACTGCAGATTGCTAATCCCAGTCAGTTTCCAGCCCTGTCAGATCAGGAAACCATGAAGTCTGCACTTTTAACCCAGCTTCGTCAATCATCCCTGCTTGGCCTTCCTCACTGTTCTCATTTTCATGATTTCTGTCCGTGGCTGAGCCTTCGACATCTGCTTCTTGCTGTTTCCACTTCTTTCCTTGGTGGTCCCATCACATCTCAGGAGCATGCTGTTGGGACTATGGCCCTGCTTGGTCTCGCAAGATTCATACCTTTTGGTCTCGGTCTATTCGGGCTGTGCTAATGCAAAGTCATAAATTTGGGAGCTTATAAACAACAGATTGTACTTCACGGTTCTGGGGATGGGAAGTCCAGTCTCAGGGCAGCAGCTGACTCGGGGTCTGGTGAGCACTTTCTGCTTCCTCGATGGTGCTGTCTGGCTGTGTTCTCACATGGCTTGAGGGGCAACCAGCCTCTTTCTGGCTCTTTTGCAAGATACCAAGCTCATTTCCTGAAAGATCTGTCTTCATGACCTAAGCACCTCCAAAGGCCCTACCTCTAACACGTTGTCTTAGGGTTATATTTCAATATGTGAATGATGGTAGCACTGCAGTACTTTTTAAGTTTATGTAGTTTCCCAAATACTTTATTTTCTAGTGATACGATTACTGGGTCCCCTTAGTATTTAAAATGCCTAAGGTGGGTCAATAACTTGACATTGGATTTATAAGCTAGGTTGTGCATGTGTGTCCGTCTGCCTTCCCCCTTGTCTCTGGGCGAGGCACTGTCCCAAGGCCTGGAGAGGCTCTTACCTCTTGAGCAGGTGGTTAGAGGGGATGAGCCCAGCACAGGTCACAGGGTCTGAGACTTTCCGGGCCTGCCACCAGAGGGCGTCGTTCTGATCCACAATCTGGAGGATGTCGCCCCTCTGGAAAGGCAACCCAGCATCCGCACAGGGGATGGCAGGGTCCTCCTGGGGCCAGAAATCAATCATGGCGCGAACGTGAACCTGAGGGCAGGGCAAAATGGTGCCATCGAAAGAGCTGCTGCCCACCTTCCCCCTGCTTTCCTCGCTTCCAAAGAAGAGAACTGGCCTCCTATGATGGTTTATATCTAGATGCTCCCCAAAATGGGGCTTTGGGAAGGGCGCTGGACCATGAGCCGTGACACTCATGAGGGAGTCGTCTACTGATAGGTTTAGAGCTGGGGGTGAGGTTGCAGGTGAAGCTGGCAGGAGGAGGGAACAGTGGGTGTGGTCTGGAGGGTCCTCTGCCTCCTCCTCCCCCATGGCTTCTGCCTCCTGTCCTATGCCCTGAGCTATTTGTCCTCGGCCTGTCCTGTGTCCCCTGCCACCCTGCCTTGGAGCCAGCCAACCATGGACTAAACCTCTACAAATGTGAGCTGGAAGAAACCTCTCCTCCTTAGAGTTGTGGTATCAGGTATCACATCTCAACAGTGAGGAAGTAACCAAGACACCCCCCAAGCTAAGTTCCATACAAACTAGCACTACAGGGAAAGAATCTCTTAGCTCTGAAATGTTTTCACTCAGACTTTTGATGTTGCCTCCTGATTTTTCATTGTGCTCCGTTAGTTGTTTTCTCTCTTGGGTCACTGTTACTGAGAAATGTTGAACATGGATGTCCAGAGTGGTAGAGAGGAGAGCAAGGCTGTGCGTGATACGCGTCACTGCTGCTGACGTGAGCGTTCGCTGCACATGGACTAACGGCTCAGTGGCTTCTTACCGTCTTCTGGTTGTTCACAGGAGGGTCAGAAACCGGAACCACCTTGAACATGATTGTACCACGGGACATAGCCTGGATGATGACAAACGGAGAACAGCAGGCAGGCAGTTAGCACGTCTGCAGCTCAGATGGAGAGGCACCTGCTTGTGGACTGCCAGGTGCCACAGCCCCCAGAGCGACTCCACCAAGATTATCAACAGCTGCTGCCACCCAGAAGTGGAAGCTGTGGATCAGCTTAGCTCTGCATCTCCCTTGCTGAAGGGATCCAGGGTCACTGGTTGCTAAAACCCACATTGAAGTGGCCTTGCCCAGGGACCTGTCATGTCATAGCTGTCAGAAGCACTCTGTTCTGCAAAGTTCCTTTCCTGCAGGCTGAAAGAGACAAGCTCTCTCTCCAACTTTCCCTGTCCACCCCCTCAGTAAGCACTTCCTGAATACCTATTTCTGCACTAGATGCCAGTCTGTTGGGGAAGAGGAGGGGCTCCCAAGTGGAAGTGAGGAGCTCCTCAAGAGAGGCCAAGAAGACTGCCCTTACACACAGTGACAGGTGGCAGAGAGCCAGGGACTGGGCTCACTCCTTTTGGGACTTTCACCATCCCACTGTCCTGGCAACTCCGCGGCTAGTGCTGGAAGGCGGAGAGAGAAGCACGCGTGTCTGTGGTTTGCAGGACTCACTTCAAGCTCCCTTTGCAGCACCTTTCACACCACAGAAAATCGCACAGCAGGAGCTCGGGTTCCCCACTGCCTCACCCAACCACGGTCTCTGGCCATCATTCCAGAGACCCAGAGTTCCCTAGGAGCCTGGTTTGAGAACGACTGGTCTCTCTATCATGATCAACCTTAGCCCTCACACTTGGGGTGTGCAAGGGGCAGACAGGTGGGGTCATGCCATCAGCTGAACTGTGACTCAGGGAACGAGAATGGACAAAAGGCCAGGGCTTCGAGAATCAAGCTATGAAGCCCAGCTCTAACCACCAGGAACAGGGGCGGGGCCACGCAAGGCTATTCTCCCAGTATGTGGCCATCTGCAGACCTTCCCTCCTCCCAGATTCCCTGGAGAAAGATAGTCACTGGGTCTCAGCCACATAAAGATAGTCGGGGAGCAAGGCATGTGCCTCTCAGAGGCCACCCAGCCCCAGTCTCCAGGGGAGACCCCAGGTGACGAGGAAGCAGCTGGGGCCTGGCCGTCCTGAGGAGCAATTTGGGAAGAGTCCTCTCCTAGCCGAGGCCACAACTTCTGGGAGGAAGGAAGGTGCATGAGCTGCCTGGTCATAAGCAGGCCTGGGGGCTGGGCACAGGGCTGCCACCGTGGTACAGCACACACACCTTCCACTGAGCTATGACCAAGTGGAAAGAGAAGACGTTACCAGAATATGGATCACTTGCTCAGGCTGCAGCCCCTCAACAGAAACCCCGTTCACTTCCACCAGTTTGTCTCCAGCATACAGCAACCCTAGGCAAACAGCGGCACACAGGGAGGAAACACAGAAACAGGAAAAAGTGAGAACAGAGCAGCCATACAACTGCTGTGAATGAGTCTGCAAAGCCAAGCATGCTCTACATTTCAAAATGGGAAATAATGACAATAAAGCAAACTGGTTATTCCAACCTAGACCATCACAGAAATGTCAGAGCTTTCCATTTTCGATGACTTTACTGCCGCGATGGTGACACTTTTGTTTTTGCTAACCTGATATTGTAAAATGGAACCAGCACACTGGTAATAAGATAGCATTAAAAATAAAGATGTCAGGGTCATGAATAAATGATCAATGAAAAGGGAAAAGTGGGAGGGTGTCTTCAAAAGAAAACCGTGGAGGTTAAGATGAAACCTGGGCCGTAGATGTCGGGGAGGCAGCGCGGGAACAGAAGGTTGGTAACACAGACTGAAATCCAGTTTCACTGTAGGAGCACGTTCTAGTGGTCTACAGCACAGCAGATGATATAACTTACAGTCATTTCTTCTATACTTTTCAAAGAACCCAAGAAACAAGCTCAGAGTTTCCCAACCTAAAGAGCTCATAATTACCCTTTTCTGATCATTCTATGCTGTGTGTGTGTATGGACTATCATACCATACCCCATAACCATGCATGATTATTTGTGTCTTTTAAAAAGAGGTTGAATCTTGAGGGAATTCAGGCACAGGAAGATGAGCTAGGAAGCAGGGTGACATCTGAGAACAAAGCCCTGAGTGGTAAAGGCCTCTGCAAAGCTGTCCGTGGCACAGAATGTGGACAGAATAGAAATGAACCTTCTGAAGAGAGAAAGGAGAGAAACAGTGGCACAAGGGACCGGCAGCTGAGTATCTTTCGCCTGTATTAGAGGACTCGAGGGGAAGACCACAGCCAGGCTCTGGAACTCCGGGCGCAGGACACGAGGCAGGAGGCATGGGAGCAAAGGAAGAATCAGCTGAACTGCTACAGAGAGCAAGCAAAATGCCTTTCAGCTCTGCAGCGCGAGCAAGCTAATTACCTACCTGTGCCAGCTTCAGCCTCCTCATCTGTAAAATGGCACAGCAACCCTGTCCTCCGAGGTGGCCCTGAGATGTCACTGAGACAGCATAACATGGGGCCTAGGATGGGGCATCTCCTAGACCCTTTGTTCCTTCTTCCTTTGCAGTTTTAACCAAGCAAAGGAACTTAGCAGAGCCCCAGCTTAAGTCAGAAAAGAGGAGATCCTTAGGGAAAAGGGACTACACAATTAAGAGTTCCTGTTTCTCTGGCCACGCCTGTGCTCCACTGCTGAGGCTTACCACTCCTTTCGACCAGCCCTCCGTGGATGACTCTGGCCACCAGAATGTCGCCTGTCATCTCGTGGCGCTTGATGGTTGCTCCCTGGAGAGAGAGTACAGCAGAGTCCCAGGCAGAACACTCATGTCCACCAGCAGGGAGGGACCCGCCAGGGCCCTGGGCTGTCAGCTATGCCTCAGAGAGGAGAGGCCTTTGACCCTGGCCTCCCGAGCTTCTGTCACCTCACAGAAACACATATTTTCGCACTCTCAAAGGTAACTAGATCTCCTGAATTATAACCACTTGTAGGACCACTCTGAAAAACTGAACTAATGTCTTACTTAGCTTCCCATTAATGAAGGAGAAAAATTTTAACAGAATGAAATAAATACAAGTGTCAAAAGCCAAATAATAAAATAAAATATGTATGTCTTACTTTTCACAAAAATAAGTCTTATGCTACTTTTCAAAAAACCACTAAGCAGGGTCAGTGATCATAGCTCAGTGGCACAGCACCTGCCTGGAAAGCACAAGGTTCTGAGTTTGATTCCTGGGACAAAACAAAAACAAAAACACAACTAAGCAGAAATCTTTCCATAATGAAGACATTATGACCTGCAATAAGCTTGAAGCTCCAGGCAGACGCCGCAATGTATTGTACCTTTGTTACCACTCTGCAAGTGACCACAGACAGTATGCTGCCCAACTTACTTCCAGAGCTGACTTAGTGATTAAGCCTGGTAAAATTCTAAATGAAAGAAAAAATGACTTCCTTACCAAGGGCTGTTGGTTTTTCACCAAACAAACAATCCTCGTTGCTTCTTCATTCTCGGGGAGACTGTCTGGCAGTGGTGGCAGAAGAGGCTCAAAGTCTTTCTGTGCCACTGTGTCATGGGCTCGGAGCAAGGCCTGGGAGGGGAAGGCAGAGACTTCACAGGTGATACACACGAGCAGGGGACAGCAACTCAACACGGCTACCCAGCACTCAGCGGGGGCGGGGTGCAGAGCCTTGCATGTGGGTTAATCCCGTCGTCACACACGTTCCGTACTGGAGATACATTTACTGTCTTCAGTTCAAGAAAAACAAACAAGGCACAGGAAAGCCAAGCCGTGGGCAGCCAGCCTTTCATTTCTCCTAACTGTGTTATCCTACGACATTCTGGATTTTGTTGTTTGTTTTTGGTACCAGGGATCAACTCAAGACCTCACACTGCCAGGCAGGCATCGTGCTGCTGAGCCACGTCCCCAGCCCTCTACGACATCCTCATTCCCATCAGTCCACGAGGCGCTGAAGGAGTTTGAAGTACAAAACTTTTGCAAAATTTTCTCTAATTAAGGCAGAGTAAGCGGCATTAATCAAAACATCTCAGTGGTTTAGGGGTCTTTGTGGAAGACAATAAGAAAAAGCGGTTCCCTGGTTAAAGGTCTGAGGAATAATTTTGCATTTGTTTTCATTTTTTGAGACACGGTTTTGCTGTGTAGTTGAGGCTGGCCTTGAAGTTGTTACATAGTCCAGGTTGATCTGGAACTGGTGATTTTCCTCCTTAGTCTCCTAGTGCTGGGGATATAGGGCTCCACAGATGTTCTTCTGATGATCCACTCTGTCCCATTTCATGCAGTCCTGATCAAACACCCATAGCATACCTCATAGAATTAGAGAAAACAATCCTAAAGTTCATTTGGAATCAGAAAGCCCTACAATAGCAAAAGCAATTCTGGGCGACAAAGGCAATTCAGGGGGAATCAAAAGACCTGCCTTGAAATTTTACTACAAAGCTACTGTGATAAAAACAGCATGGTACTGGCAAAAAAAAAAAAAAAAAAAAAAACCAACAACAAAAAAACCCATGCACAGACCTGAAAGTCAATGGGACATTAGAAGATGGAGAAACAACTCCCACATAATCAACTACCTCATCTTTGACAAAGGGGCCAAACACTTTCACTGGAAAAAACATAATAAATGGTGCTGGAAAAAGTGGCTTTTCACATGCTGAAGGCTAAAATTAGACTCACTTCTTACTATAAACTAAACTAAAATAAAAATGGATCAAGATCTAAATAGTAAAACAGAAACACTAAATCTGCTCGACAATAGAATAAGTAGACCTCTTGGAGACATTGATGAAGGCAAAAACTTTATGAACAAAATTCTAACTGCACAGGAAATATTACAAAGAACCAACAATGGGGCTCTCATCTAGTTAAAAAAGATTTTTTCACTCTGGGTGTGGTGGTGCAGGCCTACAATTCCAGCACTAGGGAAGCTGAGGCAGGAGGATCATTGCAAACTTAAAAGTAGTCTGAGCTACAAAGTGAGCTCAAGGCCAGCCTGAACTGAATTACACGGCAAACTTGTCTCAAAAAGACCACCACCACCACCACAACACGAAAAAACTTTTTTTTGGCACAGCAAGAGAAACCACCAACAGAGTGAAGAGACAACCATGGTATGAGAAAAAATTTTTGCCAGCTGTTCCTCAGACAAAGGACTAGCATCTAGAATATATAAAGAACTTAAAGAAAAAAAGAGAATCCCAAATTTAAAGACACAACTAAAAATGGGCATCTGAAATGAATACCCACTTCTCAGATACAGAAATATGAATAGCAAATAAATATATGAAAAAAATATTCAACATCACAGGTTATTCTAGAGATGCAAATTAGAACACTGAGCTTCTACCTTACCCAAAAAAAGAATGGCTGTCATCAAGAAATCCACCAATAACAAATGCTGGCGGGGCTGTGGGGAAAAAGGAACCCTTCCCCACTGCTGGTGGGAGTGCAGACTGGTGCAACCATTGTGGAAATGTGTGGAGATTCTTTAAATCTAGGACTAGAGGTCCCCTTCGACCCAGCTAGTGCCCCACTTGGTGCCTTCCTGAAAGAGTTGGAAGCCCCGAAGAGTTGGAGACCAGGCTGTGCAGGGTTAGGCTGCGAGCACAGGGAGCGCTGGCCATGCTGGAAAAGGGCCACACGCAGCGCTCCAAGGCAAAGATGACACTGGCAAAGGCAGCTGTGGACCTGGGCCGCTGATCCCACTCCAGAGCAGGAAAGCAGCCAGCCTCGGAGACAAGATGCTTCTCTTAACTGGCACAATTCACTACTTGGAGAGGTCTTTGAACCAACTCTCAAGGTCCAGCTTGGTTCCTGCATCTGCCTCAGTATCTCCTTTCTTTGCTTGAAAACCAAATAAATATGGGCTGCTGGAGAAACTCTTTGTCTCAACTCCCAGGGAATCTCAAAGTTTGTTAGAGGGTTTTGAACTTCTGGAGCCCTAAAATCATACCACTTGTTTCTTTTATTTAAATCATTTGCCATCCATTTGTTTAGGAGGTTGCAGGCCTGATCAGGCCACAGTAGTTTACTACAATGATATATGCACACACACACATTTATATTGGTACAGTTTATAAAATCTAAATCTTGGAATTATCCCAAATGCCCATTAACCAATGAATAGATAAAGAAGATGTGGGGTTTAAAAAAAATACAATGGAGTACTACTCTGCCATAAAGAAAAATAAACTTGAGATATTTCTGCCTAATTGGGTGCACCTTGTGACCATACTGTAAGTGAAGTAAATCAGATACATGTGCTCAAATATTACATTGTTTCTCTGGTATAAGAATCTGAAAGGATAAAAAAGGACCAAAATGTAAAATAGATACTGGGAAATAGGAAGACAATGTTCAAATGGGAAGGGGAACAAGGGAGGGAGGAGGGGTGAAGGAAGAGAAAAAGGAGAAAAGAATAGAGTTAAAAAGAGAAAGCTTTTGTAAATAAAGGGGAAACAGGGTTGAAAGTAGAGGAGAGGACTGAGAAAACAGAAGACCCGAGTAATCATGTACAGATTCTCTATAATGTGATCATATGCCTATCTAAAACGTGCCAATAAAATGAATTTAAAAATAAAAGTATTTTATTAAAATTAGAAAAGAAAAGAAAAAGTTTCCATCTCACCAGGGGAAGCCTGAGCAGGACTCAGTGGGAACACAAAGAAAACGCTAGTGCGTGTGCCCTGGAGCTATTTGGTGACCAGCGATTATATCACGAGTGAAAAATCTTTAACCCATAAATTTCATCGCTCCAAACTCAGTCTTTATCTTGAAAGTTTAATTTGTAGATAAACTGATCTCAAAATCTATAAACCCTGAGAGCTTTGTTGTCATCAAATCTTCATGCAGGGGTTCTCATCATGACACTGTGCTTTCCAAATATCTTCACACATTGTGTCCTAAATTTAAAAATTGCCAACTTGGAAAGAAAGCATGGAGAGCACTCCTCTGTAACTAGAAGCTGGCCATATCGTACCTCCTGTTATTGGTTAGATCTAAAACATTCTCCAAAGTCGCATGTGTTCAGTGGGGATTTTGGAGGGGATTAGATCACGTGGGCGCTGCACTCCTCCGTGGATTCCTCTGTTGATAAGTTCTGGCTGAACATGATGTTATGGTGTACGACTCAGGGGGAAGAGGTGGGTCTCTGAGGGAGCAAGCCTTGGGCGATCTCTGGCTGTTCCCTGTCTACTTCTGGCCGCCATGAGATGAGCAGCTTTCCACAGCCATGCCCCTCTGCTATGATGTTTGTACTCTGGAGCAGCCAACTGCGGACTAAGCCATCTGAGCGTGTGAGCCGAAATAAAGCTCTGCTCCTTTACGTTATGCATGTCAGACAAATTGTCCAGCAACAGAAAAGCTGACTAGTATCCTACCCCCTGCCAGAATTTTAGAGACTGTGGCTTTGTGTGGAAAATGGGGCCCCACAGAAAGTTCTGAATGCCTTCTCATAAGCGCAGCTCTGAGCTAGTCCCATCTGAGCCCCACATAATCAAGCACAATCTGGTGGTCACCCATGGCTTTGCAGTTACTGCTCTCCACTTGTTCACAGAGCACCTTTCCTGTCACCTTTATTCACACTGTGTCTATTTTAGCAAGCACTTACCTCGTAGTGCGGAGCTTGGAGGATTTGTCTCAGCTCTTGGATCTCAAGGGAATTTGAGCTTTCACGTAATAGCTCCACTACCTGGATCATGGGAAAAAAAAAGGTTTTATAACATCTAAAAAATCTTCACCATCCACTCATCCTTGCCTAGGATGAGCGGTGCTGTCCTAGCATGTGAAGCAGCCAGCGAAGCTGTCTTTTTCATCGTTAAATGAGGGTGTCATGTCCCTCCTTAGGTGTTTACTAGAGCAGACAGACCCACAGATGGTGGTGATCTGCCCTGTTGCCTTGCAGAGGTAGCCTATTCTGCAGGAGCAGGTGCACCCAGGCTCTGTCCCTCGTAAAGGTGTCTTGCAGTCTCTGCACAGGCAGGTGGCTGAGTTTACAGTAGTGCCCGGGGCAGGTGATGCTCCACTTTCCAAACAGAAAATGGGAAAGATAAGCAAAGGAGCTGAACAGATGCTTCTCAAAGGAAGTGCAAATAAGTGTGGAGCCTAATAAGTACATGAACATTATAAAGGTCAGTGTCTTTAGCTACTAGGAAGTGCAAATAAAAACCACACAGAGCCAGGGGTAGTGGCCCACACTTGTAATCTTAGCATTCAGGAGGCTGAGACAGGAGCATTGCTGCAAGTTCAAGACCAGCCTGGACTACGGAGGAAGGTCAAGGACAGCCTAAACTACACAATGCAAACCTGTCTCAAAAATAGATGAACAAAGAAAAACGATAGCAATGAACAGACAGACCAAAACTCTCACGCTTCTGGAGTTTACAATCCAGTGGAGACAGAGAAAATAAAATATATAAGCAACTCATTTTGCTTGATGGTGAGGAGTTAGGCAAAAACAAATAAACAAAATGAACAAATAAGCCCAGGGAAGCTGCCTTGGGAGTGCGAGGAGGAGGAGGTGCAGTCTTCAGTGACAAGGGGAGCCTCCTGACCAGCAGAGACCGGAGAGAGACCGGAGAGGTAGATACATGAGCAAGAGCACAGCTGACACATGGAATGGCAGTGCAAAGGGCCTGTGCATGCTAATGAACTCAACCACCCCGAGGGACCAGGACAGCTGGAGCAGAATGAACAAGTGGAGAGCGGTAACTGCAAAGCCAAAGAGGTTGTGGCCACCCAGCTGTTATGCTACTTAAGAACTTTGGTGTTTATTCTGAAGTGGGAATCAGAGGCATCTGAGCACAGAAGTGACTCACTTTTTTTTGTTTGTCTGTGGTACTGGGGGATCAAATTCATGACTTAGCGCTTACCAGGCAGGTGCTTATGCTGCTGAGCTAAATCCCCGGCCCGTGAATCACTTTTAATGAAGTGAAGTAGGAAGAAAATGTTCAAATGGGAAGAGGAGCGGGGGGGGGGGGGAGAAAGGAAGGGAAAAATAAAAAAAGAGGAAAAAGGGAAAATAGAAACAAAGCTTTTGTAAATAGGAAAAGGAATGCTGGGCATTCTCAGTGCTCTGGAGGCTGAGGCAGGAGGATCGCTGAAAGCACAGCCTGGCTTACAAAATGAGGCCAAGGACAGTCTGAACGACATAGTGAGCTCCTGTCTCATAAAGACAAGACAGAAAAGACAAAGAAAGAGAGAAAGGAAGAGGGGTTGAGAGGAGCAGAAGGAAATGGGGAAAAAAGAATCAAGTTATATCAAGTACAGGTGCAACTTCCCTATGATGACTGTGACCATTATGTATATCTAAAATGTACCAATAAAATTATTTTTTACAAAAGATCACTTAGGCTGCTGTGTGGGAGCCTCTGGGGGCAAGGGCAGAAGCAGGAGACCAGGGAGGAGGCTACATTGCAAGCTTCTGTAGAAGAGATGGCGACAGTTTATTAGGTGGCTTAGGGACAAGGTGTGTTTTCAAAGCAGAGCTGCAGGATATGTCATCAGACTGGGCATGAGGTAAGGAAACCGAGTCAAAGATGACCCCAAAGATTTTGGTCCCAGGCACTGCAGAAATGGGTGTCTTTACTGTGATGGACAAGGCTGAAGGAGGAGGGAGTGGGGCACTGGCAGGAGGTCAGCTTGGGGCCTGACAAGTCTGAGGTGTCCGTTGAATGTCCAGCTACTGTGGGAGGAGGCAGTTGGGTGGCTGAGACTAGAGATATGAACTAGAGACTCACTACTATTCGTACTATTATCCTGTTTACGTGGTATAACTGAGTCCAAAGATCAGGGCGGGAAAGAGAGAAATGGACGTGTTGAAAATGTGGGTGACTGCATGGGAGATATTAATTCAGGGAGACAGCTGGACAGTGTTCCTCCTTATCCACATGCATAACCACCACATTTCCAGTGCAGTGCTACAGTAAGAGCATTACAGGTTACGTAAGCAAGTGCTGTGGGGGCGTGGCATCTACAGAGCTCCACGGCTGTGGAGTGGGACACCTACCTCTCGGGATAACTGCTGGGCACAGTGTGTGGTAGGAGCTGGTTTCTTCTCTCTAAACTGCTGGAGGCGGTCATAAACCTGCAGCACAGGTGGGAGAACTGATATTATAAAGTGCCCGTGACGGTTTGGACTGTGGCCCCCAGCAGGAGGAAGGGCAGCCTGGGCAGCTGCAGTGCTGGGGAGCGTGGCATCACTGGTCTTCAGTATGGTGCATGTCCCGAGATGCCAAGGAGGAATCAACCCCACTTGGCAGTGCCAATATGTTAGATTATTGACTGCCAGGAGGAAACCAACTTCTGGATAATTTCATGAGGAAAGAAATCCAAACTTACTCTTCTTAAACCAAGTAAAGCGACAGTTTCTAGGGTTGAGAGCAACAAGGAGGTGCAGACAATGCACAGCGGGCACCTCAAGGAGGGGTTCTGTGGCCCATGGTCCTGGAGGCTCTTGGGGCTAGAACCAAGCAGAGCATGGGCTGGGTGACTCTGGGTCCCCCAGGGCCTGCGTAAGAGGCTGGATGTGCTCTGGATGCTTATCTGTGCCCTGCTCTAGCCTCGGGGTGGTTTCTCACTCCTCTGTCAATTCTCCAAAACAAATTCATTTGAAAAAATGCCAACTTTGCCTTCTATGGATCCTTGGGAATTATTTTCTGTGCCAGGATCTAGGATTGGGTTAAGTACATCAAAACCTAGCTAGCAGTGTAGATCTTAATCTTATGCTTTGTTGAGACAGGGTCTAGAGTGTGTACCCCAGGCTGGCCTTGTACTTGCTGTGATCCTCCTGCCTCAGTGCTGGAATTATGAGCATGCACCACCACACCCAGCCTCAATCTTAGTTAAGGAATTATATCTCTCTTTTGGATGGAGACATAAGGCCCTGGAGCCAGCTCGGGCCAGCCTTTTCCAGCCAGATCTGCTGCTGCTTCTGGCTTTACTGGGCAGCAGCATTTGAATTTATCTGCAAGGCTCACAAGGGGAACACAGCAGCTGCCCACTGGCAATAAAGGGTCAGCACCCTCCATCCAGTTCTCAGCAGGCGGCAGAGAAACAAGCCCTTTGAAGGCCCCTTCCTTCCTCCTACCTTCTCTAAAAGACTGATGTGGACCTCTATCCCCTCCTTGTCTGCAGCTCGAGGCCTTCCCAGGATACAACCAGAAACCTCCTCTTAGACCATGCAGGTGCTCCAGAAGGTCACAGTGCTGAACTTTCTTTAGTAACTTTTGCTGCCCCAGATCCTTTCCCTTATCCTATGAAAACCCCAGTTTCAAGGCTGCTCTGTCCACTTGGCAGTCCCGCCTGATTTTGCTACGTTCTTTGTCCATCAGTAAAGCCTTTTCCCAGCCCTACCTCACCAGCCCACTGCCCTCTCAGGACAGGCAATATCTGTAATGAAGTTAAAGCCTGTTTTAGCTGATCCCTGGGAAAAGCCTGATTGAAGTCAAGTGCTTTAAAACAGGTGATGTCAGCCGAGCCTGTAATCCCGGAGGCTAATGCAGGAGGCTCACAGTAAATCTGAGGCCAGCCTGGGCTACATAGTGAGTTCAAGGCCAGCATGAACTACATAGTGAGACCCAGTCTCAAATAAATAAATAAAATTAAAAAAATAAAAAGTGATGTCAGTATCTCTTTGTGTGAAAGGTGTTGCCAACTTAATTTTTAAAGAATATTAACATGCATCATAAGACGGAGTACATTCACACTTTGTGGTGTTTCATGTGGAACACCACATTCCTAATAATAATAATAATAATAATAATAATAATAATAACTTCAAGTGGATCTTTCTTAGTAACATTTTTTTCAGAGCAGAAAAAAAATTACATTAGTAGCATCTGCCACTGAGTAGTGATGGTTCAGCTGAATTTGAAAAAGAGGAAGTCTTCGGGGTAAGATACCAAAAAAAAGAACAATAGATGTCACATTTCCTAAACCTAAAAAGAGGAATTAGTCAAGTGACTTCAAGGCCAGCTTGGATTGCAGAGCAAGACTCTGTCTAACTGCCCACCAGACTTTAAAAAATAAACAGAGGAACAATTTTTAAAAGCGTTTTTATTTGTCTAGACTTGGTTTCAAGGACAAAAGAAGTAGACAGAAGACAAGGTAGTGCTGCTCTGCACCTCCAGGGGCCTCTCCAGGGAAAGCTCGGCACAGGGAAGAGCAGCAGCATTCTTCCCAGTGTTTCCTGGGCTAAAATCACTGACCACTTTCTTCCAAGGACGGGATCTTCTAGAAATCCCTGCCAGTGATGTGTGACAGCTCTGGGGAAGCAGCTCCTGTGGTCTGAACGTTTCTGTTCCCCGAAATCCTCTGTTCAGGTTCTCATCCCTGGGGGCTCTGGGAAGTGGAATCTGCAGAACATCTTGCCAGTTGGGTGGGGTTCAGATTGCCCCTTGCCACATGTGGCTCAGTGAACCAAAGCCTTCAACAGACACCCGCCCATCAGCGCCCTGCCTCAGGCTTTCAGGCAGAGGAAGATGTTTCTGTTGCTGCCAAGCTGCTCAGGTTGTGGTGCTGCATCACTCAGCTAGCAGGGAGCAGGACTGTGGGTTCTGGGCGACCACAGTGGGAAAGGCTGAGCCTTGGTGCCCCGCTTACCTTCAGCAGCGCCTGCAGCCACGGCGAGTGCAGCAGGTCGTACAGCAGACATAGGCCGCTCAGGTCGCGGCTGTAGAACAGACTCAGCTCTTGCAGCAGGAGCCTCAGGATTCTAGAGAGGCCTAGGAGGGGAGACAGGTGGCGAGAATGGCAGCGGTGACAGTGCAAGGCCACGTGGACAGTGGGTGAGTCCTGGAGGACAGGGATGGCGCAGGCCTGGAGGGCATATCTGGCTGCGGGCCTGGTTCACCACTCACTGCCTGAAAACCAGCTCCTTACGCAAAACAAGAAGATGCTTGCTTCCTGGGGGCTGGATCCGATCCCCACACAGAAACCAAGATACCACCACCGAGGCCTGGCGATCGCCCTCCCTGCCTTGCTCTCATCAGTCTGTCTTTGGTCCCAGATTTTCCAGTTGTCTTCTTGGTCTGCTTTCTCTAACTCACTGAGTCACTGGTTTTCACCTACTGTAAGACTCTTATCGAAAGCTGTAAACATTGCTGTACACACTAACTCCCAACAGGTTTTTAATAGAAATTTCAAAGTCCTACTGAGTAAAGGGATGAAGGAGATTTTAGTGAATGCTTGATTTTTTTCATAAAAAATTCTACACTGTTGTAGTGATATTTTGAATGTGAACAAGTTATGCAGTTGCAAGTTTTATGTAAGACATTAGGGGATAGGAAAAATGTTCGGAAAATACCATGTCAATTTCTTTCTTGCCAGCCTTGGAAATTACTGTCTTATCACTATTTGTTACAGCAGGGCAATCAGTGGTGTCTGCCTTCCTGGTAGGCTCAAAGTACATTGACTTGATTTCTTTCCATGCATTTGATCACATATTTGGAGTGATGTAAGGTCTTTGTGGCCTAGAAAAGGCCCGCTGGTGATACATACCATTCTCCGGGTTGTCTACTGTAGAAAACTTCTTATCCTCCTTGTCTGGTGGATCTGCCCCTGTGTCTGACTGTATCATCCTTACTTCCCCAGGCTTCCAAAGGGAATTCAGAACTAGGAAGCAGATCAATAAACAGCACAGATGGGGCTGGGGATTTAGCTCAGTGGCATAAGCACCTGCCTTGCAAGCAGGCGGTTCTGAGTTTGATCCCCGGTACCGATAAAAAAAGGAAAAAAATTGAAAAAAAAATGAATAGCACAGATTTCACTCCATCAGGCTGGCCATGTGCTGTCAGCACTGTGAACACATTTTCCACGAGATTCACTGGGCAGTTGAGCATTGCACCACACCTGGAGGGTGCACTAAGTGGGTTACAGTCTTGCCCTAGGTATTCAGTCTCCAAACTAACAATCACCCACTGCGTGAAAGAAAAACTATTCTGTAACATCCCCCCACCCCTCCCGCAAATGCGAGGGTTAGGGTTAGGGTTAGGGTTAGGGTTAGGGTTAGGCAAGCGCAAGGCTGTGAGTTTGATCCCCAGTACCACAAAACAAAAACAAAATAACCCCCCCCCACACACAGCAAATAATATTATACTTACTTGTCCTTTACCTGTTGGCTTGCTCATCATTCAGAGCTCAGAGGGCCTTTCCTGTCCTGACTGCACACAAGTGCCCATTACCTATTCTGTGCCTCACAGTTCCCACACAGCTGCAGTGTAGAACCCCTACCTGAGCCTGTGTTATGGCTTGCTGCAAGACCTGCTCTCAGAATTCAGCAACAGCACAGTAATGGCCCGTTTCTATAGATACCTTTCTGGCCCAGCCCCACAGCCTTCCTAAATCCTAGACCATGGTTCTTATCCCTAACAACTAATTAACAATTAACAACTAATTTGAAATGCTTATTTTGATATTTATTTAATATATCACTTTAGGTGAGTTTAGTTCAAGAGACAGGAATCCAGGATACTAATGGCTTAACACAGTAGAAGTTTAAATCTTGCTCATGTAAGAGTTGGAGGCAGGGGATGCAGAGCTGATGGGGCAGCCAGCTCCAGCAAACCCTCAGGGAACAGGCTTTTTGCAGCTTTCTGCTCTACCTCCCTGGGTAGGGTATGTCACCAGCCACCTGCTCCCAAGTGGTAGTTTGAGCTCCAGAAAGTGAAAAATACAAATTTAGCTGTATTACAAAATATCTCAAATGTTAAAACACCCATGGTTAACAAAAAATAACGGTACCATTTAATGTTCTAATATGCTTTATATTGGATATATTAAGCTTACTATCTTTACTACATAGTACTGTTAATATTTTCTTCTGGATGTTCAACAACCAAAATTTTAAAAACCAAAAATTATAAAAATAAATAGGCTAAAAAAGATAGCCAGTATTTTAGCATCCACCCTCCAAGATCAACAAAGACCTAGCACATAAAAAACCCTGCTGTGTTCCTAACACATTTTAGGGACACCCTAATTAAATTTACTAATGTAAACCTAGGCTCTCATAAAGGGACAATTGTAATTAACTTATTTTTTCAGTCTGCCCCTGACACTCATGCGAAACTACAAAATGCTAAACTTGGCCCTCAGGGAGGGCCGTCTTGATGTGGCTTTTCATGTCTTTAGCAAAAGAGATAAAACTCAAAAAGATGAAAAAGAGGCCAAAAGAAAAAGAAAAAAAGGAAACTTGTTAAATACCAGTCTGGTCTTTTAGAGTTGGGTTCCCAAGACAGGAAAACCAAAACAAGGCAGAGCTGCCTGAGCCCCTCTTGGACATGCTTTATGTGTGACAAAAAAAAGTCACTGGGCAAGAGAATGCCCCAAACCCTGAGTTCCTTCGGGGCTCTGCCCGCTTTGCAGTCTCAAGGGCCATTGAAAGAGCCACTGTCCTAGCCACCAGAGAGCAGGTAAGCCAGCTAACTCTGCCCTAACAGGAGATCACGTCACCACCAGATTCATTGCTGGCTGATCTACTTGGACTTGCTACTGAAAATGAACAGGGCGTTGGAGCTTAGGTCTCTGGGAAGCCAAGCCAGCATCTCCCCTCCCTGTGAGTGGAGGCAGGGTGGCAGCCTGCAGCCCTTCCAGGGGGAGATCTAGCAGTGTCTCCTGAGATCCACGCCATGTTGGAGCTTATCTCAATCTCTCCCTTATTCTTTAAAAAAATTATTTAGTTATTTCTTATGTTTTTTAATTAAGGGGAAAAATTTTTTTAATTAGCATATATTATAGTAACTCTTTTTGATTTACTGTTAACTTGTTTTGAAGTCCTGTAATACTCCCACGATCTTGTTTTGACTGATTAGACTCTGTTCCATTCTATATGATAGTATCAAGTTTGAGGGTATAAGCACCTACTTTGAAGGCAATAAGATTCACTAAGATGCCCATTCTGGTTTGACTGTTGTCTCCTTTGGAAGTCCTGTAATGTTTACAATGCCTAAGTTTTATTGGTCTTGTTCTCTACTGTTTTGTCCAACTTTATAATATCTAATGAGATAGACTATTCTTTTTAAGGAAACAAGAGACAATTTTGATAACCATTGTTGATAACCTTGTACTCTGTTCTACATCATGTGCTATGTCTATCCTTGGTTTTGAGTGGCAGCTTTGTTTTCCATATTTGACTATATTCTCTTCCCCCCAAAAAAGTAATAAGGACTAGGAGTAATAAAATCCAAAATGTGTAAATTTTGTTGTAAAAAAGAGAAGAAAAAAAAAAAGCTCTATGGATATAACAGCAATTGTGTTTAGGGGTGTTAAATAGCTGACTATATTAATGTTTTTGGATCATTGAACACAGCTGTTTGCAGTCTCTCTGTTTGAATGTTCACTTTGTATTCTTTGATACTGTGATTTGAGCAACTATTTCCAAGATGATAATATGTAATCTATTAGCAGGTGATTTCTTACTATTATGTTTTTTTTTGTAGTTCTGTATTACGTGTACCCTTACACCACTTTGTTTTGTTTTGTGTTTTTCTCTTTTTCCTCTTAAATAAAATTAAAAAAAAAAAAAAGAAAGAAAATGAACAGGGCTCGGAACCCACAGCCCCCATTAAAGTATCCTCGGAGCCCTGAGTCTCACTGGAGGTCTCAGGTAAGACACTCTCTACACTTGTAGACATGGAGGCCACCTATAGTGTTCTTCCTGAGTTTTCAGGTCATTATATTAAATCCTCAGTCTCTGTAGTGGATGTTGACATTCCAGCTACACAGCCTCTTCAAGCAGGACCCATTCCATGCAGGTTCCAAACTCTCTTCTTCACCCATAGCTTTCTGGTCATCCCAACATGTCCTACCAGTGGTTCCATCACTAAGATCACAAGGCAATTCTTCAGGATCACCAGGTGCTCACAACCAAACAACAGGTTCTGTCTTTTCTGGCTTTAGCTAACTTCTTTTGCCTCTGGATTCCTAACTTTGCAACTCTAGTCTGACCCCTCTACAAAGCTTTCAGGGACTCCTTATCAAAACCCCTATATGCCACTGTACCCATACACACCTGTATTTTGTACTACAGCTAAAAGAACCTATCCCTAAGGGCCCCAGAACTTACCCTTCCTGATCCCACGCAACTCTTGACTCTGTACACTACCTCTTGGGGGCCACAATGCTGTATGTACTGGGACACAAAAAGACCCTCTTTTCAAGTGACAGCCTACTTGTCAAAACAATTAGACAACACACTGCAAGGATGGGCACCTTGCTTCTGAGCCCATGCAGCCGTATCCTTATTGACACAGGAAACTAAAAAGTTCATATTAGGATAATCTATTACAGTACAATAACCTCATCATCTAAGTGAGCTTATCTCACATGAGCCAGTCCCTGCTCTGCTGGCCCTTCTCGCCTTCAATAGGTACACCTAGTCCTCTCTTTTTATTTCAGCTAGTTGTCCTCTCAACCTAGTGACTGCTTCTCACCTCAGAAGACCACCCTCACCATGACTGCACTGAGGCCTTACAGATGACTCCCACCCTTCCCTCGTATTAGTAACATACCTCACAAATTCATTCTGAAGCTACACTAACTTTGACCTCAACTTCTTCCCTTAACCTTGGCCAAGCTCAAAACACTTCCCTGAGCTCCACTTTTTTAAGCCCTTTTAAACTCATGCTTAGCTGACTGTTTCTACCCACAACTTCCTATCTCCCAAAGTCTTCTTCCTTTTGCTGACTACATTCCAATCCTCTCCTTCCTCCCACACTTGTTACACAACATGCCGATCTCTGTCTTCCCCCACCCTCTGATGGGACCAAACCAGATCCTCCCATATCCCTAGGAGACCTAATTTATCTTAAACCTTCTAACCACAGGACCACAAACAAATGGGAGCCATTTGGTTTTCCTTGCAGCTCCCAACAGTGGTCAAGGTCACTGGACTGCCATCCTTGTCCCTTGTCATTAAGCTAAACTGTGCCCTCCTAACCCTGACACTAAACGTCCTGAGTGATCATCTAATCTCCTATCTCCCACCCATCTCTGTCTCACCAAGGCCCCACAGCCACAACTGTCAGACTAAGTCATGTCTTATTATCTTATTTGGTTCCTGATCCCTTACATTCTATTAGTTATTCTTTTTGCTGTAAGACTCTGGGTAATATTTCCTAAAGACTGCTAAATTATAGGTAAGATTGCTCTCATACTGTTCTACCTAACAACTATTTTAGTTCTCCCCACCCTCAGCTGTTCGTAGTGAAAACATGAGACCCCTCTGAGTCTAGGCTCTTGTCTCACTTAAGTGACACAACCACAGCCCTCCCTATTCTCATCTATAATTGCCAAACATGATTCAACTGTCCGGCCTTACATTTCTCATGCTTCCCATTCTCCCCAGCTACACCCCTAGACCAAGGACAAGTCCTACCTACACTTTTTACTTTTACCCTTTTAGATGGGGAAATAATGGCCTCCCATAACTTCACCTCTCCCAACTCCATGCTTATTTGACTTTTAACAGTAGTAGTCCTGTGGCTTTAGAAGAATTACGCAGACTGGATGAACAGAGAACAGATACAGAGACAGACTGACAAATGTCTTATAAAATTAGAGTGCACTTAAATATATTTGGCCAATTTGAATTATAATATAATAAATAGACTAGTGTGAACCTTTCTGTAGGTCAATTAACATAGATCTCTTGAAATAAGAATAGTAGACTTAGGGTCATTTTTAGTAATATTTGTTATATGTCTTGAAAGGTTTTGGCCCAGACAGGACACTGTAGCCAGGAAAGCCACAACCGGAAGCAGGAAGCCCCATCTTGCCCTGCCCCTAGGAAGTTACCTGTGATGCCATCTTCCCGCCCCTGGGAATTTACATATGGCGCCAAACCTAGGACCAATGGGCTACCTGTGTATCCCTAATGCCCGCCTTAGGTTCTACCCCAAACCGAGGCTATTTTACAGGCCCCCACGCCACGTGTCCACCGGAGAGATTGCCAGACGCCAGCGGTGGGGGTGCCGGTCATCTCTCTCCGTGTTCTCAGAATAAAGGCTGCTTTTTATTTTATATTTCTCATCTTTTGTTAATATTTTTCATCTTTTGGAAAAACTCTATCATGTCCATGATTGCCTTTTTTTTTTTTTGAGCTACTTGCCATAGCTGAGCCCACTCTTGTGAGCTGAGATTGGTGTTTAGAACCACAGAAACATTCTTGAAATGTAAAACAATTAGTTGTAAATTTAAATTCTCTAATATAATTTTGTGGGTCAACAGAAAAGGAAACTAATTTAGGTTTGATCAGAGATAGGTCTGTGAGGGAAAAAGGAGCATGAATATGAACTAGTCCCTCAGGACCAGCCTGTTTCCAAATGAGGAATAGGGATTGAGGCTGAGAAGGATGTGGAGTGGGAGGTGCAGATGGCCTACGAGCAGCCAGCTGTCCAGCAGGTGTCTGTGGGCAGTTACGGGGTAATGAATCATAAAATGATTGCTAGTCACCATGCAACAGGGAAGCACAAGATTGTGACTTGCTACCATGAGACCCATAACAAGATGACTGCTGCTGGTTACACGGTGAGGAAACATGGGAAGTCGATGGTCATCATGTGATCTGCAACAAGATGGCTGCTGCTGAACACATGATGAGGAACTGCAAGATGGCCCCTGTCCTCCATGCGAGCTGCAGCAAGATGGCTGCTGAGGACGGCATGGCATGGGACCACAAGGTGGTGGTCGAGCATCATGCTGTCTGCCGGGCAGTCGAAACACACGAGACTGAGCACGGTGAGACAGCGGGGAGAATGACAACACAGGAGCAGCGGGGACAGAAGTGGGGCTGTCCAATGGGACAGATGGCTTAAGTTGAGGGAACTGAGTATGAGAGCGGGGTGAGGAAGTAAAGGAAGAGTTAGAGTCTGCTGGGGGGTGAGGAAAGGGAAGGGAATGAAACAGGGATTCAGAGACTTGTTGAAAACACCAAGGGTCTGGACTTGGGGATATTGGCAGGAGCAGTAAGGCAGGAGACGCATCATCTAAGGGGTCTGGTGGGGAGAAAGGGAGAGATCTCAGTGGAGCAGAGCGAGCCAGAAGTACTTGGCCACTGGACAAGACAGAACGAGAGAAGAACATGTCCTCAAAGTGAAAAAGTCCTGCGGAGAAGGAGTTTCTGCCATCTTACCACTGTTGTGACAAAAGTATAAATAAAAGATCAGCTTTTTGGTTTTTATACCCTTTTTTTAAGGCTAAGAACACCAAAGTTATGAAGCATGCACCCCAGGGGCGTGTTTTTCGGGAGATGGGAAATGGTATTCCCCATGACCGAATCAGAGGTGAGCTAAGAGAACAACTTTGCCTCAGGACGATATAGGTTTAGCTCCCCACCTCCCCAGCAACATGAAAGCTGTTCTGGATCACACTTATCAAAAGAAGTTATCACCCATTTTGAAAGTGTGACACAGAAGGTCTCAACAGCCATTCTCATTGGCCATCACTGAGAGTTCAATGTGGGATCCCAGAGAACAAGAGGGTAACAGCCTATCCTGCCCAAGGAACATGAAAGCTGCTATCTTTGTCCAGGGACAGCAATGGATAAGTTCTCTGACACAAGCTTGCAGATTTTTAAGGCTGGAAACAGCTTTGCCTCAGCAATGCAAGGAGTGTGAAAGCTATTATCCAATGTGGAATGGAGACAGAGAACCGTGGATGGCAGCACACCTGTGACGAATGAGGGTTAGTGTTGGATGCAGGGCTAGCCGTGGCAAATAAGAAGTTCTTAGAGGAAGGAAAAAGCAGCTCACAGAAAGGAGTTTCAAACTGGAGGCAAACTCCAGGAGCTGATGCACTCTGCCAAATTCCTGGGATTTGGCACCAAAATGTTGAGTTTTCTGGTGCAATAGAGAAGCAGAAGAGGTGGGAGAGGATGCGGAGAAGAGCTCACAACCCACAGGGGTCTGGCTGTGTCCTTCTGACTGGATACAGAGGGGCGCGAGGGTTAAAATGGAAAGTAACAATTTGGGCTGAAGGGGAAGAAGGAGGGAGTAGCTGTCAGGGCAAGTGTTCCCCCTTGGCCTTCCAGCATGTTAGACCATTGCCACAACTGTACAATAATTCATATTAGGGCAAGAACCTTTCAGACAGCATCTCTACATTTTGGCCAGGAGAATGGGGAAGGGATTAAGAACATAAGGCAAAGGAATACACCTACTATTCTTCAAAGGGTTTTCCTAGAAGCTGCCTATGTAAGGAGGAATCGTCTTTTGATTTGTAGAACTTTCAAATGTCTCATTAGACTTTCATGATGGGGGCAAAATCTGAACCTAGAATCCAGCTTTTCTTTATAAACATAAAATACTTTCGCAGTTATAACACACACTGAATTTGATGGAATGGTACCACAATTGAGAAACGAATTTACTTTACCAATTTGTCCATTAATTCAGAAAACCATGTGATTAATAGTAATGTTTCTTACGGTACTGAGAAAATCACCACGCATCGTACCATGCTGTGTCTGTCCCTTCATTCAAAGCTTCTTTGCACTGCCCTCGGTTTCTGCACAGGTTCAAGTGTGTGCTGGGTTTATTCTACCTTCTGGCATAGTGATATCCCGTATCTACATACTGAAATACACTATCCCTGACAATGGATTGTTTCTTTAACTTGTCCTTTGGGCAGCTGGAGCTCAGTCCCTCTGGGAACAAAGGACGGAGCGCTGCATGAGGCCTACCCACCCAGGAGCAGGGCACGGGAGCTGAGGGAGCTTCACCCTCAGTCTGTGCTTCATAACAGGTGGTGGTTTCTGTGGTGAAATTTAGTTATTATAGTAACTTCTAATAAATTACAGCCAATGCAAGGTTACCTGGATAAGTAATTCACATATTCTAAAGGGCCCACACTGACCAAAATTCCCTCAGCCATAGAAGCCTAAGGCAGTAATTTTCATCTTTGCAACCTCAGGGAATCCTGTTGGCCTTTGCCAGGGCCTGGAGGCACACACCTAAACTACACAGAGTGGATGGGCTCAAGCCAGCCTAGTTACAGAGTGAGACCTAGTCTCAAACCCACAACAAAAAGCCCTACAATTGTTGATAGTTTACACTCAGATTTCAGGGACAGCGGCTAAGGGAATTTCACCCATTCTCCCCCTTCCAAATTCCTACTGAAGCCCTGACTCCCACTGTGATGGGACTGGGCCATCCCTGAGAGACAGGTGGTCCCCGTGCCACCTAACTCAGTGCCTTCCTGAGACAGCTCACGTGAGCTCACAGTGACAAGGCAGACAGCTGGGGCCGGGCCGGGACCCTCACTGCAGACTCCAGTCTCCAGAATCATGCAAAGTTCCTGCTGTTTAAGCATTACTTTAAAGCAGTTCCATGAACTCTAAGAAACGTACTGATTATAATTCAAAACCTCCACTTCTTTTCCCATTGTGCTTGCTTTTCAAAGCAATGCTTCCAATAGACAAAGCTGGAAAAAGCAACTGAACAGTCAAAATTGGTCCACACGAAATAGCCGCTTCCTTTTCACTAAATGCTGTGGATGTGTGCTGCTTCACCCAAGTGCCGTAATACTCAAAATTTCTTACTCAAGAAACAGCTTCTCAGAGCAGAACCTGTTCACTCAGTCATAAAATTCTTCATGGAATTTGAGTAACTAGGCAACCCAACCTTTTGAGTTCCCAGGATTCCATTGTTCACAATTAACAATGTATAGAAAGGCTAGACAACAATACACGTCTTCGAATAACTGAGATGTATCAGTCTCTTACCTGTGAGACTATAAACATGGAAGGTTGCTCCTGTCCAGACAAAGGTCCGAGCAGAAAATCCTTGTGGGCTATTAGCTGCCAAAGTCACCTCGCTGCTCTGGATAAAAACCCTGCACATCCTCTTTGATTTAATCCACAGATCTAACCCAGCCTAACACTGAATGACCAGAAGTCTCTCCGTCACGAGTCCCCTGTATTCTTTGCATCGACTCATCCAAAGTACATCATTCCCAACCTTCATCTAGTATTTTCTCACACTTCCCACACATGGAATTATTACAGTACATTCATGTTTTTGTTGACTGTTTCAGAGTAAGAATGTCCCATAATGGAAGATGGCATTTTTAATGAAAGGAAAAAAATGGAGAAACCTGGAGTAATCTGATCCAGTGACCTTAATCTCACGTTCTGGTGAGAAAACAGCGAGACTCTTCTGCCGTCATTACAGGGCTCAGCAGCAGCAGCTGTTTCTGGTCCATCCCACGACGCCTGTTTGACCTTTTTGAAACAGGGTCTTGCTATGCAGTTGAGGCTGGCCTTGAACTCACTATGGAGCTTAGGCTGGCCTCAAACTCATGGGGAACCCTCTTGCATCTGCTCCTGATTGCTGATGTTACAGGCGTGTGCCACCTGGTGAAGCCTCCAGTCTGAATGTAGTCTGTCTTCGGTGCTCTGGCTCTAGGACTGTCTGCTAGTCCTTGTCTGCGGAGGCTTCGTCCCTTAACTGAAGTGGCACAGGAGTCACATATGACTTACGAGTGTCCTCCTGTAACTACTTGAAATCATCTCCAAGTGATTTGTAAAACACAATGCACACACTATGTGGTGTCTTCCCTAAGCTGTCTTGCTTAGGGAATGACAAGGGAAAAAACTATGTATTTCCATACAGGCAGCTGGGGTCAGAGAATCCACCCCATTTCTATTCAGTTGACTCCACAATGTGGAATCTGCAGATATGTTACTGTAAAAGTCAGTCAGTGGGAAAGCATTTGGAAGCAGATATACAAAGAATGAGAAATGGCACTGCTACAAAAGGCAAAGATCAAATGTCAGCTGCTCAAGGTTTTCCAGCCTCAAACTAAACACATGGCTTTCTTCATTTACCCACTGTACAGACCAACACAAGCTGGAAAGTACACTTATTTAAGTTTTAACTTTGAAAACTTCTAAACCCAGCTATAAAGCAATGTCTGTGGCAGTGGGCATATCTCAGCTCCTCCTCACTGCAGATGGGGAGAATTGGGGTGGATTCTCTGACCCCAGCTGCTAGGAGCATTCATCACACTTGTGAAAGATCTTCTTGAGTTGGCAAGTGCTGTATGTCTTCTACAATGAAGATACTGGCCCAGAGATTTAGGGCTTTTTTCTGAGATGAAAATTGACAATTTTAGTATGCTATCTGAAAAGTACAAATATAGCAAAATCCAAAGTAAATGGACAGTTTTAAGACTCCAGTGCAAGGGTGAATTGGACCATGCCCTTAGATGAGATGGCTGTCCACCAATTTGGGAATTCATCTTGCTCTTAAGGAACTAGATGTTCAATAAATCTGTCTTCATCAGTCAAATCTGCTGTGTGTGTGTGTATGTATGTGTGTGTTGTGTGTGTTTCCCTAGAAAGTTAAAACAATCCCTGATGGAAATGCAAAGCATTTAAGACAGACCTTTCTTTAAAAGTTGGTACTTTGGGGCCAGGAATATAGCTCAGTGGTGCAGCACCTGCCTGGCAAGTGTGAGGCCCTGAATTTGATTCCTAGTACGAAAGGAGGGAAAAAAGACTAAGTCCTTTCAAGCAAAGCAGGCATGTTACAGAAGGCAGCAAGATGGAGAAAACATTAAAATTTGAAGATGAGTCACACATAGTGATACATAACTGTAATTCCAGGACTTGGGAGGCTGAGGCAGGAAGATCACCATGAGTTCAAGGTCAACCTGGACTACAAAAGTAGTTCAAGTGAGTTCAAGGCCAGCCTGAACTGCAAAGCAAGACCATTTCACAAACAAACAAAGAAACAAACAAGCAACCTGGGAGATGGTTAGTGCGTAATGTTCCTAACTAGAATCTTAAATCCTTAGTCTTCCCTTCTGAAAAATCTGCTTAGGAAAGAAAAAGTGAACAAACAAAAATCTAGTAACTCAAAATATGCTCTCTATTCAAAGAAATAATAGATTTCTTTTAGGGACTCTTGTCTCTTGGGTTATTAGGAACAGAAAAATTAACTTGTTCTTTGTCAGCAAAGGTATTGTAATTACTGGTTTAGGTTACCAAAGATGCAGGGCTCACTGAGACCCTGGGAGGAGGGGGTTCCTTTGAAGCCAAGGTTTCCTTTAATATTTTGGTTTTTGAGACATGGTCTTGCTGTGTAGTTCAGACTGGCCTTGAACTCATGGCAGTCCTCTTGCATCAGACTCCTGAGTGCTAGGATTACAGGCATGCATCATCACTCCTGGCCTTCTTTAAATTTTTTTTTTTTTTGTACCAGGGATCGAACTCAGGACCTCATGCTTGCTAGGCAGGCACTTACACCACTGAGCTCAATCCCCGGCCCCTTCTTTAACTTTTAACGCTGCAATGTCATTTGTTTTGTAACCACTTCATAAAGATGAATGCCTTTTATTATGAAAAAATTGCTGTACATTACAGCCAACATTCAGAAACAGTATTTTAACAAACATTTATCTAGATTATAAACTGCAGAGACCACGATCCTTTTTCAACAGTAATGAACATCTGCTGAGTCACTTCACATTGCTCGGGCTCCTGTGCTCATCACAGTGAGGAGATGAGAGGAGAAGAGCACCTTGGTGATCCAAACAGCTATTAGTGTTACTAGTACAGTGCAAACCAACAACTTACAACAGGACAGGGAAAAAAAAGCAAAACACTACACTGCTGAGGAGGACAACACTTCTGAGATGGGAAAGGCCAAAGCTCATTTCCTTTTTCTTCCCACCCGTGGCTTTGGCACAAGGTACAAGAAGAACAATACTAGGCCGGGGGTCCATGCAGCTCTGTCCCACGTGTCCCAGGCCCCATCCTGCATGCGGAAGGGCTCCTTGTCCCAGTCTTGGCATGCAGCGTCTGCACATGGGCAGCTGACGGCCGCAGTGGCCTGGAGTCCATGTTGAATTCCAGTGTACTTGCTCACTGTAGCACAGCAAGGAAAGCAAAACCAGAACTCCTATGTTCTTTTTAATCAGGAGGCGGAAGACTCCTGTCTGGACGCAGTCTCCATTTTTGGGTCAGGATGCGACAGTCACTTATGAATCTCTCCCATCCTCAATATCCAAAGGAAAAGCTTAGAAAAGTTAAAACTGCAGTTTAAAAATTCCCCTTTCCCCTCACCAGTGAAGAAGCATGATGTCCACAGGATTGGGACGATCAGGAGGGCAGAGAATGGCCACTACAGTTTCCAGTACAATCTGCTCCTTGCAAAGGGATCTGGGGTAACTGCAGATGGATTTCGATCCACAAACTCAAAAATATTCATAAACTTTTTTAATATAAAAAAGTGTGCTGGAAACTTTTCTTACAACTTCATGTAGCTGACATACCGTTGAGTACAGGAGGGGTATCCTATTCCAAATATAAGGTGAAATTTTTGGAATTTAACATAGGTCAACACTGGTCAAATCAATTCCACCTAAATTTTCTGTCTTCTTTTTAAATCACACACTTTTTTTTCCCCTTGGGTTCTGGGCTCTTAATTATTAGTGAGGCTCAGAAATAACAACCAAAATTACATAAAGTCCATTCCAATTTCAATACTCTTTTTTCACCACTACAAATAGACTCCAGATGGTAGTAGATAATCCAGTTTTCAAACTATTATGCAGCCTAGGTAAGCTTCTCACGCTGGATCTGGTAGTAACATGCCTGAGGAAAAGTTTAAAACAATTTATAATTTACTTAAAAAATTACATAAACAGCAATGCACATGAATCTAAAGGAATAAACTTTTTCAGCAATGACGGACATACTGACAATCAGTTCTGTGTGCACTCCCTGTCCCTTTCTAGTCCCTATATTCAGTGGCTGGTTTTTGCGTTGGCGTAGTTCATATAACGTTTTGTGTATTAAACAAAAAACTTTTTACCAGTTGTATGATGTGATTTGCTACACAGAAATAACCTAATGGATCAACAGTGACTGGCGTATAAAGGTGCACTACAGCCACTGCAGCTAGAAACACCCGAGACAGTGAATAAACACAGACGCTCACAGCCCTGCATGTCCAGAAATCTAAATTTCCAGGAGTGCATTTTTTTGCAAAGCGTCTTCACTGATTCTGAAAGTACCTAGGATTGAGAATTAGTTATAATACACTGAACAGCACATCCAGATAGTGCATGTTTTCCAAGCTTTCATTCCTGAGAATAAGATTACTGAGTCAAACTCCAGTGCTGGTACTTACTCTAGCAGCAACTTACAGCCATTATGGTACAATAGTAAAGTGGTCCCTTATCAGCAGTGTAAGCCCTCCAGCATGTGAAATAATTTTAAAACACATTTGCTAAGTTAGAAGGCATAAAATGACATCTTATTTACAACTGCACCTATGATTTTCAGTGAATTTGAGCATTTTTTAACATGTAAACTTACTCGGTTCCTCCCTTTGTGGTCTGTTTAGAGAAACTCTTCATAGAACATAAATACAATAATGTAAGTAATTTTTAACCAATATTCTTTTCTAATTTCCTTCCCTTTTTTCATTTTCATTTTTTAAAAACAGAAATTGTATTGGTGTGCCAGGTGTGGTGTTACACATTGATAATCCCAGCACTCTGGAGTTTGAGGCAGTAGAATCACCGTGAGTATGAGGCTAGCCTAGGCTCCATAGTGAGTTTAAGGCTAACCTGAACTACATTGCAAGACCCTGTCTCAAAAAAAGCAAAGCAAAGCAAAGCCAAGCAAAGAAAAGAAAATTTATTGATTTTTAAGTGAATAGTTTAAAAGCTAATCTAAGCCAGAAATTTGACATTAAACTCTACTTTTTCCCTTTTTTAAATTTATCTGTTTTTCCTGGTCTTTTCTCTATATTTAACTCCCAAAGCATCTCTAATTTGCTATCCCATTCTTCTTCTAAAATTGCTAATAAATTATGCAATACTATCTGTGGCCTTTCGTTAAGTAATTTATCCTTTTTCTATATTTGATGCTTCCATTTTCATATGAGACTTCCCTTGCAGGCATGCCTTCTGTCCTTTCCATGTAGGTACTGTCTACTCTAGTGACAGTAAGATACTATTTCATCTTAATTACTGTGATTTTATAATATTTAACTGACTGGAATATTGGGCTTATTCTGCTTCTTTTTCAGAAGTGGTTTTGCCATTTCTTGATCTTCCAGGAAATTTTAGAAAATCCAAGAGGAAAAAAAAAAAACAACTGTGGGAAATGAAAATTACTTTTCAGGATAATACCTAGAGGGCATCCGGATCAAAGAGCCTCATTTGAAACCTACTGGTTATAGTAAATACAAGCAAGAGGAGTCAGATGAAATTGAAACGCATTACTTATACCCTGCCTCTTGTAAGTTCCATTAAATATACCTACTGTAGGATACTTTTTAGAACATTAAAAATTCTTTCTGCTTTCTTTTGGAGTTATTTAAGCCCCAAAGCATCTGAAATTTATGAAGATATAAACATTTTTAACAATTTGAATAATTGATAAGTGAATACTTTGCTCTAGTATTCTGAATAGTAGTTGACATCCTACTTTTTAAAAATATATTATGATGGTTTTAAATATTGTGCATGCACTAAAGGTAATGTCTACACTGAATTTTTCTATAAAGAAAGTAATGATGGCTTGATAATATGGTAAAGGATAGTTTTAAGCTAAACTGTTATTAAATAATACCTATACTCACCTTCAAGGTAGTGAACATTATGCCCTGCTCCCCATGTTGGAGATAAGGATCCATCAGATCTTCAATGAGGTGCACCTCAGAGCCTAAATTCCTAATCCTGCCCCAAAGAGAAAAGGTTGGTAAGTTTTTCTATTCACAAGTCCATCTGCCTTTTGAATCTGTTGATGGGAAAAGAAAGAACAGCTCAAATAAAAACATAATACCATACTGGGATCAGTTAACAGAGGTGGGTTTTTTTTCCTCTAGAGAAGAGAACACATTTCTCTGATCAGTTCACAAGAAGCAAAGAGCAGTATTAAATATTGGTTCTGATAATAAAGTTGAAAGATCAGATACCTGGCCCGCAGTACCACATACAAGAACACAGGGAACAAGTCATCCATGGACCACAGGAAGTCTTCCTGAAGGGAAGCCAGGACACTCTGAGAGATCTCCTCAAATGTCTGCTGGATGACCTTAAGTTTGTCTGATGGGGTAAAGGTTGTGCTAAGTTAAAAAAAGAAAAGAATTACAAAAAGACCTCATAATTTTCTTAACAAAGCTATTTCTTATTAACTTTTTTAAACAATTCTCTCTGAGTTTCACAACCAATTTAAAATGGATAAACCAGGAATACTGAGTCCCTGGGAAGAAGCACTGTGCTACGCTACGGGGCTTTCGGAAAACTACCTCCAGCTGTTGACGGGTCACA